GGGGTGTTACATTAAAAAAGCTATCTTTCAATAATAATAGTGAATAAAAATTGTTAAAACTAATTTTCTTGTTTATGTTATTCTAATATAATTAGAAACATAATATATGTCAACAATACATGTTCAGTGGCAAAACATGTTCTCTAAAATCGTTTTAAGGTTGCGGAATCGAATCCCAGAAAAAATAAAACCTGTCCCATGCGCCAGGCTGAGGAAACGAGATTATATTTTACTATGTAAACCTAACATTTATTTCTACTATCAAGCAGGTTACTGATTTTAACCTGCTTGATGATTTATGCTCGGGGGCAGGCAGTACTAAAACTTGAATTCCAAGAATCTGCAAAAGAATTAGTCGAAAGTAAAAATCCAGGTTGGAAAACGAAAGCGTCGTGCGATCTATGTCGGCATATCGTGATGGCGATGAGTCTTCAAATTTAATACATGTCGCAACGGCGCTTTTCACACCGTCCGATATTTTTCCCAAGACTATGTTATTAAACAGACGACGACATATGATAATATATATAAGGTGAAAATGTCCCACCTCGATTTATATTTATTTAAGACGTTCTGACCATCTATTTTTGGCTTATCTTATTACAACATGTACCACCCAAGTCCCCATTTATCGTGGTATTATCGTGGTGGTTACTTGGTATTTTATTTTATGTGATAAAGTGTTTTGCTTTGAACATTCGGAAATCCACAAATAAGGCGTAACTTGATTGAACTACACGGCTTTTTTGTATGATAAAGAAGACAAGCACGGGGTTACTTGAAGTAAAATGTCCCAGCTTTATAACGTCTTAACAAGATACGCTGTCTATGTATTTTGTATATGCAGTGCTTCACCTGTAGACTGTGGTTTATGACCTGGACGGAATTTTGATATTTTACCGCTCACTTAATATCCAGCTTTAAAGATGAAATCCAACATGTTCCAGATAAGTTATAAATTGATTAAAAACATGGGAACGACGTGGGAAACCAACCCACGACTCCTTAATTATAAGCATTAGATTGCTACAATAAGAACAAAGAGCATATTAAAATATAGCTAGGCATATTTACGACTATACATGGACAAACGACTAAATAAAAAAGTCGTAACGATTAAAGGCGCAAATTCTCAGTTAAGCTTTCGTTATCGATTATTATGTTACGTTTACAACAAATGCGTATTTCAAAAAATACCATGCATGCACTTTCTTTTAAGAAATTTGTTAATAGTGCGTTGTAATAAAATAATGTAATTAAAGCAACAAAAAACATATGTACATTTTCTACTTTCACTGCCTTATTTGGGTTAATTTCTCAATATATGTTTAGAATAGCAGTTAAACTTTTATGTAGACAAAAGTTAGTATTAGACCTTGATTGTTTAAAACTTGGAAAAGACTAAGTCACCCACGACTGGATGTTTTTCTAGTGTGGGACAAAAACACTAATAGCATCATGTAGATAGATACATATTTGTATATATATTTATCAAATTCACATGCTTACAGAATAGTTTTAATACGAGAGTGAATTATAATAATATTTTAACATACTTATTTGGTAAATGATTCCCCGTGACCACGATTGCTCCAAAGCATCCGAAACGTCAGGCCGTAGTTAAAATAAATTTAACTAATATATATCGCGTTTTAAGCTGTTTTAATGTTTATTGAAGTAGATAATTATCAGATAAAAAAAAAAACAATTAATTTTCGTTTTTTAAATTTAATAGTGCCCTCATGTGCACATTTAAAAAATAATATAATTTTCAAACATAGATAATTATCTTTAAGTATTCGCTTCGTATGCAATTAAAAATATATATTTTATAATAAAACATAAAATATATATTTTTTTTAATGCTTCTATTTTGATGTCTCGTTTGTTCAGTGCAAGCAGTTTAGGCAAACAAGAGGTTGTGAATTCATCTTTAACTAGATGTTACACGTTTTTAAATCATATTTTTTTGTATTTAACCTAAACCATAATGACTAAAGCAAAGATATATTATCAGTGCATCTCAATAAAAAGTTGGGTTATATGGGCATGTCACATTCAATGCCATGCTTACCTGTCTTTATCTTTTCTACAATAATCTCCCTTTATTATAAATTGTTATTGTTTTATTAGCTAGCAGTATAGGTCATTGACCCCGCTAATGTCTAGATGTACTGTGAGTAAACAGCTGATTGCCCACCTATTTATTCATTATCTGGTCGTCATTATTGACCGCCTCTGTAGCTCTATGGTTAAACGTGGTACTTGGCATTGCGTTGAGCGCGAATCCTCGTTTGAAACCCGGGGAAAAAAATAATTAATTTTCCCGATCGGACAGGTCACACAAGTCAGATCAACTGATTGCCTGTAGAACCGTTCAGTGGACACTGTGTTTGCTCCATACTCAACGACAAGGGATTTCATACACTTCGCGTGAAAATAATAATTTATTTATTGTATTATAAACATATACCACCATTACAGAACAATATCCATTGCGATACAATTATTATATACATATTTCATGGTCTTAAACACATTTTTCTTACCTATATAATTATAATAACTAATGTTTTTACATATTTATTTATAATCAATGAAAAGTTTCTCGGCGAAACTATGTAAATTAATATTATTCACATACAATAAATAATCTTCGGGAAATGGTGACCTTCTCGCCGTTGGTTTCACTTCAAAGTTGTAAACTAGTATGTTTGGATGTTTGAAGATTTATCTGCCCACACCAGTCGTCATATTAGTTAGTGTCAACTAACTCTTTATTTTGCCAAAGAAGAACAAAAGAATTCTATCACAAAAATCTGATCGTAATAGATATGAAAAGATGGAGATTCATTTAAAAATATTATGTAGTTTTTAATGAAAACTATGCAAAAATGTGGCTATATGTACGTATGTACAGTTAGTTCGTGGTTTCCAGTTTTATCGTCGGGTTATAGTTACAAGTTTTGTCTGTAGTTTACTCGAGTAGTACACAATTGAACAAAACACATTTACCAGTTTAAAACGTGAATAGTAGTTACATTTTTCTGTGTCCCACATGACCACTGCAAAGCATTTAAAGATTGGAACGTAGGTAAAATAAATAAATAATTATATTTCGCGTTTAAAACAATCAAGAGTGTTTTGTTCTTTTTAACATTATACACCAAGTTGTAAATAAAAAACGCTTAAAACAATACGCAAGCTTAATATGATAATTACAATTAAAATATTTTTAATTAGTAAAAAGTGCGGTTACAGAGACTTAACAGCGAAAGTGTAAAAAAAGAAAACCGACGTCCGTGAATGACGATATGTTGCTATAATGACGATAGTTATATTGAATTATTGTCAATAATTACTTGGTTCAAGACTGTATGAAAGTTTATTGAACTTTTGTTCTATGGTTTATAGTTAATTTCAGGTGTGAATTAGCATGAATTTTAAATTTTTATAAGCATTTTTACTTAAGTAATATTTTTACTTAAATAAAACACTTTTAACGGTTTAAAATGCGAAATATTGTGTTTTTTTTTATTTAAATCCAGGCCGACGTTTCTACTTTGACCACGGCTGCAGCAAAGCATCCAAAAACATATAAAATAGGTTAACTAATGTATAAGCTTACTTTATCGCTTAGCATTTTTTTTCAGTTATATATTTATTTTTTTATACAGTTGTATATTTGGATTTAACGTCGATATTATATAACTATATAATATCAGATTTATCATCTATATGAAACCCAAATTTAATTATGAAATGAAACATCTGCAAAAAGCAGTAGAGTATAAAAAAAGTCAAAGACGAAATATTTTAAGTAAAATAGCTCGAAGCTTGCGGTTAACCAATACTTTCTATCAATATAAATCAATTGTATTTTAATTCAATAATACTTGAAGCGAAGCGATTTGCTGCGAAGTATTCAGGATCTCTGTTAGTTTAAATATAATTATCAACTTAATTATTCTACGATACGAATAGTTTGTATAGAAAGCGTTATTTTGAAGACTATGAAACTCGGTTCACCTACATAGCGTGAAAGGCTAATCACAAGTAATGATAACGCATAAAATACAGCTATTGATACTATATTGCTGGATTTAACGTCGTACTCATATCCTGGATGGATGTAGAGCAATTCACTTCTTTGTTTCAATATTTTTTTTTTTTTTAGGTGGTATTCATAAAGACTATAAATAACTTAATATCTATTTAGACAATAGTTAGAATTTGCACAGACTGCACGAACTTTATTTTAAAAAAAATTGTTGGAGTTTGAAGTTAAATGTCATAAAAAAAATAATAGGAACAGTTAACATTCCTAATATATTAGTAAACTACTTTTTAGGTACGAACCAACGTTTGCTGACTGTTAAAAAAGTGTTTTATTAAAAAATCAATCTTGTATTAAATATTTATTGCTCTCCATTTGTAGAGGTATTTAATTATATAAAATACGAATAAATAATTAGACTTCAACTTCAAAGGCCTAAATTAAATTAAAACAAATTTAGGCCTTTGAAGTTTTATTTAAAAAGTAACTTAAACTCTGAACCAATATTCCTCATTACAAAAATTAATAAAACCGCTGAATAATTTTTAATCAATATTAATAATTCAATAATTTATTAATATATGCAAGCAAAGAACACTCGCGACGAAACTTCAATGGTGTTTATTTAAATGAAAGTAAATCCGCTTAACCAATTATAGACGAGAGAACGAAAAAATGCGAGATTTAGGAACTTACGAAACGAGAACCAACGCCTTTTGATAACAACAAATATGTACAAAGCAAACTAATTTGCATACACATTAGGGTCCGAACTGAATCGAAAAATCTTAACCTAGAAGAGAGTAAAGAAAATAGATAGAATAAGGTGGGGTGGGAGTGTGATAAAACTGTAGGCCCGCGCCGACAGCGTACCAAACATATCTTAACATCTCTCGATGTAAGAAAATTAATCCGGTCCTAAAAAAGAGGAAAAAAAAACAAAATGAAATTCGCTTTGGTTTTTTTCGCCGTAGCGGCGTTAGTCAGTGCTGATGATAGTGATAACACCATGGAGACGGCAATTAATTTTATCAAGGACTGCAAAGGAGATTACTTCCTATGTGTCAAGGTTAATTCCAATTAATTCCAAGTGAAAGTGATCAGTGAAAACGTGTTGAGAGTGACCGCAGTTATCAGGATTAATTTCCTCTTACATCTATAATCTATGAAAGATCAGCTAGTGATACTGGGTTCAAATCCTGGAAATAACTGTGTTTTCATAGATGCTACAAGGCATACCAAACATATGAAAGATTATGGTTTAATCTCGCTGATCAGATTTTATTACTTTAACAATATGCTTTTTTACAGGAGAAGATGCTGAGAATTGTGGACAATGTCAGAGCTGCACGGAGTCTTACTATTGTTGACGGAGTCGTGTTGAAAGGTGAACCCAGTTTGCGATCAGCTAAGCAGCTAGAGCCTCTCCCAGTTGACCCCGTCGCAAGAGACACTGAAGTCAATTACAGATTGTTAGATGGAGTCGTCAACCTTTTCGAAACTCATGCCCTCGAGGTGAAAATGAACGAAGCGGACAAAGAAACCTTTAAACGCTCTTTGGAAGAAGGTAATTCATTTCAATTATTTTATTTTCTAAATTTCAAAGTCTAAATCATGAGTTATAATACTTATACTTGCATATTTTAAATAGTCGTGTTATAATACATATACCAAGAACTTGCAATTATTTTGTTACGAAAAGTTAAACATAAATAATAAAATACTGTAAAGATATTTTAAACGGTCTATTACAAAAGAAAATATTACATCGTTATACAAATCAATAATGCATATATGACAAGAACGTGCCGCCAAAACATTAAAAAGAATACAATAAAATTAAAAACTTATTACAAAGAAAAACGTTATATTCTTATACTTTTTAAAAACAAAATTAATCTGTAATTCTTTCTTAATTAACCATCATTTTTTATTTCAGGTCGTGGTAAGAAAAAGGGAGGCAGCGGAATGGGCGGTATCATTGGTCTTCTCGGAGCCAAGCTCTTATTAGGAAAGCTGTTTATCGTCAAACTGATCGCTCTGAAAGCTTTAGCCACCGCTAAAATCGCCTTAGTACTCGCTGTAGTTCTCTTTGTCGCCTACTGCTTCAAACAGGACCACACAAAGACCACCTATGAAGTAGTACCACACGCCCACCACCACGAGTCCCACCACCCTGTCCACGTAGAACACGTCGCTCATGACCTCGGCCATGGCCACGGGTATTCCGGCTATGGATCTGACTGGAGCAAAAACATCGATGACGGCCAAAACCTAGCGTACTCCGCGTACTCCCCCCACTAAATCAATTTTGTAACCTAGACCAAATGTTCTCAACCTCTGTTGTACAAAGACTTATTTATTTAATTTATTAACTTATTCTGTATCAAATAAACGATTATTTATTATGTTGACGTTCATTTCTCCGGCATTATGAAAGTATTGGATAGTGGAATCGAAAGTCGATAGTAATTTCCATACTCAGATTATTAATTTCACTAGACATCGAGATTATCTTACAAAGTATGGGACGCGGTACCTAAATACCAAGATTAAATCATGTCTAAAGAACGTTACGTACTCAGAAGTTTTTAAAAAGGAAAGATCATCATTGTGTTTTTTTTAGTAATGACATAATACAACATTAAGAATAAATACTTTCAAATTATATCTCAAAATAGATGACCTTGCATCGCTTAAGTATACCTACTATATACTATTTTTAACCTCAATTACAGTACTGCTAACTTATTACAACTTACTAACCTCTTAAGAGCATCAGTAAGTTGTAATATTTTTATAATACAAAAAATTAAGTATTGACTGTAGTTTACGAGTAGGTAGTACACATTTGTATAAAACACTTTTAAGTGATTTAAACGCGAAATTTTACCGTAAAATTAAATTAAATTTAGCTATGATGTCTTCTCTGCTTTAAAGCTTTTAACCGTTAAAAGTATTTTACCTTGCTTTTTGGAAATGAAATATTCATCATTAATGATTTTTTTTATAAAAAAAACCTGTTTTAACATTAGTTTATTACATTAGATGTTCTTCAGTAGTGAAAGCTCTCGTCAAACTTGCCATGTGTTACTGTATGGAAAAGTTCGCCTTTTTTACTGCTATGCATGGGTAACCAGCTTGATTCGTTTGAACGGAAACCAAAATTGTGGGACTGCGTTCGTGTGAATTAAATAATTTCACTTTCTAATTTAAAACAAGTTCAGTATTGTATTGGGAAATCGATGCTTAATCACGATAGCTATAACTGAACTTAAGAAATATGTCCATTGTTTTAAACAAATGCTAGTAATCATTATTTAAGTTTCACTTGTTGGGTTAAACTTGTTAAGTTAAACCTTTTTTATTATAAATTAACAGACAATCATGATCGTCACTTAATGAGAGGTGGAATGCCCTAGTCATATAACATTTAAATAGACGCGCTGTCGATCTATGTAGGATTTGAAAATTCGGAAATCCACAGACTAAAAGCGAAATGCGATTAAACTTTTCTAACACGCGCGAAGCCGTCCACAGGTGAAAAACCTGTGGACGGCGGTTCGCAATAATGACGGATATTAGATATTACCCATTAAGATCAAGAGTTCTAGACACTTAAAAAAATCGATTAGAATCGTTTTGAACTGGGGCTTGAATCATTGTTACACCAACAAGCCCGTCAAGATATTACAATACATTTTGTAAATATAGGTTTAAAAAAGTACTTATTAGAATATATATTATAGAATCATTTATTTATAAAATTGTGTTATTTATGTTGCTTATAGAAAATATAGCCAAATACTTTATAAATATTATGTAGGTAGGATTATTACTGTGAACTTCGTTGTTTTTAAAAACAATAGTTTTTATAGACTTTTTTAGTTCTGTAATTATGTTATATAAAAATTTGCGATGTTAATCTTAAAAAAACGAAAGCGTTAATGGCTAACCTTCGCCCTACACTCGGATTCAGGTCAATGATTGCATAGAAATCGAGAAGATCAAGTGGAATTTGGCTATGTGGGTTCCCTAACAAACACACGACAATACATATATGAGCTTTAAGTAAATATACATAAATACTATTCATAAGACTTAATTTTTATTTTTTAACATTCCCATTAGAAATCTCGTCCAGGTAACCCCCAAGATATCTGTTTATTGCATCAACTTAAATTAGTTTAGTTTTTATCACTGGGTGATCGGCCGTGCTGAACGTTTTTGGGGAGGCGTACTTCTAGAAATAGACGCTATATAATAGAAATAAACTGAAACTGAACTTACTTAAGTTAAAACTTACTTATACACATGTAGGAAACTATTAAACTTAATCAACGCGCAATTTAGTTTTTCTGGAAGACAAACAACAAAAGAAGAAGAAGAAGTAGAAGGCGAAGCGATTACTAAGAGGCTAAGGTCTGTAGTTAATGGTTTGAAACTCGAACTATATTGGAATATGTTATATTTTTAAATTTGAATTTAGATTGAATAGAGGGACTTTAACTGGCATAGATTTTACTATTTAAACCGTTAAAGTATTTTATTAAAATTAGAATGCTCGTTATTTAATAAGAAAGAGTAATTTATGCAGTTAATACAGACATGTGTGACTATGTAATTATTTGATTTAAAAACGAGAAACAATTTTAAGTACTCTTTAAAACCGAAAAAATCTAATCTGACTTTAAATCTCCAGTTTCAATTTCACGGAACAACTATGCGGAACCACAAAAACTCTCTCCACTAAGTTTGTTTATACGATACAGGTTTATATTTGTATATGTATAACTAAGATTATAAGTCGAGAAATTTTAAGCACGTGTTCAAAACTGGTTTACGGACATTCATTAGAGGCTTTCTACATTTAGTCTCGTGTTATTTTATCGAATATCATAGCGGTCGCCTTTGTGAACACCTGAAGATTAACGGACAAACAAGTTAGAGGAATTATGTTTTCAGCACAGACAAAACAAAGCATATTAATGTGTAATATAGAAACTAAGGAAAGAAAGTTAAATGAAACATAGTTGGTTAGAGCGACAGCACGTGAAGCTGTTGGTGCCAGTTCAAATCCTGCCCAGGTAAATGTTTTTTAATCTTAAATTAATTTGAATAAAACCCTTTAACGGTTTATAATGCGAAATTTCAGATAACAAGAGGCAGCCAGCCACACGAAAATTCATCTTCAAATAATTTATACTATACTTATAACTTTTACGATGGGTAGTGTGGGTCTTAGCTGAAGTGACAACTACAAGTATAGTACTACTACTTACCTCAAAAGACTATTACTTATAAGACACCATTTTTTTAAATCCCCCCCGATGTAAAATTCAAGAGCTCTCATTTGTCACTTACGACGGTCAGCTACGGGGATGTTAAATATGTATGTTTATAATTATGATTGCATTATGCATTATTAGTAATTATTTATTCATAGATCATTATAAGAATTATTCATTATCCGCAATTAAACATTTGACGATCCATCAATCTTAATGAGTCACTATCATGTGACATGAAAAATAACCTGGCTTTAGCATTTCAGTCTACAAATCAGTTCTGAAAAGAATGCGTTTAAATAAGATACTCTTAAGAATTTTAAAGTAAAACGTGGGCCGGAGTTAAATTTAAAATAAGTTAAGTAATATTTGTTTTGTTTAAACCGTAAAAAGTCTATTTAAAATGTGATCTAATCGTGTAAACTACGGGCAATAATTGTTGGATCCAATTTTAAGAATTACTTTTACTAGGGCTATAATCAAGTCAGTAAAGAAAACTATATGAACAAAATAGGAAATAAACAAACCTTGGATATTGACCTTTAATAAATCATAGTAATATTTTTTTTCAAGTGTGAAATCGAAATTGTAGGTTTAGTTTCAAAATCAAAGTTCTTTTTACTAGATTTATGGAAGGGAAAATGTAATTCGACTCCGATCATTTGATTACACCACTTATTTTCAACTTTCACGAGATTTTATGGAGTAAAATAACTATCGTTTAGAAGTTTTATTACGCCATGGAAAATTATTATTTTCGATAGAAATTAGTCAATTAACTGTATTAATTCCTAACACATAACTACATTTTTAAATTTGTCTTAGCTGCTACATAGAGAAAAAATAATGTATGTACTGTTTGTAGTTTACACGAGTACACATTTAAATAATGCACTTTAACGGTTTAACACGCGATATATATTTCTTTAACGAGTTTTGGAATTTTTTTAACTACAGCCCGTACGTTTCAAAAGCTGCAATGCAGCTTAAACGTCGTGCCGTAGTTAAAATAATTTACAAACAAGTTAAACTAATATTTATCGCGTTTTAACCGTTAACGTGTTTTAAACAAATATTGTATGTATTACTGATGGATTGTATCTCAATCACCATGATTTCCAAAAATCTGAAATCAGCACTTCCAACGTTTAATACGAGACAACCTGTATTCCTTCATTTACAATTTATTTTACTAAAATACATCTCGTTGAATGGCATTAAATACATAAAAGATCAAGAACAATGCACCAATATTGTATATGGTAACAGTATTACACAAGAACTAAATATAGACAACTTTCCTAAGTGGATTAACCTGTGTGAGAGAGTAAAAATAATTTGCTCATTGTATTGAGAAGTGTTTGACTTCTACGGGATAAGAAGTAATTTAGAAGACAAAAAGACTAACTTATTAAGTACTATTCACTTTTATAAGATAGAGAGAGATAGACAAGCATGGTATTCAGTTGATGGTAGGTGAAATACACCAGTCTGAAGATGCGCTGTCGTCCTATGTAGGCATTGGATATTAAAACAAAATTACAAGCTGAAACTGAAACGCGATTGAAATCACGTCATGGATGGAATTTCAATATTCCTTTAGATCAAATCTAACATGTGTCAGATTATTTATAAAAAGATTAAGAAACATATTGAACCTGGGAGGGTTCGAACCCACGACTCGTTGGTTTATTAGCCCTACACTGCTACGATAACACCAACGAGCAAGTAAGGAGTAATATATGTGATATCTCAGTCTATTATATGTAATTAAAAATATAACGCCACTTAAAACTGTTATTATTATTTCTTTTTACTATATAACTAAAATACTATTTAATTTCTTCTTCTTCTTATTCTTCTTCTTTTAAAAGTTAAACATTTCAAAAACGATCAGACCCATTTAGATTAATATCCTGGCCGAATAAACATCACTATTTCTTACCAATTATATACTATCATAATCCAAGGACTAAACGTTTCGTAATACATGTAACAGTCAAGACCATTCATAAAGGTCGTTTACCACAAGTAAAGTTCAAGTCGAGTTACTTGAACTAGTTGTTACAACATTGAAGAATCTACAGTAGGTGAATTCTGATTATTCTCTCCTTTTTTTGTACCTAATGGTTTACCAGCTAAGGACGTCGCGGTTTGTTCTTCCTTGGTCAGTAAAGGACCTGGTCTACTTTTTATTTAATCCTTATCATTAATTACTAGCCTACGTTACGATATTGATAGGTATTTTTTTTTCGTATTGATATACAAATTAAATGTTAAAATCAGCAGGATATGTTAATAACCAAACCAGCTTGCAGTGCTTTGTAGCGAGTAGTAGAAATGTTATTATGCAGTAGAATAACTAGTAACGTTAAAAATTACTAATACCATTAATATAGAAAAAATAGAAAAAGTAAAAAAATACGAATGTCTTTAACGCAGTGGAAGCATTACTAGAGTCATCTTAACGTGTGAATAAAAACGGGCGAATCCAACTAATTGTTTTTAGCGCCATCTGTTAAATTTGTACTAAAACACAATAGAACACAACGAAGCAAAGCCGTTCTAAAACATATAAACTTTTAAATGTGCTCACGACTGTGTGTTTTTTTATTATTTTAAACAGTAATATATAAAACAAAAACGTTGTTATTGCTGAGAAATATCTTTATTCTTAGTTTAATTTAATAGTACAAGAATAGAATTTTAGACGCCTGATAGAGTTATGTAGCATTGCATTATGGAAACCTTGACATTGAGTGAAAGGTAGGAGAAAGTGTTTTGTGCGCTAGCGCACCTGAATTTTGCTAAAACCAATCTATAAGGAGCGTTAAAAGATTGGTAATTCAGACTGGGATTTATATTCAGCTATATGAATTATATTTCACTATATTATTTTTTATGACTCGCTGTCCTAATAAATAGGAACAACATATATAAAACAAAGAAATATTTAATACTACTAAGCTGTAACTAGGAATGTATTTACTGTTAACGTAGACTTGAAAGAGCATAGAAGGGTGAATATGCACTATTTAGATTCTTCGAGGCTTCAGGGCTTTTACATCTGTCGACGGTGATCCGCGACCCGGACGGAGTTTCGATATTTATACCACACAAAAACAAACGAACTCATACAAGACTTCACAATCACCTCACTCAGGTTTTATTATTAGCCATTTATTGCTACCTTAGAATATCGAGTATGTAATTAATGATTTTTTTTGCAAATCTCCGTTCTGAAAAAAATGCGTACTGAACTATCGTGACGTCACTATCGATTTCTATAAGTACTACAAGATTTTTAGTATTATTCATTGATAATGCTAAAATTAAGCTTGTGTCCCTTCTCTTTTGAAATAACAATAAATCACAATAATTGCCATTTCAAAATACATTATCCTCATCAGTTTTCCAAATTATTAATACCAACATTCAAGCAAATTCATCTATAAGTAGTTATTTACACTATAAACAAAAGATTTCACAATTGTAGTGGTAAAATATTAATATTTTATTATTTTATACATAATTAATCACCATCAATCATGGGCTCTAACAGACCAACCATCAGAAAAAATTAAAGTCTGTCAAAATGCAATTGAAAGGAGCGTCATTGGCGTAAAAAGGCGAGACAAAGATAAATTAGAATATATAAAAGGTAAAACAAAAATACATGAAAAACGCGTATGGGATGTCTCGAAATTTAAAATGGAATTAAGCTGGGCATATAGCTAGCGATAGAACAGACAATTAGACAAATCATATCACCGAATGGTATCCAAGAGAAGGTAAAAGAAGAAAGGGAAGACCGTTCAAAAGGTGGGACGACGACTTAAAGAAGATAGCGGGACCGAACTGGATGAGACTCTTTTAAATAAAACACTTTAACGGTTTTAAACGCGATATTTGCAGCTTTGCAGCAACCGTGGTCACGGGGAGACTCCTGCTGAGAGATTGCAAAGCATCCGAAACGTCGGGCCGAAGTTAAAAATCATTTTCAAATAATTTTAACTAATATATCGCGTTTTAAACCGTTAAAGTGTTTTATTTTAATGTGTACTACTGGCGTAAACTATAGACATTATTGGATGAGACTCGCAAAATACAAAGACGGTTGGAAGTCTTTAGGGAAGGCCTATGCCGGAAAGCAAGTTATTAGCAATTAAGAAAACAAATAAAGTGTTGTTATTAAGGAAACTTGTATAGTTAATAACAATAAAGGTTTATTTAAAAAAAATTTTCTTATTACCTTTCAGATGTAGTGCGTTTTTTGCTAAATTATTATATATTGCATAGCTATATCGATTAAAAATATAACCGTGAGTTTTTAGGATCATTGTTTTAGTACAAAAAGTCATTCAGCCTTACTGTGTTATAACGCACTAGGTATTTTTATTCCACAAACTCGAATACACGACATTACATAAAGTAATATTCGTTTTACACTACCAAGCCACGACGGTCTAAAAAAGACCACTCAGGATAATGTATAGATTGTATAAAAAACGGGAGAAAAATAAAAGGATAAAGTTATTGATGATTCGTTTAATTTATGACTATTGATACAAACACACAATAAATAGATTTCATTCATATCTCGTGATACACGATACTGGGTAGACAATGGTACGCTCACAAAATAGACAAACAAAAAAACAAGATCGGAGATCAAGATATAAAAACTTACTTACATAAACGTATTATAAATAAATGTACATAAACATAATACAGAAATATACTTAGATATCTACTATTAAAAATATAATAAATAAATAAGATTATTGTATAATAAATTAAGGATAAATAGATATATAATATTATTTAGAAATTAAATATATAAGTATTATAAATAGTACGTAAGTTAAATTATAAAATGGTAACTTTGGTGTATTTATAAAAAAATATTAATGTACAATTACAAATAAATATAACATTATACTTATATATACATATTAAAATCAAGTTATATCACATAGAATTCAATCTTCTATAAACTAAAAACATAATGCCCGTACAGTGTACTTAACTGTAGAAAAAAAGGAAAAGTTGCAAGAATCGCCATCACACGCATACAAATAAATTAACACTCACACAACCTTAAAAATATTTGGTTTACTGGTTGTAGGCTGAGTAAGCCAAGTTGTTGGCTTCGGTCCTCGAGCGGGACCAACCTTGCTCCCAGCCACCGCCATGGGGAATTTGAGGGTGCTCCTCGTGAGCTACCCAGGTGTGTTCCTCTTGAGCGTGTTTCTTGGCTATCAGCGCCTTGACAATGGATATGACCTTGGCGATGAAAGCGATCTTGGCGAGAAGGGCAAGCTTGAAGAGAGATGCCGCGATGACTAAGAGAGCCAGGACGACTAGAGCCACAGCCTTTACTTTAGCCAGGATGGCCAAGGGGATGAGGAGCTTCAACTTCTTCTTCAGCTGCTTCTTCTTCTTTCCACGGCTTTCTTCAACTGTAACAAGATATAATAAGTTATATTAACGAAATCACATTTGTGGGACCAGCGTTTTAGAAAACTTTCTAGATATACAATAGAACTGTGTATTAACCCCTTTTTGACGCAGTTAGGTGACAGGAATATAATTTGCAAACGCTACTAATGTTATGCCTTAGGGGATTGTACATTTTATAAATTGACTGACACAGAACATAATTGTACTCATCTTGACATATTCCCGTGTGAAGAAAACATACAAGAACGGTGAAATTGAAGGTTTACTAACACGGTTCTTTTAAGAACAGTATTGTTCTTAAAAGAACCGTAAAATAATCGTATGATTAGCTATTTACACACACTAATCAAATACAAAGCTCTAGACTAGAGAAATAGTCAAGTGTCTAATAGAATTTGAACTACAATATATTGGCAAGGCATCAAGACGTAAGTAATTATATTTTCATAAGATTTAATGAATATTTTATGTAAATTTTATAGTGAATTACGTAATTAAAATACAATCTCCTTAAAATCTGGTGAAATTTCTCGGATCTGAAAACCAGTAACTGTGACACAGTTATGTCTACGTCGAAAATATTTCACTCTTACGCAACACATAACGGGATATTTATCAGAATTTCTCTTAATTTTAATATGGTTTAAGAAAGTTAACTTGATTACCATTTCGTACTTTATATCTCTTACATTCTTACCTTGTTAATTCCCTTGACTCAATAATGGCGATCTAACTATAGGGTTTTCAATTTAATTTGAGTCTTAGTTAATCAAACATTTTTTTTTTTTGTACTTATTTTGTCATACTTTTTGAATCTTATCTCGAAAAGTATTTTAGATATCAAATATATGATAATATTCAACCAGTAGATATGTTTTAGACCGTTATTTCGAGTCTTGCATATTGCAGATTTTTTTAAATCTAATATGCATTTCCATTTTTATCCACTGTAATATATCTTTAATACTAACCGTCATCGATAGACCTGGATTCGTCTTCTTCCTCATCATTGCCAGCGAAACTGACTTCTAAATCGCTCTTCTGCAGCAGATCTGTGGTGCTGGACCATAATCTTTCTGTGAGCTGCTTACTCCTTTCTTCGGGGTCCGTGGACAATGCTTCAAAGCTCCTAGAGTCGCGTGGGGCATTGTTGTATATCGTCAGGCCTTCGATGATGTTCAGCTTACGAACTGTGCCGAGCCTTTCAGCTGCTTTGAGGGCATGTTCCTGTAAATATATTGTTATTATAATTTGAAATAACGACTCCCAAAAGATCAAATAAAAAAGTAGTTAATTTAATTTTGCATAAATCTTTAGGTTTTTTGCTCTTCTGTGGATCAATTTTAAAGAAATTTTAAATATTAACTCAGAAATATACATTGCTTAAAACCATTTTATGGAAAAATAACACCTATTTTCCGATATGTAATATTGTTGAATGTTTTTGCTATTAAAATACTAACAAAGTTTTCTATAAGTTTATTTTATGATTGGTACACATGACACTGTCCAAAATATATATTGTATTTTTTTTTAATTCATTTCACTTCACTATTTATTTAATTTATGATGTCTTTTATTATGATCAATATTATTAATTAAACTTAAATTATTATTTTTAATAGTTACATAGCAGTTTAATTCGTAGTGTAAATCCCCTTATAATTTAGTCTTAGTAACGTAAAAAAAATAATTATAAAAATTATATTGAGTTCTAAATTCAAATGATCGCATGTTTGCTATCGATCATGACCTAGGACAATATATTGAACTATGGCAGTGAACGCAACCCAAGAAGGACAAGGCAATCCACGCAATCGGTTCTACATTGAACTTGAATCATTTATGAACTTAGCACGCGGTCACATAACACCAAAATCCATAACACGATCACTTTACCTTTAAGCACAAACTAAGATCACTGTTCATACAATTCACAAAATTGCTCGCGACCAATCGCAGTGCTGAGTCCTCCTGCGATATCGGCCCGGAATAAACCGCCGCCACACACAACAATATCAGAAAGGCTTTCATTTTTACTTTTATTTTTAAGGTCCACGTCCTTAAGCGAAACGAAAACGACTGTGTGAACTGCTTGATTGGTAACAGTTTTTTATCTAAATTGTCCCCACTTCTCTGTTTCGACATTAACATTTTATAGTAATTGATGCCATATGAAGTCCGAGAAGACGTTATGCCATAGTGAATGACATAGTTAAGTCCATATATTTTATTATACGACCATTCTTAGACGGTTTTCAACGCTAATGCAGCAAGATTCTAAGGTAAAATTTTAATTAAATTTCTGATTAAACTTTAGGATCGAATGTTAAAATAAGAGATCGGAAATTAATAAAATAATTTATTTTTAATAAATAACTTAAAATGAGGTACTCAATCAGGCGCATTCAATAAATACAGGCACACACACTCATACTTTTAAAACTCAATTCGTTATTTGTCCTGCGTAAGCTAGGTTTTGCGCGTCATTAATGTTTCGGCTCCAGCCCCCCGCTGGTTGGTAAGAGTACCCTGGATGCTCGTCAGTGTGCGCTGGAGCGGTGGAAATGGTGCTTCCTGAGAAGCTGTTGTTCTTGGAAAGAAGTCTTCGGATGAGAGAGACTGCTTGGACGGCGAACGCAATTTTTCCGAGGAATACGGCCTTGACAGCGACGAAAGCAATGATTCCGAGGAACAGAGGGATGAGGGCAGCCATTTTCAGTTTCAAGAGCAGCAAGATTGGCAGCAGCTGTTTAAGCTTCTTCTTGTTCTTCTTCTTTCCACGGCCTAAAAATGTTAATATGACATTTAAAATTAGGGTTGTTGGCGATTTAAAAAACATATATTAAACATTTGAAAAAGTAGCATCTATCAGTGAAAAAAAATAATATTACTTTTCTATGGTTTTGGGTATATTAAATTAAGGAGGTTATGGGATATTGACAGTTTTAGTAATATTTCGAAAGTTAATAAGTAATATAAGAGTATTGGATATTTTATTATTAGATTATAATGTTTTTGTCAGGTAGATAATTGCTCGTTCGTTTGTTGCCCATATAGGAATAGTGATTGGAGGAATTATATGTCTAAATATATAAAAAAATTCAAACCACGCTATTGGATTTTATAAATAATCATTACCTTCTTCATCCAGGCCTCTTGATTCTTCGGAGTCGTCAGACAAGCGCAACTGCAGTACGTGGTTGTCCAAAAAGTCACCGACATTATTAACTATTCTTTCCTCCAGCTGAGATTCCCTTTCCTTAGGATCAACCGATAAAGCCTCATAGCTCCTAGCTGATCTAACTGAACCAGTATTGACTAGAGTCAGGCCCTCAAGTAGATTAACATCTTTGGTGATCGCTAGCTTTTCGGTTAATTTTACTGCTTTTTCCTGCAAAATTAAGACATAATAACTAACTAGTTCTAAATGGCTGAAACTTTTCGTTTTATCGAATTGCCAGTAAGTTGATAAATGGCATTTTTTTATTAAATTGTTAGTTAGATATCTCGTAAAAGATTACAAAACCACGTATGGTTGCTTTTGCTGTATGTTTTGTTTAAGAGATTTTAGAACACTCTTGCCAAGAACACTAGCTTTTAGCACAACACAATTCACAATCACAGAACACTATTCACCTTCAAACACAAAGACGTGTCGTTCTCCACACATTCCGAAACAGCACCAACTATGTTTTCACTGAACCCATACTCCACAGGGCTACAGCACACTACCGACAGGACGGCTAAACTTGCTACTATCTTCCACATTTTGCTATTTCCGAAGACGAACACACAAGTTTCAATGTCGGATGACTTATGATATCATCCCAAAAGTGTCATGGAATTTATCCTTTGTCCCCCCACTATAAATCACACACAATGACGTAAAATATGTGCGCACTGTTTGACAACATGCGCTAACTGATGAGGCTCCATACGTAAGGATAAGTAGAAAAATAAATATTGGTTAGAAAGCGGCGTTTGTTCACTACCAAATAAATACTGGCTCTTGACGGTGCAAATGAAACGAAAGAAAAAGTGTGATTGTTTGAATTTTCGTGCCTACGTACTAAACATCATCAAATGGCTTCAGACAATAATACCACTTAGTCCCCACGTAACAAAGGTCAAAGTGAGAGTGCGATGCGAACAAAAAAGTCGTAACGTTGTGTCAATTTTGACGTCTCGTCCGCGGTAATAAATGACGATGTAACATTTTTTTAAATTTAAACTACGACTGTCTTTTGTCAATAAGTGATTGTTCATTGATACAGCGATGAATTGATATAATGATGAGAAATTATATGTCAGCGATCATTATTGGTAATTCCAAAGTGAACTTACAAAAATAGTAATTATATACAATTTCATCGCACACCGAAAACAAAAAAAAAATTGTTTCATCGTTTTCTTAAAAATAAATAGTGTTAATTAAAGTTACTTGCACTGTCTTGAATAAACAATGCCTTATTTTATATGTAGCTATTTATTAATAAATTTTTGGGTCACGCTAGACTATAGTAAAACCGGTAAAGTCGGTTTTATAGTTAGAAAATTACTTTCTGCGTAGCCACTGTCCATTTCAACGAAATTATTCTACGTAATTTTAATGTGTAATTTATTTAAGAGAGAAAATATATTTTAATTGACTCGAGACAAAAGAAACTTGAAACAACTCGTGCATTATTTCGTAACTAGAGTTCATATTGTTTAGACCTCTCTTTATTTTAGTGTTATTTTAATACGGTAAGTTAAGTTAAAAAAGCAGAGAAAGTTTAACTGTTTTAGTTGTAATCGTAGCTTTATGTTTAAGAAAACCATTCTAGAAAAATAATAATGCATTAAAAACCATCTGCATTTAAATATTAATTCATTTTAATAAGAATATAGACAATCTTAATTATGTGAAACTTTGACTAGCATAAAGCAAATCGAGGTAATTAAACTAGATTTTTACTTTCGATTACATTATGTAAGTCAACTAATTGAACATTATAGATATCGATGGGAAACCATAAAATTAATTTATTTCTATTGCGTAAAAGAAAGTTTTAATGTAAGGTAATCATAATTTGTTAAAATAATTTGCGCTTCCAGAAAGTTCAGATCAGTAGATAGATCAATAAAAATGATGTTTCTATAATCTATGTATTTATCAACAATCACATCAGTATCTCATTGGTTGTGCATTTTATGTAAATGAAATAACGGTTGTTTATAAAAATTTCACTAGTGACCTTTTACCTTATGACTGTTATAAAATGACATGATCAGCGAAAAGAATAAGTAATATCTGTAGTTTAAGCGAGTAGTACACATTTAAATAAAACATTTCTAGCAGTTTAAAACGCGAAACCTATCAGTTAACTTATTTACAATGTATTTAAACTTTTATACCTCACCTGGACTGCGGGTTAGACATTTCGGGTTTTAAACCATTTTATTCATATATATAATTAGTATGGAATTATCAAAAAGTATTGTCGTATAGATTCGAGTAATTCCAGGTTAAATTCGTAACACCTTTAATATTATGATATAGTAAATGTTTTTTTTTTATTGTAGGAACGCCTTAAATAAAAATAATGCTTATTGCAAATGTGTTTATCTAATTTTTAAATCTTTAGATTTTATATATGACTATATTTTTTCCGTATTATTTAAAAATTTCGAGCTATTATTGTTTCCATAAATATTTTTATTATTGTTCATCACTAGTACAGAGATTACGAAGAAAACGTTGAAGATTTTCTTGATTCAAAAATTATTTAAACCTTTCTTTCGCCTGACCTGGAATGAGATTTCTGGACCTCGTGATTGGCCAAGCTAACTAAAGCAACAGGGCGAGTTGATCAGGGTAATAAGGAATATAAAATAATATACAGCACATACAAATTATAGTTACCGGCATCTAAAAAATGCATTAGAACTTTGAGTCAAGTTCACAACGAACTCGGCCAAGAACATTATAAAACGATTAAGTAATTGAATCCAAAACACAATTGTTACATCAGTTACGTGTGGATTGCATTCAGTGAAAGTGGTGTAGAATTCGCAGACAAAACGGGGTCAACTTAGCTTGGTGATTGATTTTTTAATGCATCTTTTATGTGAGTAAAAGGTTATGGATTATTGGTAATTAAAAGTTGTCGAGCATGGCCTGTATATTGCCTACCATCAATTAAACCCTTCGCTTGTCTGTCCTCGTCTATCATAAAAAGGAGGACTCCATCCGTTAATGAACCACTCCTTGTTTTTATTTTTCTTTTTTAATATCTTAAAATATTTTCCTTCGATGTCTAAATTTTGTCTATGTCATGAACCGTAGACAGCTATGTAACCGTAGACCTTCCCATGCGTATTTGTCTTTTCTTGTCTGTATTTTGTAAGAATCTTCCAAAATTGAAATTATTTTTACGAGTATTATTTCTTTAAGCAAGCATATACATAAATAAACTTCGTAGTTAATTTTGGATTCCAATATTCATTCTTTCTTATATCGAAGTGATAACGTATAAATTATTCTTGTCACAATTTATTTTCGCCGTTTAAGTTAATAAGTTTCAAATTTTATAACATTAAAAACTCATTAATTTCTGACCTATTCCTATCAGTTAACTTTCCAAAGCCATAGTTCTCAATAGGCTTTTCATTTATAAATTATGATTAATTATACTGTTGGTTTAAGGTCACACACAAGTTATGTCCTAAAATTTGATTTATTAATCAAACAAGAAAATAGATATTTTTTATCTATTTTGCTTTGTCGTGTTGAATTAAAAAATGAGGATTCGATAATCTTGCGTGGAATTCGTTATTATTTTCAATTCTAGACTAAATTATTTTAACTTTCATCTACTAATAGTAGTTCTATATCTGTTCTTGCAGACCGTCTGTGAGGGTATAGACCTTCGTCAGCCTAGCTAGGCTTACAATTGCTTCTAAACATTTTCATGAGTTTGAAGCACCCCTCCTATGGCACATACCACGAACACATTCAGTGTCCAGGGGTAGTAATTGATGACTGTGCCCTACACGATAGAAACAAAAAATTTTTACCGCGGTATTCAAAACCTCTTGTGCTTAATATTTTTATCATGGAGCTACGGAATTGTCAGTAAAGGTAATTATAAATAGTAATCTGTTCTTCAACTTGTGGATCGTGAATCTTCACTGGAATATTCTTCAACCTGTCTAACATAACTGTGCTGCCAGGTGCTAACCTGAAAACCATATCCATGGTTAACTCTGTGTGTGATCAGTGTAATTATAACTTTGACAGGACTCAAATCAGTCCCCGCCTCCACGATGAACACCCATCAGCCCTCGAGGAATGCGGCATGACCTCAATAGAATACCATAAATCTAGAGAGCCACACCCTTAGGTAGGAAGCGGTACATAGTAGTGAGAAAGCTGGGATGACTCACTAACACCGGCCATCGAGAACTGTGACCTTGACGTAACGGTACTTCTGTATTACACGGGTGGAATTCACGTGAAGCTTTTTTTATGTTAGAGAAAAAGGAGCTCATTTGAAAAAAGGTTAATAAGCCATATGACATCAAACAAGATGCGTTTGGATATCCAAAAATTCCCCAACTAAAAGTGAAGATTGTTGGAAGGTACACTGTCACATTTATTATGGTACACTAAATTGGTAGAATCTTTTTATTAAATCCATTTTAGTCTAGACTAAAATTGGATTTAATAAATAGATATTTTACGCTAGGTTCAAATCAATAAATCAAAACCGTAAATAAAGTAGTTACTCTAAATCTACATTTACGAGCATACCCAAAATGTAGAAAGAAATTTGTTGAAGGGTTAAACATCTTTATTGTTTAAAAAAGGAATAAAACAAAATTACTGTCACTTCCCCTTCTTCTTCATTCTCTTTTTTTAACATAAAAAAAAATCACCCAGTGTACCGCAACTTCCACGCATCTTGGGTGCGGCTTTACGAACTTTCGTTCCGTTTTGCGGACATTACAATGAACCTTACACAAATTTCTTAGGCCTTAAAGACGACAGATCGCTTCAACTCTTATTATGTCAGGATAAGGGCTAAAATTGCTAGTATGCGATTGTAGGTCAATAAATTATATACGGATGTGGGTATTGCGTACTTTCTTAGTTACGTGAGGTAGTTACGTGTCATGATATCATTGAACTTGTAAGATTAGTTCTATAAATAATTCACTGAGAATATTATTCAATTACTTATCGTATTTATATCATTTGCAGTGAAATTTGTACCGCTATAGATTAAGTCATAATAAAAACTTAAGTTTAAAAGATATATTAGTTAAACTTATGAGACTAAAGTCTCCCCGTGACCACGGCTGCTGCAAAGCATCCGAAACGTCGGGCCGAAGTTATAATATTTCAAAAGATTTCGTTCATTTTTTAAATGTTATAAAGACAGTATTTAACTATTAAGTCTCCAAAAGCTTTGGTTTTTTTTAAATCGGTCTTAGAAGTCTTGTTTGTAGTTTACTTAGTTGTTAGTATACATTTAGACTTAAGCAACTAACTTAGCAGAAAAGAGTTTGTTCGAATTTCACTGCATACTCAGTAAATGATTTATAAACCTGAACTTTTTATAATGTCGGGCCATAGTAAAATTGAAATAAGAATAAGTTAATTAATTTATTTCTCATCTTAAACTCCTAAAATCAATTTTTAATGAAATTAAATACACCAAGCCGTTGGCGGTCTAAGGCAGTCTGCGTTTCTTGTATTTTACTTTCTTATTCAACGCATGTTTGTTTTACCATTATATAATAAGGTTTATAATTATTTTTTAGATATTATATTTCTGGTAACAAACTATAAGGTGACTGACGTAGGTACGTATTTTTAAGAATCTTTTAACTTAAAGTTTTCTTTGTATACTACAAAAAAATCTTTCGCTATATTTTTTTAATATAGAGAAGAACAGACAAGCATGTGCTGTCGATCTAATGCGGCTTTGGATATTCAAAAATCTTCAGACTAAAACCGAAACGCGATCAAACTTCACGGCTTTTTATCTGTGTATGGTGTTTCGTGACCCGGTTGGAATTTCGAGTCTCACCACCCTTTAATATCGAGTAGCATTTCCAGAGAAGTCAGAAAAATTATAAATTGAACAATTAGAAACTTTTAAAAAAAAACTTTAACGGTTTAAAACGCGATATATTGGTTAAACTTATTTGACAATGATTTTTAACTTCGGCCCGACGTTTCGGGCCTTTGGTTGAAATAAACCACTAATATATCGCGTTTTAAACCGTTAAAATGTTTTATTTAAATGTGTACTACTCGCGTAAACTATAGACAGTATTAAATTAGGAACATGTAGAACCTCGCTGGGGGTCGAACCCACGACCTGATGATTATTGCTACCATTAGATCAACGAGCCCGTAAGCTGTATCTGTAACACGAATGATTTAAATAAACGCTTTAACTTCCAAGATAATTAAAACGCGTTGAATATAAGACGAATAGTTACGAAACTATCTGACGAAACGGCATAAAGACATTCATCAATTCAGAGGCAGGATATGACCAGCTCCAATGGCTTTCAAAGTTACGTAACAGAAAAAATCTTTTACTTAAAAATGAAAGTTTTTAACATCCGCTTATATCATCGTATATGAATAGTTATTTACATAAAAGAGAAAGTGATAGTACATATTTGGTCTCATGGTGTCCCATTTACTCTTACAAAAAAGAAGATGCCTTATGTACTTCAACTTATTACCCTGGTACTGCGCAATTTAATTATCTTTTATATAATTAATTTAATTCGACGTAATTGAAAAATCGTTGGAATGCGTAATCAGGGCCTAAATAAAAATAATAATAATTTCAAACTTTAGAAAGCTTTAAAATACCATGTCTTGCGTAAAAATATAATTAGTGTTAAACAAAGTGAAAATGAAGATGAAAGTTAATTTCTGATTGTTATCTTAGCGCACACATAATTACGAACGATAATAATTAAATTAAATTTTAATTATTTTATTTAAACCTTTTATGAAATAATTCACTGTTCTAGTTCTCTTCGTAGACAATGTCGGGTTTATAATTAGTGGTATTGTGACCCTCTCAATAGAGTCTCGGACTCGAATCCCAGTACATAATGACGGATAACTTTCACCTTATTAGTACGGAAGAAGTTCTCACAATGATCTCTCTACTCAAAAGGCTATTGTTAAAATCGTGCTGGTGTTTGAAATCTTGAGATTATCTGATGGGAACTCTCAAGCAATTTGAACCAAACTTTTTTCGAACGCAGTGTATTACAGGAGTATAATAAAAGACAAAATATATTTGTACACATTTTAATTTCACGAGGATCCATCGTAAAATATTAATCAAGATTTTCTTAACGTAATCATAAATAACTCGTTAATAAATATTAAATATGACTCGTTTCACTCACTCATGCCTCATGCTATTACATAAATATACATACAATATCTTTGGGTAACATAAAATATTTGGTAAATAAACTATGTACTTATATAAAAGAAGTAAAGCTATCCTGAAAGTTATACATACTTAAAATAATACGTATATAATAAAATAAGGATACACTACATAAAGTATAACAAACAGACTAAACAATAAATGTATCAGTCGGAAATTAAAGCAAGAGACCCATAACAAAATAGAAAAAAATACTGTTTAGTATACACTCAACATGCATTCAATCACATTTCAAACAAACGGTGGTCGAGAATAAATAAACTCATTAAATAAATTAATTAATTACAATAGCCATATAGCACCTCTGATCTTGGTAGTTCGATTAGCTACGATGGTTCGTAACCTGACATAGATTACAGAATAAAGTCAATCTTAGGTTAATGAAAGGAAAATGAGAAAGAAGATGACTACAAAAGAATTTGATGAAACGAAAAATGATTGGTCTTTTACACTAGAGGCGCTTATCTCATGGTTCTTAAGCTTGCTTAATATGAGCACCGTAAGCCATATTCTGGGCATCTTGGGACCTTCCCCAGCCGCCTCCACCACCGCTTTCCCAACCGTGCTCTTCATGAGCTGGTTCCGACCAACCGCTGCTCTTGCTGTTCTTTGAGTCGAGGAGCTTCTTGAGGGCTCCGAAAGCAGCTGCGATGAAAGCAATCTTTCCGAGGAGGTAGGCTTTGAATACAGCGAAGGCGATGATACCAAGGAACAGAGGAATGAGAGCAGCCAACTTCAATTTGATGAGAGCGAGGATTGGGAGGAGTTTCTTCAGCTTCTTCTTCTTCTTACCGCGACCTGCGCAAGAGATATTATTATAATTATAAGCATCAAGAACAATTATTAATAATTAGCAATTTGAGATTGAGTGTAATTTTGTTTTATTAAAATTATAATAAGCAAGAGCAGCTAATAAATAATCCATGTAAAAGTATATCTCCTGAGATTGATGCTTGAAGCGTTTTATCAAGCAATAACGACCTTTTAATTAAACACTGGAATGATTAGCCTTATAGGAGTTCAATTAGAAGAAGTTTTGTGAGACAGCAATAGGATAAAAAGTGAAAGCCCGTTTCTCCGTAGGGCATGGGGTGAACACATTTCTGTGTCTGTTTCACTAATTGGTTCTATTACGGGCAAGTAGTTGATCGAACTTCTGTGCCTTACTGTATATTTGGTACATTATATTGATAAATCAACTATGAACTATAATTTACCGTTCACTAACATTGTAGAGTCACTCTACACTGCAGATGCTAGTTACGAATACCACAATGTAAATAGTGTCTTACATCCTTCTTAGAACCGCGAAACTTAACACAGTAATACATACATTTAAGTGGCTTTGAATATAAGCAAATATTAAACTTTTAACTACTTGGAAGGTGATATTCGCTATTTGAAGAAACTTTTTTGAAAGGATTTTAAATATAAGTATATTTAGACCAATACAAATCAAAGATATAATATTAGGTATTATTGTGCGCGCTTTGTGGTTTAGTTAATTTCTCTTTCGAAATCTTGAGGTTATTAACCACATAGAAGTTTAAGTGAAAGACTATCGATTACTATATTAAAATCTATGTGTCCATTTGACTGGATTGGATAAGATCCAAATGCTTAACCTACTGAACACGGAAAGATGTTCCTAGGATATAGAAAAGATTCACACAACAAATCTATACATTAAAGTGTCTCGTATCCTCATTCAGGGGTTTAGGATGACGCTTAAACTGGGATACACTGATCACAGCGATGTTTTCCCGGGATTGAACCCGGGACCGTTCGTGATGAACAACCACTCAGACATCTGCCTACCTAGTAGGTATATTGAGAATCAGTATAAAAGGAATTATTAAAGCGTCGAGATAAAATTTAAGTAAAACCCAAATACCTTCTTCTTCAACCGAGTTGTCTTCTGTAAAAGCTTTCGGCATTCTGAGCTGCAGAACATGGTTATCCATGAAATCTACGACGTTGTCCATGATTCTCTCTTCTACTTGCAGTTCCCTGGCCTTGGGGTCGTCAGGTAGAGGCTCGTAGCTTCGGGCTGATCGCGGAGAACCGGTGCGGGCGAAATTGACTCCATCCACTAAGTTCAATTCCTTAGAGACGGCTAAATTTTCAGTAAACTTCATCGCTTTTTCCTGTAATCAAATTATATATTATTAGTCTTTAAATAACAAATTTAAGCAACATATAGCTAAGATTTACTAATGGGTTGCTTTATCAAATATACGATTATTGATACGATGGTTACAAATCGAACGAAAGAGTATTAAAGAAAAAATTAACTATATATTAAGCAGCCAGTTAAATAAAGTAACTTAATAACACTCTTTAATAGGTCAAAACTAATAAGACGAAGACAAATATAAGAAAAATCTTATATTATCTTAACGTAATTAAAAAAAATATAAAGTCATGTAGGTAAGATATTTTTTTGACTTTAATAATTGAGCAAAGATTTTTTTTTTATTTTAAAAGCTTATCTACGTTTATTGTTTATTATTAGTAACGTTAAATGGGCAGTTATTCTGCAACTTTAGATTTTTGGCATTTTTTTAAACGCAAACTAATCCGCTAGCCTAGCTATATCTCATATTAGACGTTTAAAAGTCCTTAAACACAAACACTTCACATCACATCACACCTTTAAGCACAGCATTGTATCCGAATCCACACAGTCCCTGAGGGTCGACACAAACTTCTCCATCACGCCATCTTCCTTCGTCGGCATGGCAGCCGAGGCCGCGACCACGCAAAGAAAGATGAATGCTTTCATGTTACAAGCGTATGAACAATTGTCAAAGACTCCGGTAACGTATTCGGTTTTATTCCTATGCCCCTCCTTTTATTTTCATATGTCACGCTGTCTGACGAAATGCTTAAGCTAAGTACTTATTAACATGTGCGCGTAAGTTTTAATGGTGTGTGAATTTTAGACTATGAATGGGATTTCTTTTTTACGATGCAAAGGTTATTGCGATTATGAGGTCACGCCGGTGTTGAGATAATCATTTTTCGTATTTACGTCGCGTCGGTCGGACGTGGTGTATTTTTAAGTTTTTCAAATTTTGCCATAAAATTATTTAGTTTGACGTTTGTATTATTTTTATATAACGCTTCATATAAGGGATTATATTGCTTGTTAACTTTATAGTTTCAATTGTGACGGAGTCTTTGGGTGTAATGGTTGCAATGTATGGCTAATAATCAACAGGTCTTAGGTTTGATCGAACATTTTTCTAATCATAATTTTTCTGAAATATGTTGGATATCGTCTTGAAATCTGGATATTTAATGGGTGGTAGGAATATCGAATTTCCGGCCAGGTCACGAACCATTCTGTCAATTTTAATGGCGTTTCGGTTTCAGGTTAAAATAGGTCGATTGCGCATCTTGTTTAGATGTATATAGTTGGGGTATTTCGCCTTTCCATCGAGTGCTTCGAGAGCTTTGCTTGTCTGTCTTCCTCCATCATAGAAGAAAATTTAAAATATAATAGAATATTTGTGGTCTTAGTACACAGAAAAGATAAATGTGTAAGTCATTTCTATTGTAAATCAAAGTATACATTTTAAAGGTGAAAAGTATAGAAATGTTTAGACTGACATAACATTAATATTATTTAATTTCCATATTATTTTAGGAAGGTTTAATGCAAACATACCAAACCTTCTATAGTACTTAGACTTTAACGTTCTTTAAGTATTAAAAGCTTTGAAATGTAGTGTTTTATAAGATTACATTTTTTATGTAGAATTTTGAGAAAAGTATACTTGTGGAGTTTGGACATACACACATTTTTAAATTTTACGATGCCCCATTTTCAATAATTAGATAGAAATTCCATTAGTCAGACTTCAGTGCTCTGCCCCACCTAAGCACATCATTTCTTCTTGGGATTTGAACCCTCCCAACTTTCCTCCATAAGGCAGATTGAGGTAACATACTTAAGCATCAACCAGCTGCGGAGGTGGTAGAAGTAAAAATAGAATTCTTGTGTTTACAAGTTTTATTCCCAAATACGGTACATAATATATTTTTATTAATTCATATAGCATCGTTGTTTAACTTCGTTCTCAGATTTCTTAGAACATTATATTGTAGCCTTAGAAAGATTAATTAAGCTTTTATCCAGTCTTTCACTATTTTTAAACAATAGACGTGCGAACAGATCTCCAACATAACAATGTCTTACTGAGACAGTTAAGTCTAATTATAACAAAAAACTCGACTTACGGAAAATTGTTTTTATCTTAACACAGTACGTATAAGGCAAGTTCGCGACGTCTTCACCCTTACATTTAAATAAAACACTTCAACGGTTTAAAACGCGATTTTTATATGTTAAACTTATTTGAAAATTATTTAAACTACAGCCCGGCGTTTTAAATCGTCAAAGTATTTTATAAAAATGTGTACTACCCGCGTAAACTACAGACAGTATTTAATTATGTCATTGTTATCAATGTCGCTTATCAAGGGGTTATTTAAGAGGAATATTTTTGTAAATACCCGTACGATAGAACACCTTTTTACAGACTGTTTTACCCTAAAAGCTGATAATAACAGATTCTGTAGCCCCATACAGAAAGAATAGAGGGCATATGATACATTAGAAAAAGAACCATATATTTTGTTTAATAGCCATGCTATTTTTAAAAGAAAACAATTACTTAAATTAAATTTAAAAAAGTTTTTTTAGTGAGTAAAAATCTTGTTTAGAATAAATAACACTGTAAAAACAGGACTAATTTTTTAAATTACAAAGCAAAGGCCTTTGTAACGCTATATGTTAGTAAATAGTGCGGGTATTATTAAAATATTGAAGACATTTTATTCATAAAAGAAAAAAATGTCCTAATGTATGCTTAATCTTATTTCTCAAGCAAATCCACGGATGTAGCCTAGTTTAATAATCTTGCGAAATGTCTTATACGAATTCCTGTTTGACGAGCCGAAACTTTTCTCAATGAACACGTATTCACACATGTACACTAATTACATTACGTTTTTACTTATGGGAATAGTGTCACACGAACTAGGTCCGGTTTTTTAGGAAAGGAAGCAATGAAGAATATTTAATTCGATCTTTAGTTATTAGTTTTCTTACTTTTACGGGAAGCAAAATTAGAGAGGCGTATATATCGTATACTAAAAAAAAAATTAATTTAAATAATATTTAAACAATTATTTTTGTTGGTTAGACCATTTAATGAAGAGGGCTTTGTGTATAAAACATTACGTTGAAAATTAATTATCTTTGAGGGCTTACATTACCCAATAAGATATTAGAAAACAGATTGTTCCATAAATGATACAAAAAATTTCCGCGTATGTGTTTGTTAACTTTAACTCGAACAACGAGATGAGGTCGTTGTTTGCAAATATGATTAATATAATGCATAAAATAAGTATTCCAAGCGGACAAAGTCGCGGGCACATTTACTTATAACTTAAAGTTTTCGTAAGTGGTCTAAAACAAAAACATTTTTTTAATTCAAACCAGTCGTTCCTGTGGTAAGGGCGTTTAAACAAACAAACTCTTCAGTTTTATATTTGTATAGACAATTTGAATGACATTCTTAGCTTTAAGTCAAAAGGACATTAAGCAGTTAAAATATCATACCACACACGTTACAATATCGACATCGATGCTTTCCAAATAATTGAACCGAATTCCGCTATAATATGACAATTTGTATTCTATGGAATTGATCAAACAGTTTGGAGTCATATCGCCACCGTGAAAGTCTATCTTTGGTCAGATCTTGAATGTAAACAGCGCCATTATGCAATTTATTGCATCTTCAGTCTACGGTGGTATTAAGTACCATCAATTACTTTTGTTTTCACTTGCTGTTATGAAATGGTAAACGACTGCTATATTAATACTACAGAAATCTTGTAACTACTTTACCTATACTTGTACGCGTATGCAGAAAATAAACTTCTTTTTAATGTTTAAAACGCGAAATATATTGTTCATGTATTTGCGATATTCAGCGATCACGAAAATGTCATACAATATTTTTAACAGTTTGAATTCTAAGCCGTAAGTGTTTTTAATATAAATATGTTGTATATAGTTAAATAAACGTACAGAAACTATTTAGTTTAAAAAAAATCGACCAAGACGTGGAAACGGTAGCTCAATTGGCTCAGAACGATTGCGGCGGATTCAAGTCCTGGCCGTGTCGTAAATTTGTTTCCATCTAAAATTGATTTTTAATTTAGTATGTAGTATGACTTGTAAGGATAATTTTTGAATTGTATGTATCTTTATATTAATATGCGTATTAGTATTGGAAAAATAATAAAGGAAATTTAAAAATAATGGGTGGATTTTTTACCACTTTTATATATAACAGACAAACGATAAAATATGTCGCAGTCAAACTTAAGCGTAATTGAGAATAGCCCCCGACTGTGGTCGCGGTTATCACGAATCATAGCCTCTAAAGTTTATTCTCAACCGTCTCCTATTGACACCTCAAACAATGCTGAATCAGAGAGAGTTCTTTGTAATATTCAACGATTTCCTATACAATATACGAATCTTTATTTTGAAAGCAGGAGAGCCTAAATTAGGATGCATTCTCTCTATTTAAAAGATGCTTAGAGGATCGCCTCTGGGCACTCACAGAATGTCTAAGTGTAGGGAAATCTCAATGATAATGATGATACGTAATAGAGAAACCACGTTTCCTTTTGAGGCTGGACGTATCATCCACTTCAATTAGGTGCCCTTGGGGTCAGTGGTTAATTAGTTTTAAAGATTTTTTATAAAAGTTGATTGCAGAAAATTTCAAAATTGAAATGTGTAGTCACTCATATTTCGTATATTACATTTAATTTTGTATAGAAGAATTACTCTTCTTTAAATGATCTAAATAATTTTCTGCGACGGTATATCTATGTTTTGGGTAACGGCTACAATTTATGAAGATGAGGGGGGGACGAGGCTAAAAAAAAATATATATTAGTTTATTTTTTTATTACAAAGGTCTGATAGTTAATATTGTTAAGGTTTGTAGTGTTAGTAGGCATGATATTTTTTATTTACAAAGCTCATTACTAACACAAAACTAACGCTATTTGGTTATGATGTAAATTTAATGTTACAATATTATACGTATCGCTCGTCGGTACGTATCAATATTTTCACCTTAATATAAGGTCACTGTGTACGAAGAAGCGCATTGTTGATTGTTGATGCACCCATGGTGCGTCTATGCACGATTCCGGTTACATCAATAGGATGACCAAACTTTTTTTATTAAGGTAGAAATAAACATTTTTTTTAAAACGAAAATTGTAACTGTCTTATTTGTGTAAGTGTAGATATTATCTATCCGGATCTTGGAGTACATACACATTATGGCCGTTTTGCTTTTTTTAATGATAGAGAAGGACAAACAAGCATGTAGTTAAGTTGATGGTAGTTGAAATAAGTTGGTTGAGCCAAGTAACGTTTAAAAAAGTTGTTCTGTTGACCTATTTTGCCTTTGGTACCTTCCTTATCGATCAGTTTCAGGCAATGGCCTTACTTATATTTAGCATTTAAACCCGGAACGATAACTCGTCTCTAGTTTCAATCCCAGGACGCAAAATAACAATACGGAATAATGCTTATACCTGCCACACTGCATAGGCGAAATTTCAAGATTCATATATACATGTAAAAGAACATCTATACTGCTTCTCATCTCAACCAAATTTACCACTGATATTTTTTGAATTATGTTGATCGTGCCGTACAGGTAAAATAATATATGGCTGGCTAGAACAGCAGAAATGTCCTCCTATGTTTAACATGATAGTCACCCCTATATAAAACGTGACTCCCAAACAAAGAAAGTTGTAATGTAGGGTGTAATTGTAATCGCTACACGATAGGCTTAAATTGTAGCAATCTATGCTTGGAGCAAATGAGTTCAATTGTCTTATAATTAATGTTAAACAGAAAAGTAATTGAAAGCGTATTATTAATATGTATGCGATAGAGAGAAGTAGTAGATCGAAAAAAAACACCTGGACTTTTATTAATTCTTCCAAGATCTAATAAAAAAAATATTCATGCATTATCATTCTATGTCCTTATTACGTTTTTAAATATTCTAAAGATAAGTTTTACTGATTAATTGAAGGATATTTATGTTAAAATCGTCTCAAATATTATAACTAAACTAAAACTTCAAAACTTGAAATATTTGGTTTCGTACATACCTATTTTTCCTCAATCGATACGATTATTAATAGATATTATAAAGTGTAATTGATAGTCCTATAATATAGGCTTTGAGCTAACTAATTCTGATTCTTTGTGTTATTATATTGTATGTAATGCAAAGAAATGTACCTATCCTTATTATAATAGACTAAATTTAGTTTATAAATATATTAAAAATCAATTACACATACTCTTTATATAGTTTATTTATAAAGATTTTTGAAATAATTTCCTATTATAACTTCTTAAGTGAATAGTATATTTTGCTTTAAATGAAAATAGTATTATGGATATAAAACCAGTATTAACAATTTATCTCATTATAAAGGAGTAAATAAAAATGACACGTAACATTCAGTTCTTTATTTGTACGAATCGATTTGTCGTTAAAAATATATAAAATCTATTTAGAATACAAAATATCATTTAATGAAACTTCTCATCGGCGGTTGAGAGATTATTTATGATTGAAATATATAAGGTGATGAGATAGGAATATATAAAATGACATAATTATGAAACACAGAAGGCATATATATTACATACAACCATGTGTACCGGTGTGTTTGTAAAATGAAGGAAATATAAGAAAAACATACATAAATATGATGACAATATCGTAATATGAACTATGAATTCGGAAATTAGGAGGTATTATGACGATACATAACAATACTTCATAAATAATAATATTATATAAATTATTTACAAAATATAAACATTTTACATCATCTATGAATATTTAAGATATAAATAGATATGAGAATATATATGTACATAATAATATTAAACATAGGACTATCTAAGGACTTAAAGGACTAGATCACAAAATATCTAAAGAAATAGGTATAAGAAAGTATCGAGTATCTAAAATATTTGTAAAAAACAAATACACAAATACGGATACCGTATAGAGTATAAAAACATATACTAATATAGTACAACTGAGGATCATACAAATTCAGAACATATTATTGAAAACGAAACAACAGTGGCGAACTTCGCCACCCACCCTTACAAAGGGTTTCAATAAATACTAGTTAAATAACCTTACAGCTAACAATAAATAAGTCATTTCGCTCGTTCACGTCGCATTTTCCATTTATATATCTTATACATAACTGAGGATCGAGAGTAGGTCCTTGTGATATACCTTAATCTGACTTAACATGTCCCGAGTATGCCAAGTCTTGGGCTTCGTCGATTGATCTGCCCCATCCATGGCCACTGCTTGCGTAGTGTTCTTCATGATGGGGATGGGCGACCACTTCGTAACTTGTTTCATGGTGCTTGCTTGCGAGGAGTTTCTTCAGGGCAATGATACCGGCGACAAGAAGAGAGATCTTGGCGAGGAGAACAGCCTTGGCAGCAGCGAAGGCGATGATACCAAGGAAGAGAGGGATCAATGCCATAATCTTCAGTTTAGCGATAGCCAAAAGGGGGATGAGCTGCTTCAACTTCTTCTTTTTGCCACGAGCTGAAGTGAAAATACATGATATTACCCTGACTTATCAAAAATCTCAAGTTATAAGGTTATAATGAGTTATAATGATATTCAAAGGCCAAGCTGCAAATATAGCGTCTGCTAACGAACAAAGTAAAATGCATAATAATATTGTCAAATTTATTAATCTCAAATTGTCCCACTTGAATACTGCCGCAGATGTTTTAAATTTACAATTTGTGATAACGATAATTCTTATAAAAAAATCGTATGTAACGAGAACAAATGTCAAATAAATTCGAATCGTATATAAAATAACGCCTTAAAGGAAAGTGAATGAATTCCAAATTCTTCAACCAGTTATAACTAGGCTATGAATATTTGTATGCGTAACCATCGTCCTCGTGAAATTGCGTATTCAATATGTGCGTTTAATTGTTTGCGATTTTCATATTGACACCTATAAAGTTATTCTAATTTTGAGAATTTAGAACGTCCGTGAAGGAATGCTAATACCGTTTATGATAACAGTAATGTGTACGCATAATTTAAAAGCCCATAAAAGTTTGATTAATACTACATTGAATTGATAGCTTAGTTGGTAGAACAGATGATAGAGTCTGTGTCATTTAATTTTTATGTAATAATATTAACGGCCTAACGCTTAATAACAAATGAGTACTTTAGTACTTCTTATTGAGTACATAGTACTAAAAAATGAAGAGACAGTTTGAAAAAACTAAGCAATCCAGTTCTATGGTCAAGTGTAACAAGAATCGGCTTTCCGAGCAGCGGTTGATTTCTCTGACGAGGAAGGAAACTTGTCTTGAAAGCTCAGACGCTTATGGATACTAAAGTCTCTGATATATTGAACTTGGTGAGTGTTCTAATTTTAAACTAAGTACCTTCGTTTATTACTATGTAAGTAGATCTTTACAAAAGTACTGTGGAAGACGTGACATGTAGTATTTTGCGTAATTAGCAGAGTCATACTTCCAAAAACGATGTTACTCTGTTAGAGTTATCTTTACATCGAAAATGTTGTTTACGAGTAGTACAGATGTAACTAATAGAATGTATTTGAAAAATTAATATTTTTCACATGTTATTGCAATGAAGGCACTATATAATTTAAAAATGAAAATAAATTGAAAAAATTTTCGACTCCAGACTTGAACCGCATGTCACTTTCCGTGCTGTTGCTCTACCAATTGACTACCGAGTCCTACACCTCATCGTCGAATTTTTTCAACTATTGATACATGCACCTCTCCGCAATGTAATTTCTACCTTAAACTTGCGTATTAAGGCTCAATGTCTTATGCTTTGCAGCTTAAGAAATCATTGAAGATGAAATTACAAAGTTATAACGTTTGAAAAATTAATATTTTTCACATCGAAAATAAATTGAAAAAAAAAAAAAAAATTTTTTCAATTTATTTTCGATTTTTAAATTATATAGTGCCTTCATGTGCAATAACATGTGAAAAATATTAATGTTTTCAAACGTTTATAACTTTGTAATTTCATCTTCAATGATTTCTTAAGCTGCAAAGCATAAGACATTGAGCCTTAATACGCAAGTGTTAAGGTAGAAATTACATTGCGCGAGAGGTGCATGTATCAATAAGTTGAAAAAATTCGACGATGAGGTGTAGGACTCGGTACTCAATTGGTAGAGAACAGCACGGAAAGCTGACGATGCGGTTCAAGTCCTGCCCGAGTCGAAAATTTTTTCAATTTATTTTCGATTTTTAAATTAATAGAATGTATTGTTTTTCCGCTAATTTGTGTTCCAATATATCTGCTCATAAAAGGAAAATGATTGATTCTTAAATGTTTATGATTCACATAAATTTTATAACCATCTTAGTCTGTCCGTCTATCTCCATAAAGATAATTGCTAATGCCCTCACATGGGTTCCGGTTGCAGTAGAATGAGAACGGTACTTGTTAACAAGGCACAAATGTATGAAGCGTTTCTAGTACTATTATCGCTTTAGTACCTTTGAGTAAACAAGTTTCGCAAAAGGTATTCGCGAAAACAGATTTCAAGATCTGTCACTGAGAGAAAATTTTACATGGTAAATAATTGTTTTGCCTATTGTAATGTATTTAAATATAACACTCTAACGGTTTAAAACGCTACATATATTAGTTAAACTGATTGGAAAATTATTTTACCTACGGCCCAATGTTCCGTTACCATTGCTGCTGCAAGGCATCCGAAGCGCGCGTTTTTATCGCGTTTTAAACCGTTAAAGTATTTTTTTTATGTGAACTAGCTTTGTAGTCTACAAACTGTATATTATTGTAATATAATTATTGTTTATCTTCTTAACTTTACTTATTTAATTAATTTATCCAAATAGAGTTGCCTACAAGACATGATAGATTTTTTGTAAAAAAAAGTTAATTGTATGGTATTTTTAAGTAGTAGTTCTAGATAGGAATAAATATAAGACAAGTGAAAGGCGAGATGGGTAATCGATCAACTAAAATTATTAAGATCGGATATAAAAACAACTCTCACGATAAAAGTAAAAGTTGTTTTTTGAGGACGAAATTCACACAGACCGATTTATTATTTAAATTTAGATCGTAAAATTTTGATTATGTGTCTCTTTTAAGCATATGTTTATCACTAGTGACTGATAAAATGTGTAAAATTTTGGTTCTGTACTCGTATGCACTTTGTGAGAAGAATTTGAAACTGAATAGATGAAATTAAAATAATACGTGAAATATTTACTTAATCCGTTTTTGCAATGTATTTTCCTATAACGCAAATTTACGCTTAATCAAGTAAATAGCTTTGAACTTGACCGAAGCATTTTAATACGATCGTAAAATGTGCTGCTTTTTAAGTTATTTATTCTTTTTACGAAGTGTAATATATTGATTCCTCTCTTTTAAGTCGATCACATAAATTTGTACAAAATAATGAAATGTATTTAGTGGCTCTGAAATATTTCTTTTTTTTTATTCAAAGCATCCGAATAAATTAACAATAAGTTAAGTAATATATTTCGAGTTTTAAATGGTTAAATGTATTCTAATGGGGATTTTGTAGCAAATGTTGTGGAGATCATCCAGAATGTTGTAAACTCGGAAATACTCGACAAATTAAGATAAATTCTATATATTACCTTCTTCAAGAGAACGCTTCATGCCTTCGACAGCAGATGACGGCATACGGAACTCGACAACATGGTTTTCTAAGAAGTCAGCAGCGGAGTCAACCAGCCTGGTTTCCAATTGCGCTTCCCTGGCCTTTGGCTCGTCTGCCAGAGGCTCGTACGACCTCGCAGACCTTGGAGAGCCGGTGCCGATCAACGTGATACCCTCGACGAGGTTCATTTCCCGCGCAGACGACAAAGTCTCCACATACTTCAAGGCTTTCTCCTGCAACGAAAAGATAATCTTAGATTTGTTGTTTAACACACACACACCACACTGACACTATCACTTCACACACCTTGAGGCACAAGGATACGTCCCCGTCGAAGCACTCCTTAACGACCCCCAATACGTTCCCCACGACACCATGGTCCGGGTCTTTGTCCAGCGCGGGCATGGCCCCCGCCGACGCGAGTAGAAATAGGGCAAATGCGTACCGCATGTTTGTTTACTACCCCTGAAAGCTTAGCAGAAAGTGTGGCTGCCGTGAATAAAGTCGTGAGTTTTAAGCATTTCACCCCACTCCTTGCCGGACGCAAAGTGAACCTTAAAGCGGGTGATTAGACTCGCACGGACGAAATTATTTTAATTCGTACACTTGCCGCGTGTACTTCATTCATGGGTGGACTTAGGTAATCGTGCTTAGAGCTGCGTAATCAACTGTGAAGTTTGCAGTTTATTCGATAGATTGGCTTGTAAATGTTAATAATCATTTTTATTCAATAAGTGTTACAATTTATAATATTAAAGTGACAGATATGTTAAGTTAATAGTGTGCCAAATTAGTTTAAATACGGTTTAGGGCTATAAAATAAAGTGAAACATCGATAAAGTAAATAAAATGTGACGAGCGTGAATTTAAATTAAGAACACTCCTAGTAATCTTCAAATATACGTCCTGAATATTTGTTTAAATATACATAAAAATTTCACTCTGAACACATATAAATGAATTAGTTTTAACTTGTACTTTTAAACAATGTTGTACAATCAACAACCTATACTGAACTTGTCGTATCTATAAATTTATGATATGAATAAATTAACATTAACAAATTACCAACGCTACCGTATTTAAGTAGCTTAACTTAGTATGACAAATAGCACTGGTCTTTTTTGTTGATCTTTGTATGTTTAAAAGTACTTTGATAATAAAAGAAATTGGTTTTAAATATTTGTTTTTGGCATATTGGAACACTAAAAATAAAATATATAATATAATATATAGTAGTATAAAGGTTCTGTGACCGGTTAAACGAATTTTACTTAAGTTATGTTTAATTATACAATTAAATCAATCAAATAACACTTTCAATAAATATGTCTTTCTGATGTTTATTCAATATTACAAAAGTGTATAAGTGATATCGCAAACATTTAATTTTTTTCCTCGTTTGAGCAATGGAAAATTTTATAGAATCCAAAGCACCTATGACTTGACATGAATTATTTTATAGTGAATTCGTAACACTTTCTAAGTAAAAACAAACTCTCCTTGGCCATTGTTCTACATTTTTGGTGTGAACTGAATTATAAGTGAGAATGCAATAAACTGGTCATTAAATAAAATGTTGGTAATTTTCTTACAAGATAATATTTGAAAACAAGCACAATAATAAGTTTATTATGCGGGTATTAGTCTAGTTATAATTTATATTATTTTTAAGGTAATAAGGCATTTAAATTATATTTTGGTTAATGTTTTTGTTTATCGTTCTATTTGTTATGTATTTTAGTACAGTAGGTGTATTTTAGATAAAGTTTTAATTAAAAATACTTCGAATGTCTATGCAAAACTAAGTCGGCAGTGTACACCCGTATTGGATATTATGGGGTTTAGGGTGCATTATTTTAAGCATGGTTCTTCATGCTTATCTGTCCTTGTAGCAAAAAAAAAACTAAACATATTCATTATTTCGTCTGTAAAGTATAAAAAACTGCATTTCACTAAATAAAACTCTGATTCAAGATGTTTGTTTTATTAAGAAAATTACTTTAATTGCTGAAAAGCTCACTAATGATCGTTGCGTACAAAAGAAAGTAATAATTACAATTACACAAAATATTATTAGAGTATAAGTGAAGATTGAACATGTATGTAATTTTGAAAGAGAAAGGCATAAACAAGTTAATTGATAAGTAATTTAAAATGCGTAAGAGCTTCAAATCGAGATTTCTTACTATACGAGAAATAACAATCATTTGTATATATATATACGTATATACGTTTCTATCTAAACTATCGATATTCTCAAAGACCAAGTGATACTAATTTTAATTATCGCATTTTTAATAATAACAATTATTCAGCGCGTATGTTACATTAATAATAAAGAAATAATATAATATAAACTAATAATGTTACTTACTTTGTTCCCTAAAATGCTATGACCTTTGCACGTGAAGTTCTAGATATAAATTTCGAAGAGATATCCTGTATATTCAATCAGACACAAAATACATACAGTACAGTACAACTTTCTTTAATTTCCTTTGCATCTGAATAGTTACGTCTTACCTAGCAGTAGGTTTAGCACGAAAGGTTCTATTATCGGGATAAAAAATCATATCAATCTAGAGAGTCAATCTAATCAAGTACTTGACTGTAAAAGTCGATCTTTGAAACAGACATAGAAATATGTTCGCTCCATACCACAGAGTATAATAGTTGTTTGAATCTTGGACCTTTGTCTCAAACCTTCAGAGTACCTATGTTGGTGACTCTACCTTTTAAATAAAACTCTTTAACGGATTAAAACGCGATATATATTAGTTAAACTTATTTGAAAATGATTTTAACTACGGCCCGACGTTTCGGATGCTTTGTAGCTGCCGTGGTCATGGGGACGGCTGCTGCACGCGTTAAGGTGTTTTATTTAAATGTGTACCACTCGCGTAAACTACAGACAGACTCTTCCTTTCTTTTATAAATGCATCTAGATCATCAGGGTTACCACGTGAATCTTATTAATAGTTCAGTGAGCAAAGACAATGGTGTTTTGATGTGAACCGTCACGTTCTTACACCCATCTTCCTAATTACCACGCTTTCTCATTAAAGGTCTTCAGAACAGTGCTATCATTTACAGCCAGACCTTAGATACAAGATTGATTGGATATATGGCGAGGTGTTTTCCGGATGTAGAGACAACAATGTTATCAGAGGGATGTTTCTGACATATTTCAGTTGTATTCTTTTATTGGCTGTATATTGTGGCAGGCATTTTATAGATCATTTAAAGAGGAATTATTCTCTCATACACATTTTTAGGTACCTTAAACCTTTCGCTGTTTTTTGCTCCTGTAAGTCGTATCATGGTATTATTAGGCCTATTTAAGCCTTCCCTAGGACTAAACAAATTAACTTATTTAACTATACAACAACGCCTTATAGAACTTCACAAATAATTTAAACATGTTCTATGATCAAAAATCATATTTCGGTCTTTTGGAGTTCTTCTAACTTTGTGTTTTAACTTAAGGCATTTCACTTAACGGATAATAATAATAACTAAGTTACAATAGCGTTTCTACGACAAGCCTTTAGGGATTTAGTCCTTCGAGAAGACTTTCTACTGTACATGCATATTTGATGGTTAACTTACTAATAGAAATAATTAACGGTAATGGATTAAAACTATACACACACACTTATTAAATAAAACACTTCTAGCATTTTAAATCGCGAAATATATAACCTAATTTATATGAAATTTAACGGTTTTAAACCATTCGAAACCATAGGTCCTAGTTAGAAATAAATTAAACACGTTATATTTACACGTTTCATACCTTTTTCATATCCTGGAATTTTAGGAATCGTAATGTTTAATACCCTAAAAATCAACATGCAGTCATGTTATATGTGTGGGAGAAAATTTTACGTTTTTTATTATGATATTGCGTAATAAAAATATGTAAACAAACTTACATGAAAGCTTAAGTAAAGAAGTGCACTTCAGCCGTAAAATTGACACTTACTTTTAACTTGTTGTTCATAAATTTGAATGTAATTTTTATTTTTAATAATTTATATTTTATTAATGTCTTATGGTTCAAGTCCTGCCCTGCATATTTTTCTAAATAGAGTTTTATATCTATTTTATCTTTTATTACTTATTGGATAGCAATTTTGAGTAGTTACAATAAACTGCACTACATAGTTGCACTTACAATATAGATTCTAACATACTTATAATAATTATTACTTTCAAATTAATTCGAAAAGTTTTCCGTAAGATCCACATAATTGCTCCCATTTCATTGTAAGTTATTTCTCGAAACTATTATAAACGTGATATACAAAGTCACTATAGCAGGTACAATTATGGCAATTTAAATATCGAACACCTGACTTGCCTATAATCTCAGCTACGTGTCGGTTGCTTTCTTTTTTATGAAAAAGCACCGCCGCGTTTGTGATGTAACCTCATTACTTTTTATTCACTTGTGTAATGTAAGTCATTACTTTTTATATCTATTACATTTTTGTATTAAATCTAGGTAGTTAATTTATAATAATAATAGATATATATTATGATTATAAATTAATTATATTATAATAGTTTAATTTTAATTAAAATAAATGATTGGAATTACAAAAGCCTATATATATTTAAAAAAGGATAAATAAAGGTGGCAAGCTGTCATACAGACATCATACAGTCATTTTGGCTCTGGATATTCAGAAATCCACACATTTGAAAACGAGACGCGATATAACTTGTCGGCTTTTTCATCCGTGAACAGTGGTGTGTCCTTGAACAAAAAAAAATACTACAAAATTGTGTGTATTACAAATCCATACAATAAAATATATTATTTACGAAGAAATAACGGTGTAATGAACTTCGTCCACTTGTATTATCAAGCTAATAACACTTTCATAATATCGCAAGCGAAAGCAAAACGAAATGAGAGATTATCTATTGTTTTGTTGGGAAAACAGTCATATGAGCTTACGTCTTAAGATCAATGTCACTAAGGAAAGTGTGGAGCTTAAGTGTAAGTGACCGGCAGTATATTGCACTAAGTAATATGACGATCATTGTAATATAATGGCATCTACTTATGTGGTTAAAGTAGTTTTCACGTATGTATAAGCGGCGAAACAAAAAGATATCACGCGTAAAGAATGAAAAAAAAACACAAATACTGAAGACGAAAGCAATAGACCACATTTGACATTTTAAATTGAAAAATATAAGCTAACCAGCTGTGCCAGCGACTTCCTGCGCGAATAATAGTTATTCTTGGCGTCCAAATTTGTTTTTACAAACTTCCTCTTCATCTGGTTAAATTTAAGCTATGACGTCGATCGCATCCCGTCGTTCTTCCGAGGTAATCGTAAAAGATAGCCATATACTGTCGTAAACATTCTTTTGGATCATTTATAGAGAAATTATCTTTCATACATATTGGGTATCTTGAACTGTTTTCGCAGCGTACACAACGGAAACCTACAGAATGAATAGTTTTCCCCATTTTTTCCACATTTCCCGCTGTTTCAACGCTTCTACATGTCACAGCACGATGTTTAATAGTATATTTATAGTATTTTAACTAACTAACGTACAAATAAACAAACTCTTTAGATGTATATATTATTAATATAGATTAGGGAAACCAAATACTGCAAAATAGCTGAAACAATTACGTTGAAGTGCATCATTATTGCAATTATAACAAGTAAAGTATTTAAGGTCCAACTAAAAAATATCTTATCATTGAAACGAAATAAGAGATTCATTATATTGACTTATTAATCATTATTATTTTCAAATGCGTCGTCGTTTGTTATTTTTGGAACTACAAAGTTTACCAATATCCTTACACTTCAGTGCTTTAAATAAAAGTTACTGGTTGAGTCACTTGCAGTCATTTTCTCCTAATGGCATTGAAATATCCGTGACTAAAGTGTTGTGGTTCCCACCATAACCTAAATTTCCTTTTTTATAGCCCTCACAGGTTTTAAGTCGGTAACAAGTTATAAATTATTGAACACCGGCTTTCACCCATGTAGGAACCATGAATGAACACCACTCATGGTGAAAATCATTCAATAACCGGTTTTGAAACAACCTGCTAACGACGCTACATATGTGCCTTTTCACATTGAAATTGTTTTAGCGCGGATACAATGAGCTTGTGGTGGTATGAAACCGTTTTCGTGTTAATCACTACATACTGTCTATAGTTTACGCGAGTAGTACACATTTAAATAAAACACTTTAACGGTTTAAAACGCGATATATTAGTTAAACTTATTTGAAAATGATTTTTAACTTCGGCCCGACGCAAAGCATCCGAAATGTCGGGCCGTATTTAAAAATAATTTTCAAACAAGTATAATTAAAATATATCGCGTTTTAAACCGTTAAAGTGTTTTATTTAAATTAATCTCTACATATTAAAAAACACTTTGTTTTATAATATGTAGTTTTTCTGTCCCTATGTGCGCTTCAATCTTTAAAACTACGCAACAGATTTCAATGCGGTTTTTTTTAATAAATTGAGTGATTCAAGAGGAAGATTTTTATATACAACGCTCACAGTTTACACACGGTGTATTTAGCGACCGGGCGTAGCCGGGGCGGGTCGCTACTAACTAAGTTAAATGACATAGAATAAAAAAACAAAAGAACATCTTTATCTTGTTTGATCGAAGACATTAGTCATACTTATATTAGGTTGTTTATGTCTAGTTCAAATAGTTTCTTAATTTTGAAAATACTGAATAGTTCTATAGTATTACTAAACTAAGTGTTTATTGTAAGTGTGCAAAGAGGCAGTGACCGTTGCCTGTCATTGACTTATTTTTATTAATGATGTATTAGTATATACTAATGCTGCTTAAATCTAATATTTGAAAGCCTTTAAAAGAGGGTAAACAAAAGAAACATATCTTAATATTCGAAAATAATTTAATGTCATCAAAAGTAAAGTAATGAATAATAATTTAACAACTCAGTGTAAACTTTAATAATGCCATCTTAGAAGTTTGTCATACATTATATATGTATATGTATCTTTGTATATATGAAGATTATAATAAATATAATACATACAATACTGGAAAATTATAAAATAAATAAATAATTCATTATTATAATATATATTTTCAAATGTATAACATTTAATATTATAAACATAATCAATTATAATATATAAATGCATATTTATTTATATAATATATACATACATACTATAATTTATATTTATTGTTTCAACATAAATTTATAAAATAACGTTCCAAATTCAAATAAAATATTAAGAGCAATAGATATAATAACGTCACAATACATCATATGTTATTTACACATATAATTTATATATACACAAATACGTATAATTTAAATATATTATTTACAAACGACATACATAAATAATTTCATAAAATAATAATATTATTTATAGACACTAATATTTACATTTTTCCTATTATGTATTTTTGCGAAATAAAAATATAATTAAATATATATTTTAAAGCAATATCCAAAGGCTTACGAGAATTGTATTCGGTATTTACATATATTACATAACATACATATCTATATGACTTAGTGTATATAAAATAGAGTATTGAGGTACTTTTAACTTAGAAAATAAATTAACTTTTTCTGTAATCAAAGTCCATTGCACGCCGCTTGTCATTTAAATACATCGTTTTAAATAAATAAATATTATAATTATATCTTTGGAACACAATACGTTTTTTCGTTCTGCAGTCTTTTAATTGATTATTCTTTCCCTATTGCAAAAACGTATTTATTTAATAAATTATTGTCTGTCCGTTACGCCGCCGCTAGTAATTAAATATGGTGGTTTAATTTGGTGGGTTTATTGGGTGTAAGCGTTGTACGCGAGGTCGTGTGAATCAAGGGACCTGAAATTGAAAGAAAATGTATTATTCAGTCAAATTCTTAATCCTCTATATAGAGCTAAGGTTCTATATTCTACAATAAAAAACTATCCAAAATAAAACAAAAGAATATCAGCTCTAGATTATTACGGTATCAATATTGATTCATATTTGTTTTTATGTTTCGCCCTTTTATCTTTCTCGTTCTTTCTCAGTTTTTATATAATAAAGGAAAGGATGGGATAGATGTTTTAAGACCAGATAAATAAATTACCTGCTCCAACCAGCTCCTCCATGGCCGGCTGAGACCACCACTTCGTGAGCTTCACCAGTTCCACTCGAAGACAAGAGCTTCTTAAGCCCAATGATACCAGCTAGAACCAAGGCCAACTTGGAAACGATCAGGGCTTTGCCAGCGAGTAGGGCCAAGGCTCCGAAGGCCAAGGGTACAATCATACCCCCGATGAGGAGGGGGATGGCCAAGAGTGGGGCAAGCTTCTTCCTCCTTCCACGACCTTCGTCGAACGCGCGCTGCAGATCCGAACCGGTGGGGAATTTGATCTGAAATTAGCAAAATACGACATATTAGCTATTTACATAACAACAATTCAATAAAATGTATCTTCATATCTAATTATTGTGAATCGTCAGATAAGAAATTTTAAACTGGACCTCCTTGGGAAGCAGTTGTCTAACTCGTCAATAGGGTTATTTGTGTAGTGTATCTTAATCTTACTATATTATTTTTTTGAAAACTTTATTATCTTTTACATGTTATTGCACATAAATGCGCTATATAATTTTAAAATCGAAAATAAATTGAAAATGCGAGGTCATTATCAATAAATTGAAAAAATTTGACGTGAGGTGACCAAGTCCTTTACCTAATCGTTCAATTTTTTTGGTAGAGCAATAGCACGAAACTCTGACCATGCCGGTTCAAATCCTGCCCGAGTCTTCTTTACTATACACGGGCCAGTCTTAAAACCAGCGCTGCTGAGTGTGACAAGCATTCAGCAGCACAGCTGAGACTGGTACCGATTGCCATTCTCATCTATTTTAATATCTATCTATTTATTGAATTTAAAATTGAGTTCAGTAGTTGAGTAAGTCTTTAAAAGGCAATAAAAAGTATTGAAGTTGAATTACAAATATCAAACTGATCTAAAAGAAACTAAAAAAAAATAAGATGTTCAAATATGTTAATCCTTTGCTTTGCCTGTATAAAATATTTAAAAAAACCTTTATGAACAACACACAGTAGTCACGTTTGTTTTGTAAACCAGTAGCTTTCGTTAACTGAAAAAAAATCTAGTTGATTTGTATCTGTGATATAATAAATTAAAATGTCCTATACAAACGTTTTCTAAACAACGATTTGAATTAAGAATTGATTAGAAATCATATAGATATGTAAAAACTTAGTATTCCTTTATAATTAGTCAAAGATGAAACATGCGAACACGAAAAAAACGCAATGCATCACGCATGTCTCAATTAGCTGAAGAAACTATGTGGGTCGCAACTTACAAGAAAACTGTTTAATAGAGTGTGGCGGGGAAAAAAGTGAAGATGAATTAATTGTTCGTAATTAAAGAGATGTCTTGAGAAAGCGGTGCGTCGTCTATGCGGGAAAATTTCTGATCGGAGTATATTTTATAAACTCGTAAAAAACTGTCTGTAACCTATTATTGTTGTTTCAGGAGGGTTTTCCTAGAATTTTTGTATAAGCTAAATGGCACGTTATAATATTCGGGGATGAGTTTTTTTTTTATTAGAGGTGGACATAGACAGCATGGAGTTAACTTGATGGAAGGTCTTCAGCCATGTATCATCTCATTCTCTATTTTGCTTTTAGATATTCGAAAATCCACAGACTATAACTGAAACGCAATTAACCTTTTCTATCTGTGGTTGTATTCCTAGCACCCATTTCCACCATGTCCAGTTTCCAGATAAAGTCGAACATGTTTCAAAAAAATTATTGTTCGAATAGAAACACGTTGGGTGGTGGAGATCGAATCCACGACCCGTTGATTATTAACCAACCGGCCCATGAAATAGTACGTAATGTTAAGCTGTCGTAGCTTTCGTCATTAACTTGGTAATAGTGGCAGGTTAGAGCTTGCCAATCCACACTCGTGCATCATGGAAAGCCTAAGCTCTTAAAGCTGAGAATAGAAATATATGTCCATCGGTGGGACATTTATTGGTTGAAACCAACCACATTATACATATACACAAAACATACGTATAAAGAACCTTCATTTTTGAAGTCGGTTAAATAGCACGAAAAGTTTAAACAGGATAATATGTTCAACTTACGTACAAACTTGACAGTGAGACATTAAAAGATATACTATAACTTACGTTTAACGCTTAGAAAAATATGTGTCAACAATTGACTTCCTCTGAACTTCTCGAGCTTAAACCATTTAATGTACCAGCCATGCCTCTACGCATGCGCAGAACATTCAACCTTCCTACTTCTAGAACCAAATGGTTCAACCACTCAATGTGTTCTTCCCTCGATTATTTTGCCGATATCGATTTGATTTTGCACTCCTCTACGGCTTCATTCAAAAAACATTAAAAAGATTGAGTATCTCGCCTTAGGTCTTTCAATTTAATTTTGTTAATGTTGGTTAGTTTTTAGTTAAACGTATAATTAATTTTATTTGTTTGTCAACTCTTACTTAAATTTTTTTCTAATTTCCTGTAATTTTGATCGACTTTTTGTTTTTTCACATTTAACGCGGGAACATTTGAAAAATCAAAAATAAGTTTAACGACTATATCTCGCGTTTTAAACCATTAAAAGTGGTTTATTTAAATTTAATATAAAGTTAATGACAAAATATGACATCAATTAAATAACTGTTGTAATAAATAAGGTCGTATAACCGCAATTATGATGTCATTGACCTTATCCGAATCCGTTTTAACGACAGGGTGCGCATTGAATAAGTAATCTTCGGGCCATTTGAGGCTTTATAACCTGAATCGTTCTTCCTACTACGGTAAGGAGGTAAAGGGTACGACATAGTACTTACATAATTTTACATAGAATACGAGACACAAACTGATTTTATAACACTTATATTGGCTTAAATCGCGTAATATATGAGTTAACTATTTTTTGTTTGAACATGGCTGCTGCAAATCACAAAACGTGAGGTCGTAGTTAAAAAAACAATTACAAATAAGTTAGCAAATATATGTCGTATTTTAAACCGTTAAAAGTGTTTTATTCAAATTGGTCGTACTCGCGTTACCAACAGAATATACTTAACAACCTGTGCGTCAAATATTATCCATAATCAGCAGCAATATTTGATTAAGACAACAGAATAAGTTGTTTAAGGCGATCTCTGCTGATATATTTTCGAAAGCTCATACGTCACACTTTAAGAGTAGGTTACGTTTAGAAAACTTGTCACCTTATGGCTACTATAGAAAAGTAGACACCAGACAGTAATTAAAATAGTAGAGAAATTAAAACTGGGCTCTCACGATAACTATCTGTTCCGTCTTATGTTGAGCAAAACATACTTATAATAATAATTGCAGGGTTCTTAAAAGTTCAAAAATTATTTGGAAATCTTATATTAATAAACATTTAACGGTTTAAAACACGATATATTTATTGAGACTGTCTCCTCGTGACCACGGCTGCTGCAAAGCATCCGAAACGTCGGGCCGTATTTAAAAATAATTTTCAAACAAGTTTAACTAAAATTTATCGCGTTTTAAACCGTTGAAGATTTTTATTTAAATGCGTACTACTCGCGTAAGATGCATTTAATCTTTAAATATTAAAGCGTATTTAATCTTATAACAGTTTCGTGTGATATAAAATTATACGTACGCCCTCCAAAGACAGGTTGAACGTGTTTCTAAGGATAAAGCTAACCATGAGGGGTACTGAGTTCGTATCCCGGCGAAACAATACCTTGTGTAAGTTGCACAGAGAACGGAAGTCTGATTCTATCTAAATGATCTGATGAACTCTTAAGGGTCCAAATCACAAAGAAATGTTTAAGACTGAAGAAAAGTTACAATGTATAAAATAATACACTGCAGATTATAACCAACTTAGTTAGTTAGATGAGCAGCACAGATCATAGAGTGTCATAGACTTTCTCAATCTTTCTTTTGAGTATCCTATAGACATAGAAGAAACAGAAGAAGATATTATGATTAAGGCAATTTTATATTAAATCTCATATCTACTTTATGTGTATACTTGGTGATGGTTTATTAAACTTTCGTAATAAAGGTGTTTGTAAGTGTTTCAGAATCAATTACCTGGACGGTATGAGTTTGCAGGAATCCAGCGATTTTGTCCAAGATGAGGTTGTCCAAGGAGCTCTCGTCAAGATTTCTTGGAATCGCCTCCTCGTCCATTTTCTCGACTGCATTCTTATCCTTTGTTATCGTGACTCCACCGAGAAGGGTAACTTCGTCGCTCTTCGATATCCTGTTCAGCGCTTTAGCCAGCTTAAGCTTCAAGCAGCTGGCGATATCGCTGCCACTGCAGTCTCTGTACGTTTCATATGCAATCTTTAGGTCTCCTAGCACTGTATCGTCTGCACTTCGACCCTCGTCTACGCTGTTCTGGTTCGTGCTCGCGGTCCTAGCGCTGACAGCGGCTGCAAGAGTCAAAACGAGGATATAATGTACCATTTTGGAGTCGTTCGCGCGTTCGTGGCGGGATAGGCACTCTGTTTGAAAATATAACAGTAATTGCGTTTATATGCGCTTAGTTTCACGGTACAGTGAAGCCACTGAGAGGGATGCATCGATGCATTTATGCAGTTGGGTGTACAGGTGTGTGATGAAGTCAACTAGCAATCTATGGAGCTGGTCTCCAGTTTCGGGACTTACAAACAACAATCCACGACACACTTAAAAACCATTTGGATTAATGAACAAAATGTTTAACTTAAGGGAATTATATATACGTACTATGATAACATTTAAAAATATCGTCACTATCATAATATTCAACTCACAGAATTGTTTACAAAACGCAGATAGTCCTTTTTCATAAGAAATAGAAATATAAATTTTAACAGTTTAAAACAACGCTTAAAGTAGACGCATATGGATTTGAATATAGCTTTGTTATGAAGTACATTTAAGATGCCAAAATGCTTAGTATTATTACTCGTATACCAAAGCTATTTTATAAGCACAGTTATTTTATAAAAAAGCACAAATTTTATAAAATGCTTTGTAAAAAATCACTTCTGCGTGTGAAAATACCTTTGCGCGGAGCTTAGTAAAAGATACAGCTTAGCGGATCTATAAAAAATTAGAGCGAATGTTGCTTACCTCTTACAAATACATCATTCTGTAAGATCATTTTTTTAATGAACAAATTAATACAAATAGGACGTAAAGAAAATTATCAAATCCAAGTAAACGAATGAATTTATATACAACTTCCGTAGGAATAATCAGAATGTGTGTTCAACACAGTTAAAAATTTTACATAACAATTACAATATTAGGTAGAGGCGTTATGAACAAGTATTCTAAAATCTATTTAACATGGTACAGAAATCAGTTTGTTATTACAGATGCAAGACGCAGTGCCGAACTATTTTAGAGACACAAACTAAAATCTTAACGCAGATTTACACTTCTTGGCTTTGTTCGCAGTTGTGAAAAAAACGATTCTTCTACTCACCGTTTAATCTGGTTGTAAGATTTTTTAGATGAATCAACCATGCTTAGAAATATAGCACAATTATTAGCAGACATGATATATAAACATGTAAGCTTAGCTCAAATCCATTTCTGGATAAACAGGACAATATTATCTAGATTGTTAATCTAAATTTCTTTCTCAAAATGCGTGATTCTAAAACTAAAACTTTTAAGTTCCTTCGAACTTTAGTTACTAAGAAAGAGTGTTATACAGGCGCCACTTCCTTCATTGTCTAAAAAGGTTACAAATAGCATATCATTAGTAGTGCTATGCCGGAAATACATAGTATTGGTTCCTGTCACGCAGTGTATGTCATATTCATGTATTTTACAGAATTATTGAAATCTATTAAATACCGGAAACGTTATGTTTTCATTGTAATAATAAGTTAGGATTAGATTATTAATAGAATTACAGCTGAAACTTTGCGTGACTTCATATTATTTATTAGATTAATTTATTGCAATGTTTAATGTTAGTGCCTCATCATAACAAATGATTTTAGACACGCTCCTTAGAACATATATTGTTTCTTTTTATTAACGCAAAAGGACCATAGTTGGATTTTATAATGAATGTATTTTTGTTAGAAGTATTTTTAATAATCGAAATATTTAATGACGCTTACTGCACTGCGAAAAAAATCATATTATTTATTAAATTATGTAAGGCTTTCACGGCCATCGTTCAGCGTGTCATTGTTTTTCGGTGTATATTGCTCACGTCGGCCGAACCAGAAAAACAATTATATATTATTTAATGTATAATTGTTTTAATGTTAATTTGTATCATGTATTAAAAGCCATTGCTACATTATAGATTAAAGAGATAAGATTAATCGTAACGAGGAATTAAAATTTCCTTTAAAATCGAATAAAAAGTAAGAGATTATTGGTATAGATGTACGGGAAGACCAATTTGATTGTATGAAAGTAGGTGAATATCAATTTTTATTTGCATTACAATATATCATGACTAATAACATTGTCTAAGATAAAGTCAACTATGTCGTGATCAGTATTGTACAGTCGCTGGTTCTGCAATTCAAACAAGCAAAAAACTCTCGCACACCATCGCAGAAATCTATGTATAGTCCGATCTATGCTTATTTATATCTTTTAAACGTTTTACTATGCCTACTGTTATAATTCATTTAAGTTTATACTCATTTCGTAGAAAACAACCTTTATGTAATTGTTAATGAGTATTCTTTAATAAAATATGATATCTTCTCTTGCTTAACAATATCTTATCGATATAATGTCATTCTGCGTAGATATAAATAAACTTTGAAATCATATCATAGATTTTAAACGACACAAGATGAAACGTATTTAACAGTAATAATTTATTTGCTAAGAATTGCGAGAAGATTATTTTCAAGTGTTCGCTATGATTGGACTATAGATAGACACAGTCCACCCAATGAATCCGATTGGTATAGTACAGTTTTATTTTCACTTTGAAAGAAATTATCTGCTAGCAATCGTAACATTTTTTTCATGAAAACACGTTCATTTTCATAAGTGTGCTGAACGCAAAACTCGATATGGAGAGTGGAATGTTAGGATCAGCATTACAGTTGTATTAGGACGCTGAAACACAAGAATGTCCTATGTTAAAATAGGCCAGCAGCACATCTTGATTAGATGTTATATGACTGGGGTATATCACCTACCATCAAGTGTCAAAAATTTAGTGAAGAGATGAAAGTTATTACTATTGTATATTTTGTATGATAATGAGCTTATTATCTTAATTTGATAAAACACGGTTTTACATTTCTGAGTCTGTTTCATTGATTGGTCTCATTTACAGGTATTTTTTTCAAGATAGGGGAAGACTTCAAGGCTTTTTGGCAAGTTTCAAGACAGTGGCTATTTTTTTATATTCCTTAATCAATTCAATATCCCGATTTCTAGATACTCATTGGAACCGCTGGGGTTCGAACCCACGACACGTTGATTCTTAGCCCTACACTACAACCATTATACCAACGATAAGGTAAGTAGCTAACCAAAATTCTGCGCCTTGCATTGCCTGACCAAAATTGTACTCCAGGACTCGAACCCAGAACCTCTGTGCTTAATGCAAAGTCAGTAAGCACGTTTAACCGTTTAGCTATAAAGGCGGCCAAGAAATCTTTCCATAATTAGTATATTTTATAGACATCGACCTACAGTAAACGTCAAAATTTTAGCCAAACGTAAATCTATCCATGATTCAGATTGATTATCCATTTTTATCAAGTCTCATTTAAAATTGATTTTACGCGTAAAGAATATATACTAATAAGTGAAGTTAATGACCATAACATCTCCGCTATATAGTTCCGTTCTTAGATGACCTAGATATATCTAGGATAGTTTTTATAGGAAGCTAGCTTTTTACTGTACGGTTATCGACTGAGATATAAATGTGTTGTTTCTTTTTAATTATTTGTACCACGAGTAAGGGCGATAGAAAACCGTTTTATAGTCTAAATCTGTAATATAATTATGGAACACTAAATGTGTTGGTACCATACAAATCGAAACTATAATTAGATAGTGTCTGGAGTTTAACCGTTTAGTACACGTTTAAATAAAACACTTAACGGTTTAAGAACCTTACTGCCTCCCAGTGACCGCGACTGCAAAGCATCCGAAACGTCGGGCCGTATTTTTTTTTTTATTTGACTAATATATTTCGCGTTTTAAATCGTGGAAGTGTTTTATTTAAATGTGTACGACTCTCGTAAATTACTGACTGTATTTAATTATATATATACCTATTTTATGATGGAGACGGGCAGGCAGAGGTTCATTTGGTGAAAGGTAAAACCCCGTCTTATAACAAAGTACGACCTATTATTCCCTCAATATCCGGAAATCAGACTTAAACCGAGACGCGATAAAACTTGACGCCCTTTTCATCTGTGGACGGTAATTTGTTGTCCCGGACGGAATTTCGATATTTCTACCACCCATTTAGTATCCAGATTTCCAGACAAAGTCCAGCATGTTTCAGTAAAATTATAAATAGATTAGAATCATGTTAGAACCTGTGGGGATCGAATTCACGACCCGTTGATTATTAGCCAGACACTGCTACCAATAAACCAACGACCCCTCAAAATTTGCAATTTAATATTCAATAGTTCTATGATATCATACGGCGAGGTTTAAATAACTAAGTATATTTTCTGAAACAAATTGACAGAATGAGGCTATAGAGGCGTGTCATGGCGTACACTCGCCGTTTACAGCAAAACATAAGACGGAATCCGTAATTACGGTAATAAGAAAAGTTCCAAGATGTGAGAGCTGTTAAATTATTAATATTATACGAAACGAGATAACGTAATCAGTCTAAATGAAGAACACCTGTAATTTTATGCCAATCATTTTCACTTTCTCGTTTTAATATTCGGATGGGTGACGATTGCTTTCGTATTGACACGAGGATAAAATAATCATAATTTAAGGCCGCTAGAGGCAGAGTAGCCTAACTGCAGCTTTCGGACTGGAGCGGTTATATTTCATAGTCTAAAAATGTTAATCTACAAGAGCACTCTGACCGAAAATTGTTAGCTTAATTCTTACACAAATAACAGTAGAAATTCATTTTCGCCTAATTTCATTGCGCATTTTTAGTTTCCTCCTTATTGAATCATGTTTTTGTTATTAGGCCACTCTGCCTCTAGCACCCTCATATCATTATTTAAACATTTTCATATGATATTCATAATCAATTGAGCTATCTGTCAACTGTGGACGCCGATTCAGGAGACGCCCAGGTCGAAAAAATATTTTGATCTAAAATCGATTTTAAAATAATTAAATAATATTTTTCACCCCTTCTTTCCACATGAAGTAACTTACTTTACTTATGATGGACATTGCTCCACTCTATAGTGAAGAGATTTTATATTGAATGTTTATGGCCTACGAAATTACCTTCTACCCTACACAAATTTTTAATAAAATTAGCGTAGACATTTTTTCACTCATTCATCATTATTGCAATATTGTATATCATTATAAATATTTAATTATGTTTTTCATATTTGAATGTTCCTTTTACACTTTTATACAGGCGTACATACATGCGTATAAGTATAATTCAGTATTATTATTTGAAATATATATTGACAACTCAACGATAGACACTGCTTAGCATTACGATAGAAAATTTAAAATTTAGGCATGATATAGAAGTCAGATAAATTTGATGTTTTACTGATTGGACTTATTTAGTTGATAGATACTTGTGTCTACCCAATCACCCGCCTCCCCTGAAAGGGGAAACAGGATTTATTTGTGCTTCTGTAAATGACGTCATCAAGGTAACCTAAAACAGACATCCGTTATACCGATGTTACACGAGTTGTATAATGAAAATCCTTGTGTCACGAATATTTACGTCACACAGAAATATTTGTGTCACACGGTTCCTTCCCAAAAGAAAGTTGAGCATGTCTGAATCCGCATTTCATTTGTTTTAGTCGGCAAATAACATGCTTTATAGATTAGCAGAAACGTGAGATTTTTGCTCATATAGATTTTAGCATTAAGAACTTCTATTTAGATAAATAACAGCGAACTTTAGCAAATTGTAACTTTCTCAAGTGTATGATAATAAAAAAGTTACTATACTTAAATAATATTATAAAAACGGTATATGAATTTCTGTGCGAATTCCTAGCAAGTAAACTTCTACCACACCCGATCTATTTTTTTTTGTTTCCATAAGATTCGAACTTAGTACCACTTGCAACTTAACACAATGCTTGGCGAAGCAAATTAATGGCGCATCGAGATTTGACTATATTTTACATATGACCATGAAAACATGTGTGTTGTTTTTTTTAGACTCAATTTGTATACAAATCATAAGACTGCATAATATATACTACGCGTTGCCTACCTTACATACGCATACGTATTTCAATAAAACAGCGGTTTAAAATGCGAAATACATGTTAACTTATTTAACAAGTTACTTTGACATTAGGGACACCCTGCAACCAGCAACAACTAATATATATGGCGTTGGAAACCGTTTAAATTGTTTTAATTAAATGAATTATGCCTAACGAAGATATATTTGTGTATCCATTTATTTTTATCTAATATTAGTTCCTTTGTCGTGTATGTATTTGAAGAGCATAACAATAGCAATGTTAAGTGTGGGGCAAGATGGAGGGGGGGTCACATAAAAGTGGCGAGTAGCGCTGAGCCCTCGAGGGACACGGGTGAAAGCGGAATGCCGGTGCTCGTGTGACTAATGTTACGTTTTGTATAAGGTCAACTCATATTATGCCATGTAATGAGTGGCTGTAACTTTAAATTGCCTCACAAGAAAGTCTCATCTTAGTTATTTTTCAAAATTGTCTTGAAAACATTAATACTATATAAATAAAAGTAGATTATACATTACGGACCGGCATCCTCAGCATTCCGTGGTCCGCTCTAAACAACTGAACTACCAGTCCTTTAGTAATTTATGAAATGTCTCTTTCTTAAACAAACTCTTTAATATATGCAATATGATTAAACTTAAACAATTTTAGTGTCTTGCAACGCTAGTTAAGATAAGAATTTAATATTATAATTCAATATGTGTGCATTTTTTAAATTGTCAATAATGTTTGTAAAATTAAATAAACTTTAAAGTTTTCTTAACTCATAAATTATAATATTTAAACAATTTTTAATAAAATTTCTATTAAACATAAAATTTAATTGTTGTTGTTAGTTGTGATTATTGATAGGTCGTATCGTATTTTATTTCTATGACTATGATAATTTAAAAACTAAGGGGTTTTCAAAAATGAATAATCTGTTGACTAAATTAAATTTTTACGAATATCACATTATAAAATATATATTATGTCCAGGTGATAGATAATGTGGTTATTAGGCTTGTATCATAGTTATATCAAAAAGCTACAAACAAAGGCTTTACTTGTAGTAAAACAAGCGTCTATTACATCAGCCAAACAAAACTTTTACTTGGACAAACCGGACGTATATAGGAAGAATATATTGTCTACTTTCACTCCTTGACATGACACAGAATTTAGTGCCTTAAGCGCCTCCGTGTCATCAGCGAATTATAGAATTTAAACACCAATTCACAAGGCTTATGTTTCCGTAACTGCACGCTATATCGAGTTGGATTGTGGGAATAATCGGAATCAAAGAGGTTAGGGGCCTCTTATAAAGCTATAGAGATAAAATATACATATGATAGAACTCTAAAGGTGTAAAAAACTTTTGAACGTCTATGTTAAAGCAAACTTTCTTTCAACATTGGACACTTTTAGGTATCTAATAAAAGTAATTGTTTAAACAGTGAATGTATCTTAAATTAAAAATCTTCCCCAATAATTCGTATAACAACAATATATTTACATTATTTTAAAAGCAATTAACATAACTTCACTACTGTAATTTTTTAGCTCTTAAATATTTACCTAGTCAACTAAAAACTTAAACTAGCTACTAAAAGATGATTACCATAAAAATGACTCTTGTATCCTAAAAAGATAGACGTACACTGTCGCGGGCTTTTTTTGCTACTTTTAAAGAAGAATTGTTCTTTCATACATTATTTTCGGTTTCTTGTACCATTTCAGCAGCCCACGCAATGGAATCCATTAGAGATGAATAATTTCCCGATTCTTTGCTCCTATTTGTTGCAGCCAGGTGTTTTATAGTCTAAAGCCTTATTCGATATATGGTCTATCCAAAAAAATCCAGTAGTGCGATTAGCGCGTTCAAACAGACAAACAGACTCTTCAGCTTTATTTTATTTTATTCTTTTACAAAAAACCACGGTCCCCCCCAAATAAAAAAAAAAAATTTAATAATCAACAATACTAATAACAATTATTACAACTAAAGATGACAGACACTTTTATTATTTAACATACGAGATATAATCACCACTATTCACCCAAAAACTGTTATTCAAATCTTTTTGAGTTTAAGAATGCTGGTGCTAAACAAGTCAACTCCGTCCCAAATTTTATTAAATCCTAAAGAGAATTGAATACTTAATATAGAATAGATAATCCAGAGTTCATCTTAATCATAGTAAGCTTTCGCTTCCTAACAATTATCGTTTCCACGCTTAAATTAATTAATATTACAATCACCTATTATGTAAGCTGCCGTAACATGTAACTTGAAAACGACCCAAACGAAAATTACCCATAAATTTTCACTGCATTGTCTTTTCGGACGTGGGAAGTACCGTGACGAGCTCCAGACAATGGAGGAGTTCACTCGTACATAACAAGAAAAGTCTATAAAGCGAGCGTAGTTCAAATTGTGATTTATACGTAATATCTAAATCGGAGCAAGCAGTCCTGATGGTAAAAAATGAAATTGGCGACGATCCTGATACTCTTGATAGTCGAAGTGCTCCCAATACAGTTACAGCAGGGCGAGATACACGAGAATCAAGTAGATGGCATCAATGAGTGTTTGAGTGAAAGAAGTGCTGTGGGAGTCTGTTTTGGGAAAGAGTTATTGGCGAAGCTTAATAATTATGAGGAAGCAGATACCTTCAGCTTGGCCAGCGGCGTTTCGTTTGTTCGCGATGAGAAAACACCGAGGGATATTGGCGCGTTTCTTGATAAAGATCCGATGGATTTCCGGTATGTGGCCTGATAAGGTTGAAATTACCTCCAATGTCTTTTTCGCGACGATCTCGTTAGCAATAAAGAGGTTTATACGTAAATGTAATTTCATAGAGTTTTGAGTATTCGGAGAAGAATATTTTAAACAAACTTGCACTACGTTTAGCGCGAAAGCTTATCAAGAGTGAATAATTATTTCTAGATTGTTAAAAAAGACGCTTTTACATACATAATTTAGATCATAGAAACGGAAATATGTGCGCTGTGTTTCTTATTCTCCATTACTCTATAAAACATTTCCCTTCAACGATCATTAGGGTGCTAATTGTTTTTGTATTTTGGTTTCATGTTATAAGAAGTAAGTTCTCAATTATACCACTTTGGCTTTCAGATCGATTATGGAAGACGCTAGCAGCTTGATATCAAAACGTTCTCTCCATTGGGACATGGGGACGATATATCCAGGATTGGTGATGAGGATCGGACCGACATTAGCAAATGGGGTGCTAGAGTTTGTTATTGATCCAAGAATTAAGGATCGGTCTTATCCAGCACAGGGGGAAGTAACCACAGGTAACAAACAACATTTAAATACTAATATTTACCAAAATACATTAAAAACTAAGTTTTTTTGAGAAACAAATACTATTTCTTCTGTTTCTACAATTATTAATAAATAATGAAAGCAAAAATTAAGTTATAATATTCTCTGAGCATAGAGAAAAATATTCTGTTATACTTCGTTAAGCAGGATCATTATTATTGATTAATTAACATACTACGTAACACATTTGTCTCTATCACAGCAAAACTATAATTAATCAATTAATATTACTTAACTAGATCAATTATGTGATAATTAATTTATTAAGTACAGCGCCATCTAATGTTTTCATATAGAACTTAAGCTGAATGTCAAGGTAATGTCGTTGATCTTGAGTTAACGCCATCTATCGTTGAATAGCAAAACTAGCTTTGGTTTTTCTGGTCACTATAAGTCTTTCACGGTGTTACATTGTCTACACGTTAGTTTGTGTATACAAGGTAACTTCAATGTAAAACGATAATAACTCAATCGTATTTTTCATTCGAGTCACTTCTTTTTTTGACAATACAAAAATAAACTTATATCCTAAAAAACTTTTCAGGTCGTCTTTTAGCTAGAAACCTTCTTGTGCCTTTCTTGCTTGGTATAAAATTTCACATATCGACGCTACTGCCACTTCTATTGGGGCTAGTTTTGTTGGCGAGTAAGAAGGCTTTCCTCCTAGCAAAGGTGGCGTTACTTGCGGTGACATTATTTAGCGGCGCCGGCGCAGGATACGGTAGCAGTTACTTTGGGGGCCTTAACAACTTCGGCGGGCCAACTTTGTCATCATACGTGACGACACAGGAAAATATTGGGCATTATCAACCAGCACATCCAGCTGGAGGTATAAGTTCTTTGCTCTACAGGAATTATTAGAATATCTTTCCAATATAATGATAATAATTTGACAACTTTGATTGTTCGATATTGTTGGTATTTTTGAAATTTTTTAAAAGACTACTACTCTTTTAATTTAAAAGTTAAACCCCTAATTTTTCTTTACATATTTTAACTATTAAAATAAAAGTGTATGATTCATAAAAGATTGGAAGAATTCAATCAAACAAATTATTTATAATGTAACAGGAAATACAGTATTTGCATTGAAGTTAATAGCTATTTCGTTCCGCTCGCGAAATAGTTTGCTACTGAAACACGCTCGTATTGAAAATTGTCTTACTGAACTTGATGAAAATTCATAATTATTTAACATTATAAATATTAAAATATTTGAAAACTTAAATATTTTAACATATTATTGCACATGATGGCACTATATTGATTAAAAATCGAAAAAAAAATTGAAAAAAAATTCGACTCGGCAGGACTGAACCGGCATCGTCAGCGTTCCGTGCTGTTGCTCATGCTGTTGTGGTACTTTTTAGCTCAATTGATCAGAGCAACAGCACGGAACGTCGATGATGCCGGTTCAAGTCACGCCCGAGTTGAATTTTTTTTCAATTTATTTTCGATTATTAACCAAAATTGAAATAGTTATAGTTCCAGTTAACTTCAGTAGGAACTAACTCTGTCATGAGTCATCTTTTCCACCTTTAAACAAGATAGTTATTTTTCCATTAGAACAAACAAAAGACAATTCACTGTGATGCAGATATTTTATAATTTCAGCCTACCACTACAGACATCCTCACCATCCGGAATATTTTTACAAGGAGTCAGACGACCACACCACAGGATCACCAATAACCCCAGACGAGCTACGGGATAGACTAGAAAGGCTCTTTGTCACCAAAAAGGACGACCAAGATAAAGTTAGGAACAGTCGAAAGTTCTCTTGGACTCCAATCAATGGGGGTTAGGACCTCACATTTTAAAATTCGCTATTAAACTTACTAGTCAAATAAAACGATTATTGTTGAATATATATATGAAATCACAAAATTATTATCTATTTTTAATTAGTATTTTACTATTTAGAATTATTGACACTGAATTTTCTTTGTATAAGTATCATTTTTATCATATGTAAGAATTGGAAAAGAATTCTGATATTAGACAAAAGAAAATTTTTAGAAATTACCTAGATAAGTATCTAAATAAAACACTTTAACGGCTTAAAACGCGATATTAGTTAAACTTATTTAAAAATTATTGTTATTATAGCCCGCCGTTTCGGATGCTTTACTCGGTTTCGGATGCTTTTGACATGGCGTCACGGGCAGACTAAACGTATTTAAAATAATTTCCAAACAACTTTAATTAATATACATCGCGTTTTAAACCGTTAAAGTGTTTTACTTAAATGTGTACAACTCGCGTAAACTGCAGACAGTATTCTGATAAATATCATTACTGTAAGTATTTATTTACATCTACCGCTAAACATTGTTTGGAGGGTATACAGGTGACTGTATTATTTATATATTCATAACACACGAATAAAACGGTGACCCAAAATCCCAAGAATCTAACATACAAATGAATTCCGTGTAGAGTAATTCTGCTAGAATGCGATTTATTCGCGACTGTACATCATTCGGTATACTTTCAACGTTTTTCTTTGAATACCACTTAACTGTATCGTCGCGTGCATTATTTCGCGTGATGCTTCTAAGCTTTCTAGACACTACTTGTATGTAACTGTATTATTGCTTATATGCAGTTTTCCTTTATATAATAAACCAATAAAATTATGTTTAGAAAATTTTATAAAACACTTCAAATGGCTTCAGTACTATGAGTATAGTGGACCATTATGGCTGCTGAAAAACATCTGAAACGTCGTACTTTAGTAGTATATTAAGTATTTAAATAAAACCCTTTTAACGGTTTAAAACGTGAAATATTTAACAGACAATAATTTTATATTTTACGTTTTAAATACTGTTACATACAGCTCCCGTCTCTTAAAAGAAAAGAATATACGACAAGATACAAAAACAGATTTGCAGAAACAGATTTTCTTGTACGTTTTAAACTTATAATTAAATTTGTGCTACTGCAAACATTTGTTCACATCTCCGTTATTTAAGTAATTGTCACCCCCACGTGATACACATTACATTACACCTAAATTACCGCCAAATTCTTACAAACCGTTTAAACTGCAGGACGTATTCTGGTAAGTCTTACACATCTGTCAATTCACATATCTTATTGTGAATTAATTATAATACTACATTCTTACTGAATTTTCTTTTCTTCGATCGTGATTGATTTGTTGTATGAATTTCTTGCTCTTCCTTATTTGGAAGTCGCATTTTAATTAGGTAATAATAAGATGATTTCATTTAGTAGCCGGAACTAGCTTCCAAAGATTGAACGGACTAAAATTGGATGTTATGGGATAAAATAAAACCAATGTCAAGTTTCCATTCCATTTATCATTCCCCTGTCACACCCTCCTATCTCAGTAAACTTATAATTATGATAACATAAATTTGAAATAAATTATTTGTTTAAACCGTTATAATACACAAAGGTACTCGCGTAATTATCTTTTGATAAATACATTAGTTCTTAAAAATTCATCTTAAATACCGCACCAGTAGTAATAATTCTAAATCTTATCTATTTATACAAAATTGGACATTTGGATACGAAATAGGAAATGCACAGTACCCGTCGACTAGCCTAAATAAATTAACTAAAGTAATCTATCTACCTAATCTAGAAGCTACATTATTCTTGGTCTAGTTTTTGGTGCATATTACACTATACTTAGCATAACTCACATAGGCTAAATCATTTCTATGTATTTACATGCAATGATCAACCATAAGCTTAACACTAAAGAAAGCGTTTAAATAAATAGTGAATTAACATATAACCAAATAAGTGTCGTCTGATCTAATTCATTTTTTGTCTCCTATTTGCGTGTGCAAAACGGCCAAAATTTTAGGCTCCGGAGTTGATCTGAGGTCAGTATGCCATGTCGTAGTTTGTAAGGAGTCGTAATTTTTACCCCTTCACTGTTGCTTTGCGTACGCTCTATAGGCCCTATCCTGGGCAGCGGCTTCGTCCTCCACGCTTCGTCTGTAATGACCGCCTGGTCCTGTTGAATCGAAGTCATTTCCGTAATGGGACGCGGAGTAGGTATGCGTCTGCGACACTTGCGGATGCTTGACAATTTCATACGTGGTTTTCTCGAGTGATTCACCACCAGTTACGAGCTTCTTCAAACCAATGATAGCTGACAGAAGTAGCGCGATCTTTCCAATCAACAACGCTTTACCAGCGATGATAGCAATAGCTTGGAACGCCATAGCCAAGAATCCGCCCTTTATCGCTATACCAGCCAATATGGGACCCATCATCTTCTTCAGCTTACCTCTTGCTTCTTCGAACGATCGCCCGACATCTACTCCTGCGACATTAGGCGCGATAACCACTCGATGACTCTGTAACAGCTTTGATGTGGAAATTTGGAGTAGCTTATCGACTTCATCGGATCCTAACGAGTTCAAATCGACATCCGGTAGTGAAGGGAACGCTCTTCCCTGTTCCGACCTCTGTACCAAAGACACGCCATCAAAGATCGGGAGCTTTTCCATACGCGCTGCGCGATCCATGAACTTGGTAGCTTGGACCTTGAAGCACTTGATGATCTCCTGGGACTTCTCGCAATTGTCGTACATCCTTCCGAGGAGCTTGAATCCTGCTCCGAAGGTGTCTGCTGAAGTCACAGCCAGGATAGCACTGAAACACAGGACAACAACCCCGCGGTGCACCATTTTGATAAAATACCGCGGATGCCCCGTTCCTTCAACGCCACCGATGTCCAGTCAATGCCGTTGCGCCTATTGAAATGTGTAGAAAACACATGAACACTGGCATTTATCTATTTTCACCGGGAACTGCATTTATCTATAAATCTTTTAGAGCGTGCAATCGTTGCATCGTATGGTCGTGCACTGAGCCGTGTATGTATACGCCGATTTTTCTGCTTGTGTGCGTGAAGTGGCTATGTATTGGTCAACTGTTGCTGATCTTGAACATTGCGCTTCGTGGTCATTGTCAAGGTTATTATTTGTTTTAAACATTCTGTAAAATGACTAGTTTAGTATAGTTGTTTTATAGGTATTAGGGATTTCGTTGTAATATGCCTAAAACTTAAAATGATTTATATATTTCTAAAAAAAGTATTAGACATTTTAAAAAATTATATACGAACTACAACAATTGCTTGAAATAATTTAAAGTAAATATCGAATTTTATATTACATTTAATATGTTTAGATGAAATAATATTCATAAATACAATAGCTAGCTTACTAGCAATGTTCTTTTATGCATATAAGTATAGTCTTATTTTAAAATTCTATTATTTTTCTTTATAAATATATGTTATTTATTTCGACGGCTTGTTTTTGTAATGGAAGCAATGTTTATTTTAAATACTGTCTATAGTTTACGCGAGTAGTACACATTTAAATAAAACACTTTAACGGTTTAAAACGTCGGGCCGAAGTTAAAAATCATTTTCAAATAAGTTTAACTAATATATCGCGTTTTAAACCGTTAAAGTGTTTTATTTAAATGTTTATTTTGTTTAGATATTATAAGCCTGCCTGTTTGTCCTCCTCTATCATAAAAATACAGCCATTATACTCAAATTAGCATCTATTAAATTAAACAAGTTTCAGGCGTCACATGGGGTCGCCAATCTCACGAAAAACAAATTTGATATAATTTCTCGTCGTTTATTAAACAGACAAAAAAGTTTTATTACCTGCGACATTCACTGAATGTAATGGTCTTTTAATTTAGGGTAATGTAGTCTAATTGATTCTTACAACATCCGCTACAGAAATACATTTTCTTCTAAGACAGCTGAAGCGGTCTGAGGGAGTTTCCACGTAGAACCGTTATTGGACAGAGTTTGAGCAACAAATGTGTGCTAGAAAGGAGTGCAATGGCCGTTCTTATCCCTAAAAAATCTCTTTTAGGCAATCTTACTTAAAAGAAAATAAATTGAAGAGAATTGACATAATTAAAGTAAAGAAAATCTACGTAAATACTAAATACTGTCTGTAGTTTACGCAAGTAGTACCTGAACATTTAAATAAAACACTTTAAAGGTTTAAAACGCGATATATATTAGTTAAACTTATTTGAAAATTATTTTAATTACGCATGCTTAAAATATTTTTTTTAAATACGTAAATACTAACATAGAGAGGTCCAAGTAAATAAAAATAAATAAATAGTGACTGACTCTACCTTAAACCTCTAGTGGATAAAAGATTTGGTTAACGCTAAGGTCCTGGGTTCGAATCCTGGGGAAACAATAGATGTTTCAGTCGGACAGGGTAGTCCGATCAATTACTTGCTTGTAAATAAACCGATCCGTGAAACGGACACAGAAATGTGTACCCTCATGCCGCACGGGAAAAACGGGATCACTTGATTACGTCCCCTAAAATTAGCTCCAAATTATTGAGCATCTTGCATGAGATTCCATATTTCATTTCTAACAAATCGATACTAACAATCCTACTAAACTAAAAATATAATTAGTCTATGGATACCATATGAATAAACATAATATTTTGCAAGTTGATATGCACTTTCTATAAGGAACGAATGACTCATTTGAATTACCTGATCGAGAGCAATAATCCGCTCTGACAGGTGACTTGTTCAATTAATCGTTCATTCAATTATATAACATTATGCACGCGACTGTACACCGTATTAAGATCGTTGTTACACGCTAAATATTCAATTTTGCTAAATAAAATAACGAAGGTACCATTATTAAAATAAATAGAAAAGGATATACATAGCTGTATATCTTTTTTTTTACGGGTACATCGATAGAATCAGTCAATATTAACTTATAAATACTACAAAATTTAAAAATCGAAAATAAATTGAAACAGTGTTCGACTCGGGCACGACTTGGACCGGCATCGTCAGCATTCCGTGCTGTAGCTCTAAACGGATCAGTGACGATGCCAGTTACAGTCCTGTCCGAGTCGATTTCTTTTTTCAATTTTTAAATTATATAGTGCCATCATGTGCAAACATTATAACCACTTCACCCATTTGCCCGTTCACTCTTTTCTGAAGACAATTGGGTTATCCAACTCTCACCATGTCCCCTTCAATCCTTTTCGTTTCTTTGCAAATCATTTTATTCCTTCCATTTTGATCTCTTTGTTATTATTGTATGTTGTCCGTTTACATATGTTTATTTTCAGCATATGGGATGAAATAGTTATATTTAGGTACATTTGATTAAATCTAAACTTTATATTAAATTAATTACATAATATTTATTATAAAAACAATAATTGCTTACATGTCGCGTGACATGTATGTATAAAATCATGAGGTTTCTTTTTCATTTATTTATAGTTAGATCATAATGATAAAAGGGACCTGCTTTACATATGTCATCTTGCAAATGTATAAATAAAAAAAATATTAGCCTTGTTTTTAAATTTAATTAAATTAATGAGTTCTTAAAATTAAATAAAACACTTTCAACGTTTTAAAACGCGAAATGTATTACAAAAACTTATTTATTGACGTTTCGAATTCTTTGCAGTAGCCTTGGTCACGGGGGGACCAAGGCTAATGACGACGGGGTTTTCACTATTCAAAATGTATGACTTAAATGTGTACTTTATCTTAAATGTATGACGTAAATGTGACTCGCCTAAACTACAAACAGTACGTAAGTTCTTTTGAATACTAACAAAGAGCCTTAGAGTCGTTGAAACGAACATAAAAGTGTGTCTATTTCATCTCCGATACAGAGAAAAGGGAATTTACTTATACGTATGTAGGCATACGTAAATATGTTTTTAAAGTAATTGCGCATAGAAAATCATTGTTGATGGATATTATTGTGTGAGTACATCAACCCGTGACGTGCAATTAAGGTTAACCCATGGCCTTATGACATGAGCATTATAACTTTCACCGAAATAAAAATGATAATCCCTAACCTCCAAAGATGTACGTGCACAGTTCAAAGAACAAAAAAATATTAATACACCAGTAGGAGGTTCTACAATTTAATCAAATGTTTCAAAAATAAAAAATGTTTTAAATCTCGAACTTGTCCAGACGAAGTGTTAAGTGACTAAGAATTAATATAAGAAGCATTTACTAATTATACGTTAAACTCTTTATTTGATTTTTATTATTTTCTTTGATAATATAATTATTTACTGTACTTACTAATAGTATGGTTATTATAAACTAATTAAATGAAATTCTGTAAGAAAAAACAGTTCGGTCCTGTATAGATCTAGATTCTTTAGACAAAGCGAATTGCCTGTACATTTATTAAAATTATTAAAGACGAAAAAGTAAGTGACAGGAGAAGAAGTAAAAAAACAATTATCATATTTTTGAAAAATATATTTTCATCTGTCGAGTGTACAGGTATCGGGTTTTAGGCCGATAAAATTGTTTTATTTATATCCTGTCTCAATTAAATGTTTTTACACAGACATTTAGTCTTGTAACAAACAAAAGTGACGTCGCCCTAAATCCATTCAAAACGTCGTTTGCTCTAGCGCACACCCTGCATTCATTCTATCCGCAACTAAATATAGATCACAAAAGAAAGTACTATTAAATAAACGTCACTGCCATCTTGAGCAATTTTAAAGAACTTTTTCTCACTTACACAGATTATAAACGCACACGATAATAGCAATATCTCTTTCCTTTGTTCGTGTGATGCGCGTGATTATGGGTTTTGTTTCAAAGACAATCTTATGGTGTGACATTATTGTTTTAGAGTCATATTTTATTAAGGTTTGCTAATGCATATACAGATGAAGTCCAATTTTCTGTAAGGGCCATGGCGCGGACCTATTTCTGTTTACGTGTTATCTATTTCAAGATGCAAGTCCATAGAAACCCAAGCTATTAATTTTGTCTCCAGGACTCGAACCTATAATCTCTGGTTCTTGAAGCTTAATTATGACGTATACTGTCTTACTGTCTAATAGGTAGGATTATATACAATTAATATTCTAATTTGAGTTTGAAAAGGGCTGATAGTGGTAGTATTTCAAAATAGTCTTCAATGCGACTGGAAGGTATTTAAGTTTTTTTTAAAGTTAGATAAATATTTACATTAACACCAGACAAAAGTAAGTGGGATTTGGCTTTACCTCGTCTAACAAATGATGGCTTTGTTTTAGGTTCTTTTTATACATCACTAAAATAAAATCGTACCTTAAAGATTTTTTTAATACCATTCTATCACTTATTGTTTACCCACAGATTAACAAGCAGGGTAGTTAAATCGCGTTTAGGTTTCAGTCAGTTGACTTCCACATATCCGAAGCCAAAATATATATAAGATGTTAAGCTGGAGTATTCTACCTTTCATCGAGTGCCCCCCCGTACTTGTCTATCCTCCTATATGAATAATTTGTTACAATAGTTAATAATATTTACCTATCATTATACAAATTATTTTTAACTTATAAGCACGTTCTTAAATACCACGTTTATTTTTCATAGAAACAGCCCTCACCTTTGAACTACCTTTGATGTTCAATTTCGTTAGTAAATGTATTAGTCATTTATTAGAGCACAACAGTTTGTGTCAATATCGATTAATCTAACAACTTGAGCGAATTAGTTCACGGTTTTTGTCGTATTATATTATTATCGCCTTTTAGACGTTGAACATGTAAACGGCATAGAACAATGTTTATTATGGATGTAATTAAAATTTGGAAGAGATTGGGAGATTGTATTCTGAAATAGAGGTAATGTTTAATTTTTATTTAAATATAAAATTAAACAAACAATAATATCAATTATAATATATCAATTATAGAATAATAATATATAAATTTATTTTTAAAGATGGGTTAAAAAATTTCGACCTGTCTAAACTCCTTTTGCTTTTTGTTGTAGCAATCGATAACAATCAACGGATAGTAGTTTTTACCCCCACCCTGCTTATAACCCCCCCATATGTTTCTGATCATGTCGAACCAATGTCCACAGATGAAGAAGCCGTGAAGTTTCACCGTAATTCCGTTTCAGTCATGATTACTGAATGCCAAAGGCAAAAACGTCGACAGCTTGTCTGGTCTCCTCTGTCAAAAAAAAAACAATCACATTTCAATAAAAAATCTTTATACCTCTAATGAGTTTTTGTATGAATAAACTTAAAACCATAAGTCACTACTATTCTCATCAATACAACTGTTTCTTAGAGAAAGTGCTGTTAGCCTATTGTACATGTACTTATTAAGATTAAAAATTCACTTTATGACTGTAATTATGTTCTTTCTGACAGTTTCTTTGTGAAAAGAATGTAATTGTGTGATATACGCGTTTATTCTGTTTCCCATACAGATAGCCCAAATTAATAGATTACTATATAGATATAATGGATAGGAATAGATGGAGTTATAATGGAGGAAGGCTATTTTATAGCTATCATATAACGCAACCAATAGAACGAAAAAACAATTGAAAAATTATTCACCTTTGAGAGGTATCGTTCCGTGCCCTGCGAAAACGGTTCAAAAATATATGTACGATAAATTATATAATAATTATCTCTCTTTAAATGATCTGAAAACATGGCCCCAATACTATATGTTTATCTTTTAAGATTAACTTGCAAGAAGGAAGGGTCGCGGTCGAAGTCGTGGGTAGTAGCTATATTTTATTTTGATGGTAAAAACTACTATTCTACGCGTACGAAATCGCTGACACAGTTAACTTTTGTTTGATTTTGTCAGCTCCCCCGCTCAAAATGCACGAAACAAAGTCGTGTGTCTTTAACAATTATGAACAGGACTCCTATATACGTAGTGTAGGAGCCTAGTTGAAACTAGCCATAGCTGATACGACGTAGTATGTTAGGACATTCGAGTATATGCGTAGCAAGCGTAGTGTCAGGCTACGCACAGACGACAATCTAAAACCACTATGAAAATCTTGCAAATTGGTAGGTTATTGGTAATATACAAGGCCAACATAAGTAAACAGCGCACCTCGTTTACCATCAAGTGGCCACCAGGCATGTCTTCTTCTATCATAAATACATTTTTTTATTTGTTTTAATGTTTGTACCTTCTTCCGTTTATGTACTGTCAAGTGCATTGCAATTGTTTTATATAGTTATACAAGTATAAGCGAGTTATCTCGCTTCGCATCTAAAATGCAAGTACTGTTTAAATAAATAGCGAATAAATTAAAGTCAATAGAAATGGTAATCGGTTAGCAATGCACGTACTATTAATGTATAAGCGGTTTCTTATGATATTCACCCACTTTTGTATGTAGATGTTGCAGCCTAATGATCTAAGTCCGGGAAGAGAGTTGAAGAGGAAATAAGTTTTTTGTAGGTGATCTGAAAAGTACAATTAAAGAATTTATCACACACTAGCTGTGCCAGCGACTTCCTCCGCTAAGAATATTTATTACGGGCATCCAAATTCGTTATTGCAAACAACGACGGTCGCGCCCCTTCCCGTCGTTCTTACAAAGATAGACATATAGCGTCCCGGACTTTTTTTAGATCATTTAAAGAGGAATCATTGTTCTTTTACATATTTTTGGGTATCTTGAACCGTTATTGCACCGTACGCCTCGGAAACCCATAATGATCAATGATTTTCTAAAATTTTTCACATTTCGCTCTGTTATTATATATGCCTTCCTCGATAAATCCTCTAACCAAGACAAAAATAATTTTCAAGTCGAATCCGTAGTTCCTGAGATTAGCGTGTTCAAACAAACAAACTTTTCAGCTTTATATATTAGTATAGATTTAAAAACTTAAAAGAAATCTGCGGGTTGATAACGTGTATACTGGTTAGGTTATAACGTTATAGATTGCAACTAAAACAAACAACAGGTATACGAAGATTATACAAAATTACTATATATGATTAATTGGTAAGTTTTGTTGCTTATTTATGTTATTTAAGTTATATTTAATTTCCAACAATACAAACAGGCGTATCTAGAATAAATTCAAAACGACCTTAATGTATAAGAAGCAATTTCTTTCAAACAAACTAACATATTTAATAAAAAAAAGATTTAAAAGTAATTAAAAAAAGATTTTATTTAAAAAAAATAAACACATAATGTTATATTAAATGTTTTTCAATATTTTGTACTTTTTTTAGCTAAGCATTGTAATTCTGATAAAAAGTACACACTCCTTAAATAAACAGGAAAAGCATATAACAATAAATAAAACTTTTATAACTGTTTTATTCCACGTAGTTTGCATGCGGCGTGCGATGCTACATGAAGTTGTTAATAATGGATGCGTCTTTAGAATTTTGTTTAGCTGGCTTTTAAATTTTTACTCTATGATCGTCTGTCAATACGAGTCAATATAGTCTCGGTAGAGATTTCAGCGGTACCTTTTAAAACATAATACAAATAAATATACTGCCTACACATGCTTAAATGTGCCAAATTATATCTTCAAACCGTGGCATAAATGAAGATGAACTTCAGGAAAAAAAAAACTTTGCTATAGAAACTACAATAAATAATGATGCTACTTTGCATAGTACCTAATTTTACATAAATTATTTATAGTGAAACATAAAATAAAAACTCCTTTGAGAGTTTTATTGAATGAAGAAAAAAAATGTGCAATTTGTATGTAATGACATAACATATTTAACCAAACAACGGTGTTAGACACCACATCCATTTCAAGCAACCCACCTCAACTCCCGACCTCAAGACAAGCACAACAATTTTCCATTTCGCTACACACCCACACAGCGATAATACAAAATGGCACTCTCACACCGACGGTCGCCTTCCAAGACTCTATTCACTCCACGACATTTGCTCATAGAACCTAGATCTGTCCACTCAATGTGAAGACACCTCCAGAGACGGTACCCCCGATCACAAGCACAATTCTTTTTGTATCGTACATAGCCTATAAATACGCGGCTGGAGCATTAGTGTGTACAGTCTTTTTTATTGCACCAACGAACGTGGTTCAAAGGTCAAAATGTCTAAAGTGTTCGCTTTGATCTTTTTGGTTGGTGTCGTTACAGCGGATGACTTCGGGATGAAGTATATGATGCGGGTTTACGAGGACTGTCAGAGCGCCGACATCATCCCTTGCCTAAAGAGGAAGGCTATTCTCTTCTTCGATCGAGCGGCAAGAATGGAGGCAATACCTTTGATAGATGGTGTCGAAATTGTCAAAGCAGCGAACATGGAGGCTGTCAGTGATAATGATGTAGATTCTTTGCCGAGGAATTTGGGAAGTAAGGACGAGGCTTTGACGGAGATCCTCTGGAATAGGATAGCAGCTTTTGCCAACTCGAGGACGATACAGCTGTCCCTGCCAAAGGTTACCGGAGAGGAACTGAATAAGGGCGTCGAGGAAGGTAATGACATTGAACCTTATCTATTTATTCCAAAACCAGGTCAAACGTTTCTTTGACATTTATTTTAAATCTCGGAGTTTCATCGAGATCAATGGGCACAATATTTTAACACTCTTTAGATTTATAGGTTTGAAGAATTTATTATGCATACAAGCACTTATGAATATAGAATAAGCACTTATGTATGTAGCTATGGCTTAATGTACAAAATACATAGATATATGATATAAGTTAATTTAAATATGTAGGTAGGTATAACATTATGTCACTTAAATGGATTAAATGTTGTGGTTAATAAGATAGTACTTCCAGAAAAAACCTTCCACTTGTTCTGGAAATCCTTAGTTTTTTGTTATGATATTCCGAATAATTATAACACAATAACAACAACTCTTAGTAATAATTAGAATACTTACATCAATAAAACATAGATATTTCTTAGCAGGATTGATACGAGTTTTCTATTCAAGTCTAGTATCTATGACAGGTACAAAGTGTCATCGTTAATATTAAATGAAAGTACATTAAATCAACAGAAGACCTAAGAAACCTAGCATTGCCCTTTTACCACGTCCTGGATTCGTTGCTTTCACTGAAGCTAAGCTCCACGAAGCTGGCTTATCTAAGGACATCGTCATATGAACGAAAAGCTGGTATAGCATGTCCATAGAAAAAATGTGTACACAATTTTGTTAAAATAAATTAGAGCTTAGAGGTTTAAAAGTACTATTGTTCCATAAACTGACATTGGCCATTTCTAGATTATTAAATAAAACGAATTTTAACGGTTTAAATACCCTTTTGATATAGTTTAAAGAATTAGTACATTTTAGGCAAATCTTTGTTAGGAAGGAGTTATTTCAGCTTCTATTTTTATTACTTATACAATTATATCAATCAAACAACTGACTACATAAGAACGCGCTCTGTACGACAGAAGCCTTAGAGATAATTTGCACAGGTGAATGTCTTATATATCTTCTTGTATCGCGTACGTTTTATCTGATAAAGCCTAGTAAAGTGGAAGACAATTTAATGCAAGGAATAAAGGTTAGTTTGAGATATACATTTTAATTATTTTGTTTCTGTCTATAATGATATAAATAAACCGTCCTTCTGATGATATAGGATTTTTAATAAAGATTTCATTCTATACAATTGATTTATGCCAAAATAAGATAATGATGAACTAACTCATTTAGAGTATTTCGTTAATAAGACATGTTTCATTAATACTTTAGATAAAAATGTCGAAATATTCTATATAAGTCGTAGTCACATCGCTGAGTGAAAGCATATTTAGCTCGTTAAGCTATGCTCATAAGAGTGCTTAATTACTGTTCCTATTTTTTAATGTGCACAATTACTATCTGCTATGTTCTTTATGGTATTATGCCTGGTTGCTTCAAATTACTTTAGTATCAATTTGTTGCGACATAATAACGGTATCTTTTATATAAACAATACAAATATATGTATATAATAAATTTTATTTAGGGCAAATAATGTTACAATTTTAGGGATGTTACTGATATTTGAAAAAGCAGAAAATGTGAAAAAAACGGGGAAAGTATTCAACTTTGTGGGCTACCGATGCGTGCGCGGTAAATCTTTTTCAAGACACCCAAAAATATGTATGAAAAAATTATTCCTCTTTAAATAAGCTAAAAAAAATACGCGGCAGTATATGTCTAGCTATTGTGACTAGCTATTGGCAAGCTATTGGAAGCAGCCGACGTCGAGGGTAACAGCTTAAATTTATAGAGATTAAGAGGAGGTTGGCAAAAACAAAGTTTGATGCCCAAAAGAAGAATATTTGCTTTACGTTAATTTTATAGACCGGACTAATAATCATAAAAGTGTGATATCATATGTGAATGGTACGTACTTCAGCAAAATTTAACTTTCATCATGTTTTTTTTTAACAATAGTTAGATGACGGGAAACTATACGAGAGGTTTTAGTTGTTCTAGTTAGAAGTACGTTATTTTAAAGTCGCTATTTCGGCTTAATTGTCGATCAAAGTTGGTAGATGGACAGTACGCAAATTATAATGCACTTAACACAAATCACCATTGTTACAGCTAATGCTAAAATTACTGTCGATAAGCATTACTTTCTAGCGAAAGCTTCGCACTCAAAATATAATCGATGTTGATAAGAAGAAGAAAGATGTAATTTTCATAACAAGTAAATTTCTTTTTCACACGCACATACAAATTAGTTTAAATTTGTTTTTAAGGTTAGAGTTAGTAGAGATCTATAACTTCAAGCGAAATTTATCTTCACAAGGAAGATAAATTTCTTCATCTATACAGTTCTCAGATTTACCTACAGGCCAGTAGATCGAACGTTTTTCTGTGGTATTCGAACCCGTCTCGTGTTTAACACAATACAAGGCAATATGTTTTACTACTCAACCAAAACTAATATTACATAATTATAATTTTTTGTATTATATTATGTATGTATAAAATAATATATATAATTTTGGGTGCAGTTCATTGTTATAAATGCACAAGACATAACAATATCAGGCATTGATTATCTTTCGCCAAAGTAATTCGAAAATTATTCTTTATTTTAGTTATGCTTACATAAATGTTATAAATTTCGTGTTACACATTCGACAAGTACAAATTATTCTACTTGTCATTATGCAAGCGGAAATGATTTGAAATATTAACGTGCATCTATTTCGAACATTAAAATTATCTAGATACAAAATTAACACGTTTCAATTTTCACCTAACGCGTGAAATTATATATTAGAGGATTCGCTACGCGTTACTGGTAACGCTTTTCCGACTTTTCTTTTTTCACTTTTACGAAATTAGCAGACATGTCATTATGTAGTTATGCCTTTGATCATATAGCTCGATTTGTTTGTGCGTATTGTCTGTGGAAGTTAATGGAAAATTTTACGATTAGATTTTCGTAAATCAATTGAGAAATATTTTGTTTAGGTTTGTGTTAATACACAAGAAGACCCAAGAGATTCTGGGTTTAAATCCGGGGTAAATTTTTATTAAACCAGTAATAATTGAAAAATCAAATCAATTATCGTCTATAGGTCGACACTATTACTGCTTATATACTCTTTATCTTATAATATAATCGATCAATGAAAGAAAATGTCTCCCTACAGCCTTGTTTTTTCAAGATACTAAATACAAAAAAAAGTTGCAAAATATGGTTAAATACGTAAAAAGTAAAGTGTTATGTTGTATTAATATGTTTAATGACTGGTGAATTCCTTTAATAGTGTTCCTTTGAAAAAAGAATACAATAACATTACAATGTTTTAGTTCGTACTCGTAAACCACAGACAAAGAACATTGTTTACTCAAAATTATCAATCTAAAGATAAATTTATCTCAATTTCAGGACGTGGTAAGATGAAGAAAATGATGGGGATGATGATGATGGGAGCAGCTATGAAGATGGCGGCCATGATCCCTGTGGCAATAGCTGGTCTATTCGTTTTGGCTGGAAAAGCTCTCATCGTTTCAAAGGTAAATTGAAATAATGTATAAACCTGTGAGGTTAATTTTCAGCGATGATTGAATTTGTGAAACAGTAGCCGCTTTTTATCCGAACGTCATTTTCTCTTGCCATCATAACTGTTTTTAAAGATTCAGCCCAACTACTTAGGCATTATTTGACACCAGAGTCACAAACAAAACTTCTTTCTAGAGTTTGTTACGATAAAAAAGAGCTGGAAGAAATTTCAACTAGACATTAGTATTCTGCGGAACTTTTTGGCTGTCAGATGCAAAAAAAATATCAGGCAATGAATGCTTAATTGTTTGTTCAGAGTTAGAAACAGTTTAAACGACAAAGTATCCTCGTAACTAAGAAGACAATCAAGGAAATCTACAGACTGAATTCGCGTTTCGTCTGTAGATTTTCAAATATTCAAATTGATGGTTGGTTGGTATTTTACCTGTCGTCAAATAAATCCCATGTACAACTCCTCTATCATATAAAGAATATGAGAAAATTTTCTTAAAAAGCTGATAAAATTAACAATAAAACAATGTTCACAACCACCTAATTATCATGGCATTCAAAGTCAATGACAGATTGAGATAATTGATGCAAAGAATGCGTAAACGCATTTCTATACAAATGTATTCCGGTCATTGTTATGAGAGAAAACGTGGAAATAATTGTTGCAGCGTTTATAGATCGTGGGAATCAACCTATTTACATACTTCAGAATTATCGTACGCGAGAACTAGTTATAGATAATCATTACATTGGCCTTTAAACTCTAATTCAAAGGCTAAAGTATTGGGGTATCGGTATCTGAAATTAATATAGTTAAATTATTTAAGTAAACCTGTTTCATAAATAAATTACATTATAGGCGAATTTATTTGTAACAAGTTCAACCTAATCTCTACTTAGCCAGCCTAACAAAGAAAAAAGTTTTATGAATACATGTACCTGTAGATTTATGTTCCATATTCAAATAAACTTCCAATAATTAAGTTATTAAGTCTGTTCCACTTTCAAAGTTTGACGTCTTGATTACTTGCACTACAAGAGAAACAAAGTAGTCCAGATACTTTAGAACCTAGACTGATAAAAAGGCTTTCAAATAAAACACTAACGATTAAAAATGCGAAATAAATTTAGTTGAATTTATTAACGAGTTATTTTAACTATGGGCAATATTTCGGATGTTTTGCAGCAGCCGTCGTTATCACGTGTCCTTTGTCTCCATTAACATATATATATTTCCCGTTTTAAACCGTTAAACTGTTTTACTTAAATGTGTACTACTTGCAAAAACTACAGATATTTAATAAAAAAGGTTTAAAATACATTTTATGAGAATACTATAGGCATACCTAATGTTAAGAGGCTAAAGATAGGCTTGAAGCGATAATGCGATATAAATCATAGTAATGTCTCCAAGATTTTCATGATATTAGAAAAGCTTGTAATTCAGATCGTTATGATATTACACATTTCTAACGATCTTCTTATAGGCGATAACGATAGACCGCTCCCAATGACTTGACACAGTTTACGCGAAAATGGAACAATGATGTGAAATCGATGATATTGAACTAAGCTCAACAATGTATAGAGACAATTATAGGGCTCTAACTAGACCACAGATAACAAATAGCGGGTAGTTTATAATTTGAATATAGAACAGAAACGAGTAATAGGAGTAGAGTAGGTCTTTAATTGTTGTTTTAGACTTGATTTTAAATATACGGAAGTGTTTATGTCTTATCTTGTTGTCTAAAATTTATATAATTTTAGACAACAAGATGAAACTTATCTAATTGTTACTATATCAAAGCACAATATTACGGTAATAAAAAAACTTATAATACGGTTAACGATCTTCTTTTTCTTTAAACAGCAAACTCGGTAGGAAAAAGAAATTAAATGTGTTGTGTTGTGTGTGTGTGTGTTGTTGTGTGTTGTGTTATTTCAGAAACATATTATTTTATGATAAAGGTGGACAACGTGGTTCACTTGATGTTGTGTGTGAAATCCCTTCTCCCCTCGTGGGGCGTGGGGACATTTCTGTGTCCGTCCCACTGATCAGTTCTTTAACAGGCAAGTAGTTGATCAGACTTCTGTACCCCGCCTAACTGAAACAATTTTTTTGTTTCCCTGGGAATCGAACCTAAGACCTCTCGCGCTAAACGCAATGCTAGACAACACGTTTAACCATTTGGCTACAGAGGTGGTCACTTGATATTAGTCAGCCATATAACATCATGATAAGATGCACTCTCGACCTATATTAGCTTTGGATTTTTGGATATAGACAGACTGAAGCCGAAACGCGATTAAACTACGCGGTCTTTTATCACCCACTTAATATTTATCGAAGAAATCCAACATGTTTCATAAAATCATTAATTGTAAAAATAAGTTTGACCCGGTGGGGTTCGAACCCACTCTAAGATGATCAGCCACACACCATTAGACCAAAAATCATTAATCATACGTTAGAGTACTATGGACCTGGGTTCGACTGTCGAGCGTGTCATTAAATTAATTATAATATAATTATAAAAATTATATTAATTATAATTATATTTCTTTCTAAAACCATAGTCCCAAATTACAAAAAATAATTAAATTCCTTAAATTTCAAGTCATAACACATCTTTATATAGTCAATAAATAGTCTAGATTTATTATTATAATTGCTGCAAGAATGAATTAAGGTCTAAGTGTCCATCCGTTGTCTTCTATCATTGTATTAAATCTAGACTGTAATTGGCTTATTGTGGCGTATAAAACATTTCCTTCCTAGGGCTTAGCGCTTAGGCTTTCACCGTTAGCGCAGATTGTAGGATATTAACCATTGAATTCAGGTTTCCTTTTACTCTATAGAACTTTCTAGTGAAAAATATTTGCTATTACCATTTGTAATGTTCATGTTCGGAGAATGACAAAATAAAGATTTTGCTGTCATGTCGGAACGAAAGAGGCTAACGCTCGTTAGTTTAAATTGTAGCAAGGTCAAGGACAGGTGGTGGTTCGATCCCCACCGGTCCAACATTTTTCTAATCAATTTATAAATTTTCTGAAATATGTTAGATTTATCGACACAAAGATGTATCGAATATACGAGCCGGACGAAATTATTATTATAGTCAAAATAAAATAAAATATACTTTATAAAATTATTTAGATTCGTCAAAAATATATAAAGTAATATGTTTGTCTGTCTTGCTTCTACAGAGATACCCACCACCACACATGAAAAAAAAATCCGTGAAGTTTAATCGCGTTTCGGTTTCAGTCTGTTGATTTCCGCATATGTAAAGCCAAAAGAGATCGACAACGCATCTTGTTTATGCAGATCTTATAAGACTCGCGTATTTTACCTACCAACAATTCAACCCTTAGGAAGTCGAACAAAATCAATGTTAACTGGTACACGTGTAAGTACCGGGTTTGATGCCTTTTAAGCACTAATAAGAATAAGACGTAAGTATTTTTAGACTTTTTAACGTTGATTTGCACAAAAATCTACTTATAAAGCTTGTGGTAACAGCTGCTTTAAAGATTTCCGATACGTCGGGTCATAAATAAAAACGAACTAATATATTTCGTATTTGAAACGGTAAAATTAGTTTGGTTTTTATATAAATATGAAGCGAAACTATTAATGCGTCTCTATTGAAATTAAGGACAATGTATTATGAGACACTTGTTAACTAATTAACGCCCTCATTCGCACAATATTTACCCACTTATAGCCCTATAGCCATTACTATTGTTTAAAGTTTTAACTATGATGTAACAAAACAAAACAAGTTTATTTATAAACGGTCATTGACGTTGTTTAACGCGATAAAAAATGAGTCTTATGTCTATGTATTTAAAGTGTACGTTAGATTGTATCTTTAATTCGAACTAGAATTTAATAAGATTACACACTAGTCGGCCTTCGATGGACCATTTACGTGCCTCTCTACGTAACGTACGTTTGAAAAGAGTTAGTGTTACCAACGATGTTTTATACTGTGCTTACCGGGAAATGGGGAGAATTCTATTTTTAAAATATAAGTATGTCACTTTAAATTTAGAGCAATTTCAAATTTAGAATATCGTTTAGTAATAGTTATTCTGAAGTTTACTCAAGTAGTCCACGATTAAATGAAATACTTTTAACGGTTCAACGCGACATGTTACTTTAACTTATTTACATTTTTTTCAATGCATGATAATCTTGTCTCATTATCTGACAGACGTTTTAATTTAATTTTACTTTTTACAAGGCAATTTACAGTAATCACCAAATATATACTCCGCAATGTACAATAATTATATTTAAACAGTCATAGTAATAATTCATACCTATACTGTTGTTATATTACAAAACAAAAGCCTGCCTCGTAGATGGTAACACTGCCTTACGTTTATCATTTCATTGCACGCTGTGCTCTCGAACTGTGAACAACCGTACATATTCTTATTTTTATTATAACTATTATTGTCGTTTAAAGTAAATCTCGTGCGGCTTGTTGGAACCAAGCCGTAAGAGATTTACTTAGAATGATAGTAATTTTACTTCGGGAGAGGGAACGCAATGAAAAATAGGTATTTTTATTTGAATTATTTATAATGTTATTGTGTTTCGTCACAAATTATTTGCTCTATTTGTTTTCCTTCCTAATATTTGCTTAGTTCTGAATTGTCCTTGAATTCGTTTATCTCGGTTGTATGCTCATTTCGTATATACAAATCGAATTCTAATCAACTGTTGGTATTGATATTTTAGAATTGACCTATTTTTTCTGAATTCTTCATTGTAAACTACCTCGTAGCGCAATGGTTAAACTTTGTCTGGATTAAGCACGAAAAGTCTCAGGTACAAATCCGCGGATAGCGATCGTGTTTTATATTACTTGCGTAAAATAAATCAATCAGTGATACGGACACAGAAGTATGTTTGCCTCATTTCTCGTGGCAAACTGAATAATTTTTCATAACACACGTCGTGTTATATTATTTATTCTAAAATTGAAGTCTTTGATGTTAATAAACAAAACATATTGATAAATAGTAACTCCATTCAGGTCATACGCATGAAGACCTAATAGTATTATTAATAATATTATTATGACTGTATTAGGGCTTCTTTAACTGTGAGTACAGTAATGAAAGAAACCTTGCATTTTGTTATACAACATCGTTGAGTGCATACTTTTAAATAAAACACTTTAACGCTTTAGAACGCTATAAACATTAGTTAAACTTATTTGAAAATTATTTTTAACTTCGGCCCGACGTTTCAGATGTCTTGCAGCAGCCGTGGACACGGGGAGACGGGATTTTATACCGTTAAAGTGTTTTATTTAAATGTGTACTACTCGAGTAAACTACAGACAGTATTTGACAAGTGCATTCTTGTTGGTATGCACTTGTCACCCATTTAGAAGACAGTGAACGTGTGTTTTGTTATTTTCTATTGCTCCATTGTTCACTTAAAAAACTAAGTATGGAGGAAAATTCAACATTCTTTCTTATCATGTATACCTAAATTATACTACTGTATTTTTTATGATAGAGGAGAACAGACAAGCATGGCATTCACTTAATGGTAGGTGAAATGCTACAGCCATATAATATCTAGATGCGATGTCTATCTAGATACTCAATTGTAATACATATCACTCTAAACCGAAATCCCGCGGGCGCTTCTCGTCTTTCCAAAATGAGGCAAACACATTTTAGTATCCGTTTTATTAATTTTCTAATGAGATTTCTCTTTCCTTCCCAACACAATCACTGTTCTCCCCGGATTTGAACCTAACCTACCCCACGCTTAACACAATGTTGGGTAATGTACCGTTAATCCTTATGCAACGGACACTCATCATGTAGGCAAATATTTATTATTTTTGTCTAGGGCATTCAAATCCGAAATTTTTCGTGCTTAACAAGAAAAGCATTTTGCTTAAACAGTTTGACTATTTTTTTCAGATCGCCTTGCTCCTTGCTGGTATTCTTGCGCTCAAGAAGCTCATAGCAGCGAAGAACAGCGGAGGTAGTGGTGGCGGCCATGATAGCCACAGCAGTGGGTGGTCGTCTGGTGGTAGCGGAGGTTGGGACAGACGGTCATACGACGATGCCTCTGAATTAGTATATTCAGCGTATAAAAAGGCTTAAATTTTTTTATCTATTCACAAACGCGGTTACTAAATAGATTAAAATGTGTAGTAGCTTTTACAAACTATTCTGTGGTTTATGCTAAATATATTTTAATTACTCATATATACAAAAACGTGGTTACTGTAATCTGCATCTTAACTTCGTCCTAAAATATTAGAATTTTTCTATTGGTTTTTTGCAAGATATTTGACAAGTAAAACTAAATCGACAAACATTGGATTGATCTTTTTAAAACAGCGCCATCTATCGTAACGTGCAATAAGGAAAACGCTTGAAGTTATCTGTGTAAGCTTTGTATTATCTATTTAAAAATTAATTAAATCAATTATAGTAATTATTTGACAAATATAGCCTAATTGCGCGAGAGGTCCTGGGTTCAAATCCCAGGGAAACATAAAATTGTTTCGGTCGGGCAGGGCACAGAAGTCTGAACACTGAAAAAAAGTACGGATCAGTGAAACGGACACAAAAATGTGTTCGCCCCATGCCCCACGAGGGGAGACGGATGTCACACACACGATTTTATTGGAAACATTATGTATTTTTACTCCGTATTCGATTCAGCGTTCGTTTCTAAGCATGTGCAGATGTTTTTTTATATTCAACCGGTTTGTCAACAAATTTGATAATATTTTCGTAGAGTTATAGTATTTATTTTAATTGTAACCTGAAGGCTTTAATTTCTGTAAATATAAATTATCTTCTAAGTTTATTTATTTAAATGTATAATAATTATTTATATTAGTATCAATAATTGTTCGTCGTACTACTGAACAATTGTAAAGGTATTTTTTATAAAAAATTACTTTATGGTACTTAAGGTGCTGTAATTTTACTCTTAAATACGGGGTGCTTGTAATAAAATAAATAAAAATTAATAACTGTGTTTTTATGAGTGCGTTGTCCTATGTTTGCTGTAGTTTAATTATATTATTCCGACATAACAATAAATAATATTCTTTAAAATTTTGTCTTTATAAAGTCGAGACCATGGCTGCTGCACAAACCGGAAGAAAAATAATTTTCAAATAAGTTTAACTAATATATCACGTTTTAAACCGTTAAAATGTTGCCTGCCCTTGGCTTAGCTATTTTAAGGCCAGGTGCTGCGGTACACCTAGGGGCCCTCTAATCTTATATAAAACAAATGACAATCGTAAATGGAAAAAAATATATTTTTGACGTTTTTTAATAAACTGTTCTTGTTTATTTGGATAGTTGGAGGCATAAATAATTTCAAGCTAGGCGAAAAAAGGGATGAGGGCCTCATCTAGCTACACTACTGTTGTTTACCCTATCTTTTACTCAATCTATCAAAATGTTCTTGAACCTCTTTATATAAGAGAACCTTGGAATTGTTAGCAATTAAAGATAAGTAAAATTGTCATACTTATTTTCATACAATACAATAAATAGAACCTATTGTGGTCATGGTCACGACTGCTGTAAAGGATCCCAAAGGTGGGGCCGTAGTACAAATAATTTTCAAAGAAGATTACCTAATATATATCGGTTTAAACCGTTTAAGTGTTTTATTTAAATGGATCTGATATATGTAATCAGCGCCTCTAGCGAATATGTAAAGAACTAAAAGAGTACTATGAAACTAGAATATCGCATGCTAAGGTAATATTTCACTGTTATCTTTCAGAAAGCGATAATAAGATTAGAAAAAAAAGAGACGAGAGAAAGAGATAAGAGCAGAGGATACAAGGATGTTTCTTAATAAAACAATAGAAAAAAAAATGGCTGAAAAAAATAACAACACACTTTTCTATACTCCAATAGAAACAATAATACGAGTAATACTTAAAAGATAATTTGAACTTTAATGCCATATGATAATGTTCTAGTGGAGAGAGACCACTAAGGCGATTTAATGACGCTAGAATCGTATACATGAAATTGAATTCGTTATCGACATTTCATATACTAAAAGTGTAATAATCTTATTAGATAGAACAAAGTTCCTTGTAGCAATAGACTATTTTGAAATGAAATTTATATTTTCAATCTGATATGATTCTGAGCTTTACATCTTATTAGTTTTATTTATAAATTATGATCGTAAATCTGCATATAATTTTAAGTTTTCCACATAATTTATCATTCCCTGGAAATTGCCTGGTATAAACTACCTTAGGCGATAAGTCTTTTTCAAATATATTAATACTACTACTACTACTTCTACTGGAAGCGCAAGCGTCAAACATGTGCATAGAGTAGCATGAGACTGGGTTTCCTCTATAAAAGCCAGCTCATTTAACAGCATACCAGACTCGTGCCTCTCAAAACTTCCTATAACAATTAACAACATGAGTCGTAATCAGAATTGGAAGTGAATGCTTCCATTTATTTGCGTGTTTCATGCGCCACTTAATAAATTACACACGATTGTTCCGTAACGTAGCGCACTGGTGTTAAGAAACGCTATTAAAACGATGCGAAGTTTCACCGTGTAGATATTGTCTCCAGTTTACGGAAGTTGTACCATTTAAATAATTTACTTTCAACCGTTGAAAACACGAAATATAAAAATTTACCAATTCACTATTAATTTCGAATTGTATTGTTTTGAATGTCTTGCAGCAGCCGTGGTCATGGTATTTGAAACTGTTTATGTTTTTCAGTTTTAACATATTAGATATGTATCAACTGTACTCAAGTTTATCTCGGTTATTGCTTCTCATGGCCTAAATGTTATTGGATGATAAGGTTTTATTTCCGACTGACCTTTAGATTTTTTACGCTAATGTGTATTATTTTATTATATTTTAAGAAGATATTTCAGAATGACAACGAATTATAACAAAATATGACTATTATTTACGTTCAAGTGAACAAGTATTAAGAAACTACTCAATAAGAAGCATTTCTTCGCCCAGAGCCGACTCAAATACGCCACAAGAACGTCGCGTTTTTAACACTAGTGCATTAATACATTTTTTTTAATAGGACCAATGATCCACTCCGATAACGTTTAAAACTGAAATAAAATCGATGTAAATGAATAAATATTTGCGATACCTTTATTTTCAACCGATTTAAAAAAATAAGGTTTTCAGTTTGATTCGAACCCATTTATTATATTTTTTTATTGCTTTAACTAAAACATCAAACACTTCCCTACAGAAACGGTATCTTATGATAATTACGACGGTCGCAATGTAGGTACGCAATTTTACCTTAAGTGTTTATTTTCTAATATTATGACAAACAAAGTTAATTTTTCCCAAAGTCGCTTAGAAAAGGACTATAATTAATAGTTTAAAAATCGAAAATAAATTGAAAAAATTTTCGACTCGGGCAGGACTTGAACCGGCATCGTCAGCTTTCCGTGCTGTTGCTCTACCAATTGTCGGTTCAAGTCCTGCCCGAGTCGAAAATTTTTTCAATTTATTTTCGATTTTTAAATTATATAGTGCCTTCATGTGCAATAACATAAATGTTTGTGTAAAAATTAATAAAGTTTTCAGACTATTATTTATTTGAAACGCACTTCCAGTTATCGTTTTCAAAACACAAGTCCAGTAATTATCATGAATTTAGAGGTAGTTTAAAAAAAATTAAGCTCGTGTATTTTTAGCCTTAAATTAAACGACTATTATGCATTTGTTGTGATTACTTTTTTATGAGAAAATGGTTATGATGAAATGGTTATCTACATATGTTTATTTAGTCTCAATTAAAAATATCCACTATTTTCTGTCTATATATAATAAAGCAGCTTTAAAGAACGTTGTATGAGCTTATACGAGCGATAAGTAGATATAAATTAAACACTTTTTAACTGTTTGAAACTCGACAAATAATAGGCAATTTGTTTTTAACTACAACATTTTGAATGTTTAATAACAAAAATAATTAACCAATGTCGCGTTTAAACGTTTAATTTTCATGACATTTAATTTTAGTATTAAGTGTATTGAACACAATTTAACACGAGATAGCTTTCACTAAAAGTATGGAAGTTGTTATTTCTTAGCAGTTTAAATCCTCGCAAAGTTAACACGCATACGAACTAACAGCAAACACTAAAAGAAAAGTAACTATTGTCAGCTATATGACAATAGAATGCGGTAATTTATCATTGGAGACACGAAATATCTGCATGCAAAGTGAAATAGATTTTAATTACATAATATATTATGTTATAATTAAAAGGTGTAATTAAAATTATAACAATGAGGTATTTAGTATACAGCTTGACCGACGTCTTCGACCGTCATTGACCGCCTCAGTTACTCAAGTTTAAAAAAGCCGGACTGAGTTTCTTGGGTGTTCTTCTCGGTCATGTTGCTCTTTGGAATACTCTGTAGAATCACAACAGACAGACAGACAAACATCTTTTGACGAATCTAAATAATTTTTGAATAATTAAATTTTAAAGAGAATAAAGTATATTGTACTTTTTTATTCAATAGTTAACTTTTGAATTCCAGGAAAACAAACAATATCATAGGGGTAAACAGGCAAAAGCGCCCACCCATTTGCAACACCAGGCATCTTGGCTTTTAATCCAAATAAAATAAAACAATACCTATCTATAAAATCGTAAAATAATTGCGAACTAAGTTTATAACTTCTTTTTTCCTCAAACGAAACAGAGCCGAGAAAAAATGATGCCAAAAAGGGAAACATAATCTTTTTTATTCAAGCACTTACTTTTGTCTCTAATTAAAAATACGTGCGTTCAGGACACCGTCAATCTTTATGTTCTGTAATGTTATACCTTCGTATTTTACAGTGTTAGCTACCTAAGGACAACTTATTTTAGTAAGGCTAGGCATATACATTTTTTTACTTTTAGTAATTAAGAACAGGTTCGTACACTTTTCTAGATATTAGCGCAAGCGAGGTATATTTATAGTATAAGTAATTATGCTGCGATTATCAAAAATATCAATTGTTTTAAAGTGTAATAAAATATATTTTTTTAATTGTGTATAAAATACATCAATGAAGAATCAATCAAACATTAACAAAACGATTGAATTCTGTATCGTCTTTTCAATTATTCAAACTTGACAATCGGAAGATATTATCTAACTTCAATTAACCACATATCTCTGTATTAGATGCATAAAACAGTGCGCAATAAAAAAAAGCTTTCTCTATCAAATCTCAAAGCACACGCTGACACGTAAATTACCAATAATGAAGGTTCGAAATTATCGCAAATTGATGCTGCGTCGTTACCGCGATACGCGATGCGTTGACAAAATTTCGTTACCGCTACACATCGGAATCGCGAAGGTTCCGTAATCAACCACCCGTACACGGGACGTTATACATGTATAAATATAACGTCTTCCTCGACACTAGCTCAGTTAAACGCGATCGTTTGTGCAATGATGGATCGAGGAGGGGTGGTGAACTAAGTGAATTGTGTACATTGACCGGACAATATGATTACAATGTTTAGGTACCAAATAGCTGTGTTGTTCTTCGCGGCGCTGACTTCGGCCGCCCGAAATGACCTGACAAAACTCTTATCGCTCAGTGCGAGGAACAGTGACGGTGCTGTCGTCAATGTGACCAGTGCGTCCATAGTGATACCATCCTTCAGTGTCCGGACCTCGCGGAGTCCGCAAGAGTTTCAGAAGTATGCTTTCCGGCCGCGATCGATGCCGGAGACTAAGTATAAGTCTGAAGTGCTCTTCCCTGGCAATTACTTCGCAATTTCCGAAGGGAAGAGTGATGAGGACGCCGCGAAGGAGGCCTACTCGCGATTCCAGCCTCAGCCGATACCTTTGAGGCCGGAGGGCAGGTCCCTAGATGATGAAGAGGAGATTGAGAAGCCCGAAGATATCACTGAGCAAGCTTCAAGAAGATCATTGTCATGTAAGCATCTATTTCCTACAGATATTCTTTTGATTATTTGTAGGTCCTGAAGGCGGATGGCGTACTGAATTGCAACCAGACCACAGCAGTTAATAGGTACTTTAATTAATGGTTGCGGGATCACCATAAATTTACTTAATGAACAAACGGTTTTTTCAGGGAATCGTGAAAGCTGCGTTGTTTTGCTGAAAAAAAATGTAATGGAAATAATAAGGGGTTTACTCTATTGAGTATCTTATTTTTAATGAATGGTTCGTTATTAGTCTGCATATAAAATCATTACCCACCAAATTCAATCCAAGAGGGCATCGCAAGATAAGCATTTTGTTCAGACCATAATAAAAATGTAATTCAAAAGAAACCTTAAATCGCCGATCTAAATCTCAGCAAATAATCTAGTCGTTATTTGATTGCCATCCATTACAACTTCACCGTCCAATAATTTTAAACCGCAAACTAAAATTTCATAGATCCTAAGCCACAATCATTTCCGCCAGTGGACAGTAAATATTGCCTTCACAATACTGTTATTGACTTGTCAACGACTTTGTTAAACGATCCGTCTACGATAGTTAGTATCCAAAATAAAATAATTAACCATTTTAACTTTTCTAACAACGTGAATTTTAAGTCTTTGTACAAAAGTATAAATTATTAAAAATTAAACTGATGTCTACAATTTAGGCCATTTCAATAGGTAACGCCATTTAATTACTTCGCTTAACAAGGTACCTAAAAATCTTGATAATACAATTTTACTTTCAACCATGAGTTGCAAAATCATTTGTCTAACCCAATTATTTTCATTAATTGTGATGTTCCAATCATTCACATTTAATTTACCTTAACAAAAAATGCAAAATTGTATTTCTTTTTATTCTTAAACTTTCATGGAGTCTTCAAAACTTGTGTTGAAAAAAGGTTCTATATTTAATCGTAAAATGGCCCGTCTCCCATGTTGACAATAGGCCTACGTTTTAGCTATGAACGATGTGCAGCCGCTCATTAATCGAAAGTAATCTTAATCTAACTTGGTAATTAGATATACAAGCATTACTTAATAGTGAAATTGGAATATTAAGTATTTACTTTTAGTATATTGCATGATCGCTGTCACGCACTGCGATAAAAAAATATTCCTCATTCCTGCCTATTGATATATCGTTCTGTTGACTTGGCAGTTCGTGTTGATTACAGGAATTGACATTTGATTGCTAATTAATGTTTTTGCTAGCACGAATTGTTTGATTGAAACTTTCTTAAACGGTTTGAAATTTAAACTCTGACGGGCTCGTTGGCTAGAAATAATCAGGTCGTGGGTACGATCTCCACCGAGACCAACATATTTCTAATTATTCAATTTATAATTTTTCTGAAACATGTTGGATCTCGTTTGGAAATCTGAATATTAAATGGGTCGGGTCACGAACCACAGATGAAAAAACCGTGAAGTTTAATCACGTTTTGATATCTGTCTGTGGATTTCCGAATATCCAAAGCCAAAATATATCACGTACAATCAAGTGAACCCCGTGCTCTCCTGTCCTTATCTAACATTAAAAAAAACTTAGTCAAAGTTTACAACTTCTTTTGTGTAAGCTTCAGGTATTAATTTTACAGTTACTTCTTTTATCGACGCATTAACAATATAAACAAGAGAATTTAATAAAACTAAATGACTTTTTTATTTTTTTTTATTGATTCTTAATCCGCACAAATCTGTAATATAACTGTAGATACTGGACATAGATAATTTCTAATTTATAGAAAACGGGAATTATAATAATATTATGATTACGCAAAAACTCATGGGGTATTACGGTTCAAGAGCGTTAGTTAATAACGCTACTTTTGATTTATTACACTATATTATTTATGGGATAATAAATCTTCATTAAGTATGGGTTCAGCTATTTTAAATCTGGTGTCTACAGAGGATGTAGAGGCATAACATATAAAACAATTTAAGCGAATCAGTCCACGCTCTGTGATTTCAACATCAGCAATCAGCGTACATACTCTTTAATTATTTTCAACTCAGGACAAACAAGAGATTAATTTTCCGTGAATGCGATAGGAAAAACGCATGGTATTTGTTGGATAAAGCAGATTACAATTTACGCACGTTCATTGAGATATCTGATGAAAATTTTAAGATAAAAGGCGACAATTAAAGAATAAGACGGCTTTATAATGAGGAAATTAAAGTTGATAAATAATAGAATTAGAGATTTACGTGAAATTCACGACGTGCTTACTTTTTGTAACATTATTTAATATACAGTCTCAGCTCATTATATATTTAGTATAATTTCTTGAATTAAAAAAAAATGTTTTCAACATTTTATTTTTTTCAAATTCCAGACATCTTTGGAGGTGGAGAGGACGAAGAGGCCGACGATGAAGACGGAGAATTCGAAGTCGAAGAAGATGAAACGGGAGCAGAGACCAAATCCAAAAACAAGAGAAAGAATAAAAATAAAGGATCAAAATCCAAGCGCTATTCCAAATACATGGTGCCTCTTCTCTTAGCATATAAGCTGAAGTATTTCGCAATAGTCCCCGTCATGATTGGAGGTCTGGTACTGCTAGCAGGAGCTACGGGCTTAGCTGGATTCTTCTTTGCTCTATTCGCAGCGACCATGGCTTTACAGAAGGGAGGATACTAAGTCGACGAACTCGATGCCATCAGTTAAAATAAGCGGGCGCTATCTATCTGTGATTTACCTTTTCATACATGGTGTTATTTTGTAAGATAGATGTTTTTTCTGTTCAAGTTTATTGGTGATCTGTTTTTTCGATATTCAAGATTTTTCTATCCTATATTCATTTAAGTCTATGCTAAAGTCATCGAAATTAGGAAAAACTATCTTCTTTGCAAAATCAAACACCATCTAGTATACAAAACTGATTTACTGCATTTCCTTTAGTGCTAAGTCTATGTATGTTTTACATTTCGCCACTATCGATTTAAATGTTTACGATAATGATCCTATTGTAAATATTTCGAGTAATAATTTAATTAAAGTTATTGTTAATTTATTTATTGAATAATTTAATAATATTTATAGCGAATTAATTTTATTAGGATGTATAGTTACCATTAAATATTGTACACTGCCTTCGAATTTTTACTAATCCCTTAATTATCCAAACAATGTAAAACCTAAAAAAATTTCATTATGCAAATATTCATTTCAATAATAAATTTACCTATTTCGCTCGGTAGAAGAAATTTTAAAGACATTCTTTGATCACAGTTAGTTTTTGGTAGTTAAATTTTGCCACCTAAAGTACATCCAAAATAATTTTAGAAGTAGATGAATTTTGTAGACTTAAAGTTAACCTTGAGGGTAGAGCCACGTTATCCTGGTTGGATACTTTCCAAAATATCTTAAAAGGAAATACAAAAATGCATCGTCATAAAATATAATGATAATAACAAAACATGAAACTTTTCATCTGCTAACCCTTGCTCTACTGAATGATACATCTGTCTTCGTAAAACTGGGCGCTGAACGGGTTATCCAGGGCTAATGTACTTTCGGCTATTTTATCCCTCACTTTATCTGAGACATTGTATATCCCTCCCACCACTCTCCTTACAGATCTCTGGATGTAACTCCTTGGATTATGCTTAATGAAAAACGCTTTCATTTGACGGTGCCTGAGCTTCATTTTTCGCTTGATTGGATGTGGTCGACTGAAGACTGATCGCTTTTTCTTTGGGAATATACGTCGCCTGCGCTTTCCCATTTTTTATAACCCTTTGAAAATTCAAAGACTTAATGCCGTTAGGCGGTGTACTGTGTGCATTTTCTGTTTGGATTTTTCTTTTGTAATTTTCTTAAATTTCACATTTTGCTTTTTGATTATGTATCTGATGACGGAAGAATGTCGGACTCTGTTTATTTTTTTGTGACGTCAAAAGAGGTGGTTTTACAGTTGATAAAACAATCAGTAGATTGAAAAAGGTTTATATAATTTACCGCAATTTTTGGCAACTTCAATAGCATATTGTACATGGTAGCTCTGTAGCTACAATTATGAAAATTTAAAAACACTTTTACGTATTGGCTGTAATTTACACGGGTAGTACACATTAATACGTTAACGATTTAAAACGGCTTTTAAACAATACATTTCACGTTTATAACGTTAAAATGGTTTTCTTAAGATACAGTGAATTCATCTTAATGGTTTTTATCATATAATAATATGTTTTTTTTACTAGTAATAAATCAATAGTTAAAAGTGAATCCGTGGCAATTGTGAAATGTTTTGCTCCACATTGCTTTAAGCGCAAAAGTGGAGCAAAACAGGGTTTAAATGCCAAGAAAACAATTTCGTTTGGACAAGGCACAGAATATAACCTATTTATCTATTTACCTGTAATTCAATTTAGAATTTAAAAAGAAATAGTCACAGAAATGTGTCTGGCCCATTCCCTTACGGAGAAACAGGATTTTAATTAAAACAGACGTAAATGTTTGAATCAACAACGCCACGGTATGCCGTGAATTTTTACGTTTCCTTGTGTGTTATAACACTAAGTACTTATGTATACGCAACGCAAGTACGTAACAAGATGCACACAGCATGCATGCTGAGATCTAGTATATGGAAACTTTACCGATCAATTTCAAAGAACACGAAAATAATTATATTTTTTCTAATTTCTGAAAATGACTTTCATAGTAAAGAATACATACGTAACATGTTTTTTTAATAGACTAAAAGTCAACTCGCTGAGTATTCCTTTAATAATATGTCCAAGTATTGCTAATTCCCTCATTTGGTGTCCTTATTTATGCCTTAAAATTTAAATTAATAACTTGAAATTAAAGTAACATTAAAAATAAACTAAGTAGCGTTTCTAAATTAACTAACTAAAGGTTCCGTTTATAATTTAGTATATTAAAGTTATAGTAAAGATAAGTATTCATAAAATATAAAAACTAGCCAATTGTTTCAGTAGTATAGCCCATCAGCTTGTCCTGGAGTAGCGTGCTGGATCTAAGTTCGTCAATCCTCTCTACTATTCGAGCGGATAACTGCTCCCAGCTGTGGGATATCAATAAACTAAAAACATATTCTTAATTTGTGTATACTATGTATAGTTCAAATAGAAAGTAAGATATCGACAAGTTCATTGTCGCGGCCTTGAACGAGATCATTGATACCTGTAAAGGTCGGCTTACATGACGTAAGTCTCTTAATAATGTGGGAAATACCCGATTCATCTTTCCTTTAGATCTTAGTGGGGTCTAAAATAGCCTTACTAAAAGCTATGAAGTACTTTTCAACTATAATGTAATTAAGTCAAATAATACATGAAATTAGTACACTTTAGTCGAAAAAGGAAAGCGATACAGTACAAGAAGAATATAACTAAGAGATATTTTACTTTTACTTTACAAAAACTATAATAGTTTTTCCAATATTATCAGTATTATGCACATTATACGTATATAAATTAAAAACTATTAAAAAAAATTGATTACACGAGCGAAAACTGAACAGCAACCCAGATAAGCTATAGTTGCCAAAAATTAACCTATATAGTAAAGAATGTCGTTTATTAAAAAAACTTCAAACACAATGACATAAATACATGATATATGTAGTAACTTGGCAGACCGGCGCTGCATCCCTGTCATAATAAGATATCTTTTCTTCCACGGAGAAAACTTTTGTCCATGGACATATAATTAGGGTAGGTACGTCAGTTATTATCGTAAGAAAAAAATACTACCTCCATTTATAAAGTCAATTTTTTGTTAGTCGTCACCAAATACATAAAAACTGCCATGTAGCCATAGCTTATTTAATTGGTGAAAGTATTGTCCTTGTCCTATTTAGGGCTTACAATATGTTTTGACTGCAGAGATAATTTCAAAAAAATATTCGTATTCACGATGGTATTGCTTATTTCCTCATGGTAAAAACACTAATCCTTCATTTAATACTTTACATAATTTAACTTAATTAATAAATTAAAAATGTTGTCCCTTTATTGTTTAAGTAGTAAGGATTAAATAAAACTATGAATGAAGTGATGAATTAATTAGGATGTTTTCTTTATATTTAAATATTTTATCAAATATATGTAAACATAAAATGTATGTAAATTTGTTTAGTAATATCCAAGTTCTTAATATAATATAATGGATAATATTATGATAAAAGCAACAGAAATGATAATGTTATATATAGCTACAAAACCTTAAGTACGTCGCTGTTTTTTGGGGATATTAAGGTAAATAATGATGAATTGCGTATAAATAGTTGTTATAGAAGGACCTACAAGCATAGTATCACTTAATAAAAGGATGATATCCCAGCCTTAAATCATCAATGTAACCGAAACGCGACTTTTTTCACTTATAAACGGTGGTTCGTGATCCGGACGGAATTTCGATATTCCTGCCATCCATTTAATATCCAGACTTCCAGACGAAGTCAAACCTTTTTCACAAAAAAATATTAATAGATTGAAACATGCAGGATATGTTGTCGATTAAACCCACGACCCATTGGACTCGATCGACCCGACCCGATCAAACGTACAAGCCCGTCAAATCTGACTTCTGTGCGTGAGGTCGGTACACACAAATAATATTTCCGATTTAGAGAATCATCATGATACCAGCCTGGCGTGAAACTGAACGAATGGCATATTGGGTCATTTTGATCCCCTGTAAGTGATCGAAGCCTGTAAGTAAAATATAAAATTCAGTGACACATAAATTATATCTATACTAGTATCTTACCTACTTATATGGTTTGAATGCCATATACTATGATATACTTGTAAATGAATCGTGAAATAATATATTCATTCAAAGACGTCCAACCAATACCACCAACCAACCAATTGTACCAATCAAATAATTGACTCGGTAGCTTATTGGTAGAGAACAGCACCGCAAGCCGGCTCAAGTCTTGCCCGAGTCGAAAATTTTTTCAATTTATTTTCGATTTTTTAATTTATGTAGTGCCCACATGTAAAAAATAATAAAGTTTTGAATCAGTTTTGGTTGATAAAAATATGACGTCACGCGTGGAAATTGAACCGGCGTCCACAGCGTTCCGTGCTCCTGCGCCAATCAATTAGGCTAACGTGTTCTACGCGACATCATCGAATTTCTAAGACCCATTAATACATGATCAAAAAAGTTATTTATGTATTATTGTATACTCAACGTTATACAAACAACAAAATACTAGTATATAATGTGGCTAATGTAAGAAATAATTAGAACCATAATTTCTCACACACAATCAATTCTTACACATGCAAATTGAATAACAAATTACGATACTACGCCACAGAGGTTCCTGTATTAACTTACGTCGGCACTTGGATACTTCCGTTCACGAAATAGGTAGCATTAGGTATAATATATTGCTTAGCCAATCTAATAACGAAGGAAGAAAATGTTTTACGATCTCACACCGACCACATTGGTCTAGTAATGGACTACCGTCACCATATACCATGACTAGCTGTAGTCAGCGAATTCGTCCGCGTAGAAAAGGTATTTTAGGCTTCAAAATTTGTTTTTTAAAACTTCCTCCTCAACTTTATAAGCCACACTATTACTGACGATGTCAGTCACGACCTCTCTTTTTTTAAATTTTTTTAACCTTAAAATATAGACATATAGTGGCGGAGACTTTTCTTTAGATAATTCATAGAGGAATTTTGTATTCATAATAACTTCATAATGAAATTTATTTTGGGGTATATGTAAGGGTATAGAAATTCGGTTTTTAAATTGGCCATTAGTTCTTGAGATTAACTCGGTCAACAACAAACTCTTAACTTTATCTATACTAAAATTAAAAAGAGACACAGCGAGTTAGACGACGATCGCTAACGAGAAGCTACGACCGCGAAAACAATTTATTTTCTAATTTAGTGATTCATGATCGTTTTAATTAACACGCCTTTAATTTAAATATCTGTCTTTCATGTTTACCCGTGCGAGTAATTAGTTAAAGATCAAAACAGTTTTAACCCTTCTCAGACAGTTTGCATGAAACCTTTGTTTAAAGTTGCTCTTGGTATTCGAATATTGATCTTTGTAATCTGAAATCCAAAGTACTAACCATTAGACAAACGAAGCTATCTACTGTTACGACACAATATATGAAAAGTTTCTATATCAAAAAGAAAGTAAGGATTTGTAAGTACTCAACAACTTTGTATCAAGAAAAACAAATGGTTCCCTTTACCGACATCACGAAGCTTTAGTAACTGTATTTGTATTAAAATAGAGTTCAAAATAGATTATGTCAATGTGAATTTGGATCTTGTTTTCGTTTCAGTTGTTACGCCTCTTCGTAGTACAATACGCATCTCATGTATGAATGAACGCCTAAACGATATACTGTAAACGAACTATTTTGATACTGGGTAGAATTGTAATATTTGTAAGCACTATACTCGTTAGAAGAATTAAAGGAAAAATTTGATAAAACTATGCTTATAACAAGAAAAGTCTTAGAAATTCTATTTATGTTTAAAATTAGACATGCAAATATTTATATCAGATAAAAATAAAACTATTAATAAAATGTATCATTTAAACATTTTTTTCATTATATTATATTACACGTCACGGTAGCTCAGTTGGTCAGCTCAGCACGGAACGCTATGAACGCGGGTTCCAGTCCTGCCTGTGTAGTGAAATTATCAATCTTTAAAGATTTATAATTAACTTTCGTATTATTTATTATTCAATTAATAAAGTCGAATATATTATTTTTATGTTATATACAATGTTAGTTGTGTCAGTCTAAATTGTTATAAAAAATTATATAATTAAAAATTAATCCATAAAAAATTAGGAGTATAAGTAATGTAAGTCCTAAAATCCCAAGTACCTACAGGATAAGTAAAGTCCTCTTAAAAATATAAAATGATCGAAGATAATGATCTAAGTTATCTTTAATCATTAATAATTTATAATAATAATTACTAAATACAGGAAAGTTTAAATGAAACACTTCTTGATAATTATTTTAAGTACGGCTCGAAGTTTAACTAATATATTTTCCGTTTTAAAGCGTTAAAGTGTTTTACATAAATATAATCTACTTGCATAAACTACAGACAGTATATAAGTACAGGGACCTCGAGCACCTCCCCCTAAAGTATCAAACTGTGTAAGCGCAGTGCACCACTGTTAGAGGATTACCAAATCTCGTGTATATATAAAAGCGCTAGATCCCGAAGCATTCATTTCATCCCTGACGCTGAAACTGAAATCATCTTACAATGAGAGTGATCTGTGTGTTTTTATTGATCGGCGTGGTTTGTGCAGCGCCGGGGGGTAGCAGCAAAGATGACTCAATCGAACTGCTATCTGGTGTGACCCTTGAAAAGTGAGTATTTATTTCATTTCTGTGATTTCCGGGCTTAAAAATATTAAAACAAAGTCTAGTGATAAAGAGCAAATAGAAATGTTTTTTAAATTGTATTTTGAATTAAAAACTGTTTTTATATTAAAAAAAAATAGAACGAATGGGATTCAAACCCATGACGGATTAGGATTTTCTATAATACAATCTATATATTATTTTTTTAAACTATATAATAATAGTGATAACTATGTAATACTTTGTATTTTCAGAAACATAATTGTATAATATTTTCCGAAAAACTTTTTTTTTTAAAAACTGCACTCAATCATAAGTAACTTAGTATTATTTAGTAACAATATTAAGTCCGATCTACTATTTACAACAACTAGGAAGTTTTATAACATATAATTATTATAGTCTTAACTCACAAAACACAATTACAAACAACGAAATAGTTCAGTTAATCTGCGTGAAAGAATGACGATGTAACGAGAAATTTTCGCACTTACGCACGTAAAAATTGCGCACAAACAACATGCATACGATACACAATTATATATATATGCGTTATATGTAATACTATGTTGTTATTGTTCCTTTTGGAAAGTGTTAGCGAAAGCGAACTATTTAGTGTGTAATTGGCCCTTTGTGACACTATATTCACGCGCAACAAACACAATAATGGAGAATTCACGAATCTTTACGTTTACTAAACACAGGTTTATCTCATTATATATATCGTATCGTAACGTCTGCAGTTTGAAAATTTTTAACGGTTTAAAACGCGAGATATATCAGTTTTTTAACGATGGAGGAGGACAGATAAGTACGAGGTCCACTAGATGGTAGCTGAAATACTCCAGCCTATATCATCTTAGCAAGATCGATGTATGTCGACCTATTATAGTTAACGTTTCGTGTACTCTGAGAGCAGCCTTAGTTCCCCCATGACCCCGAGGGCGTAGTTAAATTAAATAAAACAAAATAACTAATGTATATCGCGTTTAAAACCGTTAAATGCGTTAGAATAAATATCCTACCTATAATATTCTATATTATATGTTTTCGTTGCAGAGATGCATTAGGGAGAGAAAAATTGAACGTAAAATTGCAGCCAGGGGAACTGAAAGATGCCCGCAGGACTTTTGATGAAGGTAAGCTTTTATTTAAGGATATGTTACTTAAATATTAGGATATTAAAAAAATCCTAATTTATTTTTTCTCATACGACGTTTTAGATCCTCTACGAAGTTTATTCTTTAACTTAGCAAAGATTTCTTTCAAGGACTTAAGTAGGTATTTCTAACGTTCACTTTAGTACGCATAAAATTATGTGTTTTAGCGACTATGGTTCTTTCAGCTGCTTCACGCCCTGTATTAGAATCGTGAGGTCGTGAAAAGAAAATAACTCGCATATTTCGTATTTAAGTCCGTCTTAACAAAATATATTTTGTGATTATTAGAGTAAAAATATGATTTTAACACATTTTATTCACTCAATACCAAACATTTGACTCCATCTTATTGTTATTCTTAAATATTTCAATGCGATGCATAATTTTAAAATGAAGACTATTTTTAGAGTATTGAATATTTGCGTGTTCTTAGAGTTTCTCTTCAAACGAATAGTATGTATATCAATGTATCTACTTGCATGCGATGTCATAATTCGCACATTGAACATATAATAGTATCAACTAAATTATGTACATGCTGCCACTCTAGGGCTGGCACTAAAAAGTATATTTATAAATAAAACGTAGATCTTTTTTAAATTACAAACAACGTATAAAACATATATTTTAACTTGATTGAGAATTATTTTTAAGCCCCCCGGGGATCCCGCAGAAGCATCCGAACAGGGGCGGTAGGCCGTATTTAAAAATAATTTTCAAAAAAAGTTTAACTAAATTATATCGCGTTTTATACCGTTTAAAGTGTTATACTAAAAACTATATTCATAAATAAGAAATAAATCTAAAATGTATTTTTTATTTATAAATATACTTTTTTGGTGCCAACCCTAGAATATTAAAGTGTTTTATTTAAATGTGTACTACTCGCGTAAACTACAGACAGTTTTTACATATTAGATTTTTTTTTAATACGACACGGGTAGGCTTTGTCTACACGTCTTCGCCGAATTTTTTCAACCTATGCACCGATGCATCTCTCGAGCAAGGTTATTTATATTCATTGTCAAGTAATACTTGATTATGATAAGCAAACATACTTCTGTGAGATGCCCGACCGAAACCATTTTTTATTATTTCCCAGGATTCGAATCCAATTAAATTTCGACGCTTAACGCAATGATAGTCAATGTGTTCAGCCCTATAGAATATAAAGTTATAGTTAACAAAAAGCGTAAAAAATAGAGGAATTTGTTTTATTTTTAATTGTATAATCAGTGGCGTAACTATCGTAGGGCCAGGTGATGCCATACACCAGGGCCCCGGAACTTGGGGGCCCTCTAACCTCATCTTTAAAAAGATATAAGCGTAAAAGAAAAGGGTTCTTTTAACGTATTTTAATAAACTAGTTTTGTTGCTATTTATAATTTTGGAGGTTCATTTAATTCAAGCTAGGCTGGGGACTAGAGGGGGTGAGGACCTGACTCTTTCTTAGGCCCTAGGATTAGGTAGACCGGGGCCCCTTTTAAACCTAGTTACGCTACTGTGTATAATGCATATATTGCAACATAAAATACTTATTAATATGAATTGATTATAAAAAATACTTCATCATTAATTCTTTACACGCAATAATATATTATCCTATCGTTATTGTAGCTAAAAAACAATACTACCATCCTTACATCTATTACATTTAAAATTTCTTATCGATACAAATTCATTGATCATTGTGCCAGCCCTGAGTGCGGATGGAAAGTCAGTGCCATTGAACTGTTACGTGAGATCACGCAACGTGGTCAAGGTCGATGCAACATACGTCTCGTTTATAGTCAGCACGTGACTTCTTAGCATGAACCAGTGTATAAATGAATGCGAAATTAATTAGAGATTCTGGTCGTAAATAATTTAAACACGAGTGTTTTCCAAATTCAAAATAATTGACTCCACATAAATAAGACAGAAATATAAAGGCTTTAACATTGTTTTATTTAAGTATTATGGACAATTTTTACGTGCAGCTTATTTCGTGTAAATTTATAATGTAATTATTTAGTATTTCTATAGCATTAAGATTGTCCCGTAAATATTGCTTAAGTTGTTGTAAATACATTTTAAATTCAAAGTTAACTTTTGTTTTTTTTTTTAATTTTGATTATAATATGCAATATTTTACGTATTTATGAATAATAAATAATTATATGGAAATCGGTACCAGTCTTAGCTGTCCCACTTCTTCGGGAAAGGATAACAAATAGGTAGGCTTGTAATGTCGGTTCAGTGCTTACATTTACATTATGGTGCATATAACAGATTTTTATAAGTTAAGATTTAATAATCCCTGAAATAGTTTTATATATTACAAATTGTATGTCTTTACGAAAAAATATTTTAAAATCATCTATATGTTTAATGACATATGATCACAATGATCATAAATATAGTCAGTAAAATTATAGTTTGACGATACGATTTTTTTTTTGTAATGTCAACTTGCGCTCGCGCGGCCCTATGTATATATTCAGATATTTTTTTTTAGGGGTTGAACGTTTAAACACATTTTATATGTAATTTATGTTTACAGCTAGAGGCAAAATCAAGAAGTACGCACCACTCCTAGCTGGTATAGGAGTAAAGGTGATAGCGGTGGTGGGCATTCTCTTCGGGGCGCTAACTCTTCTCGTTACTAAAGCCCTGGTTGTCGCAAAGATGGCGCTGATGGCAGCTACAGCTCTGGGTCTGCATAAGATGTTTAGTGAAGGCGGTTGGAACAGTATTAGCGGAAAGGTTTGTACATTAGTGCCATACATTTGTTAGGTATTTGATATCCTAACTTCTTAGCCACATAACGAAATTGGATCTAGCTTTTTTCGATCATACACACACTTACATTTAGGGATTGAAATGAGTAGTTGACCAATTATTTATATATACATATTGTTATTTTGATTTGATTGTTATAAAATACTTTTTTCTAGCTAAAAAAACTTAGAGAGTGATAAAACAGGGCATTAATTATAATACTATATTTTATTGCAAATCTTTATTTTCTATATTATTTATTGCCTAAAAGGATTTAAAAGTAATTGTATAAACATTGCGTCATTATCAGTGTGAGTAAATTAAAAACTTTCGGTAGTTTACGCGAGTAGTAGTTGAAACTGAACAGATGGCGCTAGCGTAGCAGTTTTTTACCTTGATTGATTGATTGATTAAAGACATCCCTAGACCCATCTCTAGTCTCCCTGTAACCGCGCATACTGCAAAGGATCCGATACGATAGTTAACATTTTCAAATAAGTTTAACTAATATATATCGCTTGAAAACTTTAATATTTTTCACATGCACACGATGGCGGTATAAAAATTAAAAATCGATTATAAATTATAAAAAATAAATAGGACTCGGTAGCTCATTAGGTTAGAACAACAGCACGGAACGCTGTGGATGCCGGTTCAAGTCCTGTCAGAGTGGTCAATATTTTTCAATTTATAATCGATTTTGAAACAAATTATATCGCGTTTTAAACCGTTAAAGTGTTTTATGTGTGTATTTTTTTCTTTTTTGTCACAGATTGCCGGTGTTCAGCCGTCTCCTCAGGCGTGGTCGTCACCCACAGCGCCATCTAATGCGTATCCGTACGCGAGATCGGTTGACACAGCGAACGAGGCAAATGACGTAGCATACAGAGCACAAAATGCACCATCTTCATAACAACATAATCGATAAATTAAGTGCTGTGTTAGCGATACAATAGTAAAAACACGAATGTTACTAATGTATCGATTTATGCCAATTTTTTATATATATCGGTTATTGTAAGTGCTGATAATTGCTCTGTATAAAAAGCGAATAGAATATGAAACAATTGAAATTATAACGATAAAGGAGGCTTTTCCTATGATCTTCTAACGTAGAAATAAATATAAATTTAAGATATCAAGCTTTAAAATTTGTCATAAGAAGGCTGAATACTACGGTGCTTTTACTTTTTTTCTATAATTAAATGAAGTGTGCTTATTTTAAGAAATAAGTCTTAGCCATAACGTCAAGATTATTTAAGCCTATAATTTATTTGCCTTTTTTATTATGAATAAATGTACAAATGAAAAGATTTGGATTAATCAGGGTAATCAAAAAAGTGGAAAACGCCTTGCAAGCGTTTCTATTCCAAGCTATTTTTTCTTATTTACATTAGGTTTAATTCTTACTTACGGGTATTTTGTGTTATTTAAGGTGATTTATACTTATATATTATTTATTAAAGAGACTGTAATATTAATTAGAAATTACGTGCTTTTAAAAATACAGTTATTAAATCCTGAAAGCTTTTTTCTTCTAAACCATTGCTTTGTTGAATATAAAATAAATTAGACGACACATCGCTCAGAATACACGTAGTGCCATCTAGTGTTGAGTATACGTACTTTTAACAATACTGTGTAGCAAAATACATACCATTATAATATGTTCTTTAATAGATAAATGACCTAATTAAATAAAAAATAGAATTATATTTCTGTTTTATAATTCCAAAAATGAAATTTCTATACATCTCTAACTAAACATCCTCTTCAAGATAATATGCTATGTTAAGGAAATGAACATATTGATAGAATACATGATTACAATACAGCTTTAATTCATTTAAATAACAAAAAGCTTACATTTTCATGTTGAATACGTCATTATTTTACAGGATCAATAGTTCTATATATACTTAGCTAAAATAATCAACATTTATATTATATATTTTTATCAGAAATATAGTTTGTAATCGTACAATATAGGTGATTAAAACTATTAAACAAATAAAAATATTACTAGTTATATTTTTGTATTAAAGTGCCAGCTTATGTCAGTTGATTTAATAAACTAATCTATCTATTTTTATATGTTAAAAAAGTAAAGAGTTATATTTGGCTGACGCAAAGCCTGCACATATAGTATAGGTATCCTGAAATTCATAACATACTCTCTACATAACAAAATAGAAACTAAAGTGCTGCAATAAACATACTTACTTTTATACTAGTTTCAATTGATTCTAAGTAAAAACAGTTTTTACTCACGAAACGCACACAAAACAACAATCGCTGTAGCTACACGTTCGTAATTACACGCCTTTCACTCACACACCCAAGAATGTTGTTCTTTAAGAACAGAGTTCAGTGGACACGACATTTTTATGGTATTTCATTAATTTGTTTAACAATTTATGAATCTATATTTAATAGATTTTATTTTGTATATAATTTTCTATTTGTAGAAAAAATATTTTAATTTATAAATAAAAGTTTAATTTAAAATATGATATTTAAAATGCAAGCAAAGCAGTAATAATCTTTCATAAAGAAGACTTTTAAAATAATATTTAATTACTTAAAGGCTCAACAAATGAATCCGTACAAATTCACTTTTATATGTATAATAATGTTTACGTATAAATAAAAACTCTACGTATAGTTTTTATATAAAATAAATATTCTTCTCACATTAGTTTCAAACAAATTATAATAATGAAATCTAATAATGAAGCATAAACTGAAGTTAACAACAAACTATTTCAAAACTTTACAGTAGACCCGGATCTACATGAAAAACAAAAATTGAATAAAGCTTCTCCTTTCATTTCTTTAGTCGCATTCCGGAGGTAACAAACTTTCTCAACCACTACCAATGTATTTTATCTTTGTATGAGTGCCACTTTCACTTCAGACATTGTATTTTATTTAACGTTTAATTCTTAATCTCATTTGTCTTTAAAATTAAATAACTTTTTAAGTTCTGGAATCTCAGCCATAATAGAAAATTAAGTTAGTATAACCGTCAAAACTGACCCTCATAAAGTATTTACAAAATTAAGTTTTCCATGAGACTTTTGTCGTTATTAGTACAGTATTTACTATATACGTAATCCAGATATATTAATTACTTAATACTATTGACATTAAATAATGTATAAATTTTGATTTCATCTGTTAATCTTCTAAAACTAATACATATTTTGATTATATGCGATTCTATATAGATAGCAACTGAATTATACAATGAAGATGAAAATGACAAAATGTACAAAGTATTTTATCCGTAGAATACATATTAACTATAAAGTTCAGGTACTAGAAGTTACATTATATATATATTATTGGTATATTGTATTCATATGTTATTATTTTAATAATTCCACATCCTAAAATTAGGTTTACATAATAGATATGAAAATTTTCTTACCACGCCATTTTGTACTCTTTTAGATTTCAACGCGTTTAATGTATAATACATTATTTTTCTTTCAAAAATTATCACTTAATCAATTATATGTATAGATGGGAAGATTCGTAGTTGTGTGTAGTGTATATCTGTGCTGTCATAATTACTTATATATGAACTAAATGTACTGTATACGAATTTGAACAGATAAATGAAAAATAAAGATCCCTTCAGCACGTTAGCTAACCTTACTCATGATCTATTGTTTTAAAGTAAAAACTGTAATCATTTTGTTGCAAAACAAAAAAGGTCTATATTTTTTTAAATAATATAAGATTTTTTTGTGACTAAAAAATCTCTCATTCTGGAATTTGGGCTCGCAACCACACACCTTTCTCTTAGCTTTCACAGAGAGTAAAACAAACATGTTTCCAATAGCAACACAAACTTTTCTAAATTATACTAAAATGACCCTTATTCTGTATAGTCTATAATACAAAGCCGAATGCAATGCTTTCAAATGTCTTAGAGAAAGTTTAGATTTTTTATTTCCATTATTACATATTTGGTTACATTGACCACACAAGTAGTTTCCGTTCCCATTTTATCGTATGACCATTTCATATAGGAGCTCACAAAAGTATTTTTTCCCAGGCAAGTTAGGCCTCAAATAGAACCGCCTTTTTTTAAATAAATTATTTTAAATTTTTAAATTTATAATTTTTCTATTAAAGAAACGTGTTTGGTGAAAAAAAGTGTGGTAAGAATCTAGAAATTCCGTTCGGGTCACACATGAAAAACCACAGATGAAAAAAATTCTGTACAGACCATAATTAAAATTGTCACTAAACATATTAGATAAGAACTCGACAACTTTTACGTTTTGTCTTATTTTATATTAATATAGCTCCAGAAAACTATTACACCAAAATATTATATTACCAATGAAATTAATTAAGGTAATTCTAAATTACTTCAAGAACATAAATGAAATATACTTAAAGATCTAGAATAATGAAATGATATTTTCATTATTTTTTATTTAGTTTTAAATGTTTAAATAAAACCCTTTAATTGTTTATAACTATTATTAGTACTAGTTAAAGTGGTTTATTTAAATGTGTACTACTCGGGTAAACTATAGACAATATTTAGTATTAAATGTTTTTTTGGTGTACTTCGTTTCGTAAACGTAAAAATAACATACAATAATGAGGGTAGTTAAATTTCATTGGCAGTTTATTACATTTTATTTACTACTTCGTGATCGAAACAATAAAATGGGAGAAGTCACGCGTGTCTTGTTGAACCGATAGAATGCTATAGATCCTTCCTTCCGTTTCATAAATAGCCAAAATGCCAGTGAAATCGCTTATGTAACACAAATCCGGCTCGCCAGGTGCATCATTTCGCAACTCACGTGAAAGTCACTTTCGAAAGTGAATGTGTTGTTGCCCTTTTACAAATTCGTAATTACTGCGATGATTTTTGAAAGCCTATATTTGTGTAATGAGAAATTTTCTTTATGTAGAATTAAAAATAGTATTTAAGTTTAAAACTATAATTTACCTATTCAATTTCATATTTCAAAAGTGATTTGTATTGAATTCACTTCATATTATTGATTATTCCATAAACAAATTAGTAATATTATGATTAATACAAGTGTTTTATGTTCACCTTTGATTTATTTTAATACTTCGTAAATATTATTGGATTTTAAGTTAATCAAATACTTATATGTTCATAATATAAACTCATAAATTCCTCATACTTTTTAAATTTGAAAAATATGTCCTTGAACGAAGCGATCACAACAATAATGTTACAGAGATAAAATCTCCTTCCGAATAAAAGCTAGCCAAGAAGCTTTCTCTGACGTCACACATAAGGTTATATCACTCGTGAAAGTCGGTCAGTGAACCCGGAGTGACACAGATAACTTACAAGTAGATACAGGTTGGAAACGGATGCACGGAGAAACTGTCGAGTTTCTATTGCCGACTCATTTTTTATCTGTATTCTGAATTGTCGAATCGATCGTATTGGTTTAATCTTTAGAATATTGATTTTTTTCTCAATAAACATAACAATTATACTGTTTATAAAGACATATCACTCCAGTAATATAATAACTTCCAAACACATGTTTAACAACATGTTTAATTAAATGTGAACAAAGAAATTGTTCACATTTAAATAAGCATTTTAAAAAATCAGTAACACGAAGCGTGTTTAATTTATTATTATGACAGTAGCGTTACTTTTGCACTACCCTTAAAATTATTATATGATATATAATTATTATAAGATGATCTTTAATATGTCATAAATAAGTAGAAAAACAATGTATTTCCCAATAATGCTGTAACGGTTGTTGAAAAAAATTACATCTTTTTTTATTAAAACCAGATAAATGCTAAACCTTAGTTTAGTCTTCTTGGTTTTCTTGAATGATACGAATGTTTATCTCTGTCATTTATTTCTACAACTAAAATAAT